TTCTTTGTGCCCAATAAGGACTCCTTAGCCATCATGAAATTTCCTTGAGTTTGGGCAAGACTTCAGGTGAAACTTCCTAGCCCAGTCCCCCAGGGAAAAAAGTGGGAGCAAGGCCATAGTAGGGTTGCCCCTCTGTTTAGAAAAAAGGTGCCTCAGGCGGCCTTTGCAGGAAGTACCTTGTCCTGAGAAAGAAACATCACTTCCCGCACATTTCACTTTAGTTTCCAGGAAGGCACTGAACTGTAGAGTTACAACCAGTGAGGTGTGATGTGAGCTGCCTAATGAAAGTTGCCCCTTTGGGAGTTCCTATGACTAAGAAAAAGAGCTTGAATTCTGTTCAGCTGAGTGTGATTATTTGCTTCTGCTAGCTTCCTTAGCCTGTCCTCTATTTCTCTGTTTTGAGAGAGAACAAGCAAAACAAAACAGAGAAAGGTGAGATCTGGAAAGATAGTCATCAAAAGACTGTAAGTTTTCACATTATTTTGAGTTGCTTCTTCATATGTTTAATGTGATTAAATGAACATATATGATTTTCCAGGAATTTCAATAAAGCTCTCTTCTTATTGGAAAAGTGAAAAAGACCAAGATTGCTTAAAATAAGCTACACTGAGAAAATACTTCTGATTCACTCTCCCACTGGCATTTTTTTTTTTGTTCCAATGGAAGCATTACTTTTCTGGAAAAATTGCCTGACCTGTGTTCCATCCCTAATCCTAATCCTAAACCTAAAATGTAAAGGTTAAGCCATTATAAGCTGGAAGCAGATAACTCAAGGCAGCATGTTTACATGGAAAGAATCTATGGTAACCTTTCATTATTATTTAAAGGCAATTTCTGGAACACAAGCCAGGTTGTCACTTCGAATTTTATTATAAAACTGGAGATAAATTTATAAAGGAGACACCCTCAAGGTAAGATAAAAACACTTAAGGATGCAACAAGACTTTTAAATGTACATACTTCAAAAGGAATGAAAATTATTTCTATGGCATTCCAATGTTTGAAATAAAATATATAAAGATTTAGTGCCTCTTTTTTTTAGTTTTGCACAATAATTTAAAAGCCTAAAAGAAAATAATAGTATTAGACTGAAGAAACAGCTTGCTAACCATCAAATGAACCAACTGAAAAGTCCCTCAATATCACTCAAACCCCCTATTCCAGTTTCGGCCTAAAAACTGTATACTGCCTTGGGTCTCCTGCTACCTGGGACTTGGGGGGATGTTTGACTGAAATAAGTTAGTTGATTAATATTGGCACAGCATCCCCCTCCCTTAGTCTTGAACTGGGAAAGACAGTGCTTCTTTTCAGGAGCACATCAGAGCTTAGAAAGAGCCAAAAATGGCTCTGTGGCTCAAGTGGTGGAGTGCTAGCCTTGAGCACAAAGAGGCTTAGGGACAGCACTAAGGCCCAGAGTTCAAGCCCTAGGACTGGCAAAAAAAAATATAAAGCAAAGTACCATGTACATATCAGGCAAGAATCACTAAAAAGTAGCACTGAAAAGACCTTAAAGACACAGGAGATTAGTGCTTGGGAATGTATGTTGACTTTATTCCCTGATATGCAAATATTCCCTGGTATTCATTGTGTTGGATGAATATCTCATTTTGGCTCAATTCACTTCTAAGGTGTTAATTATTTTTCTATCAGATGCTCTGCTGCATGAACATCTAGGAATCTCAAATACATCTTTTCAAGCAACCAATAACATGACTCACTGAAACTGTACAGGCTTGGAATGGATACGGACACTTTGGCATCCTGAAATGCCTTCGCTCCACTTCTAGTCCATAGCAGAAGAATGGAATTTCAAATCATATTGTTTGGTCCAAACCACTTTATGTAGTACCAGCAATGGTATAGTTGCTGAATCTAAGAGAACAGGTGTCCAGTTAGCACTGGACAGACCATTGCAAAAAGAACTATTTCACCGGAACCTCTAATTTAGCTTAAGTGTCAAGATATTTTAAAATGACCACAAACAAAGAATTTCACTGAAAATAGTTAAAAACAATTGGGGAGGAGGAGGTTCGGGGAAAGATAGAGCAATAGCAATAAGAGTTAATTGATTAAAATGTAACTTATGCACATATGAAAAAATTAACTATCGAAACACAAGGCAAAAAAAAAAACCCTAGAAAACAAAATATCTCTGTATTAGAAAAAACACGGTCTCTGTCAATATTCAGGGTGTGTATAAGTCACAACCTAAGACAGCTTCACAAATCACCTTTGTTGGCAGATTTTGGAATCCCTCTCTTTTTTTTTCCTTCTCAGAGGTGCCTCAGGGAGAATATTTTCTACTTAAAAGGACTCTCACTTTAGGTGTGCCTTTACATGCTCTGTTTGCTGCCTGTGCCTCCTCAGACCCGACAATCCCGGTAAGTTTCACCCTCTGTCTCACAGACAGGTTGGCATTTTAGGGATTAAGAAAAGGTACCAGCAAGTTCACAACTTTCAGTTATATGGAGAATCAGTATTAAGTTAAAAAAAAAAGGAATATAATATATTAGAGAATCGTTTATAATTATCAGAACAGTGATCAGATGATGTTCATTCGCAAGTTTATTGCAGCATAAGAAGACAATATCTAGATGGAAACTGATGTGTGGTGAAGAGCAACCCCTGACTGGAGCCTTCCTGCACCTTGGAAAGCTTCAAATGACTAGTGCTGGCATGCATTCATTTTACATCTCAATGTTTATTGTTATTAAGGGGATATCGTTTGTGACCCTTTAGGAGAGGGTTCAATTCTCCTGAATGATTTATCTTTCAAAAGTATTTTTATTAATGTCCTATATACATATAAAGATTTTATTTTAAGAAGAGCATGCATCTATTGTAATTGAAACAAAAGTGAACATGTAGCACCGTCTCCTGCATCCCTCACCATGATGCAGTTTAGGCAAGAAAAATAACATTGAACTATCTAATGATTCCTGATATAACATACAAAATATGTATTATGCAGACAAACAAGAGAAAGTTGATATCTGTGGTAACTATCACTTTCAATGTATAAAAGTACATGTTTCAGGGTGCCAGTGGCTCATGCCTGTAATCCCAGTTACTCATCAGGCTGAGATCTGAGAATAACTATTCTAAACCAGCCCAGGCAGGAAAGTCTCTCGGGGAGACTCTTAGTAAAGCAAGAAATGGAGCTGTGGCTCAAGTGGTAGAGTGCTAGCTTTCAGTGGTAAAGCTTAGGGACAGAGCCCAGGTTCTGAGTTCAAGACCCAAGACACACAAAAAGTATGAAATATGCTAAGTGAAATCAGCCAGTCACTGAAGGATGAATAGTACAAGGTTCTGCTTATATGAGATATTTAGAGAGACCAAATCCACACAGAAAATAGGACAATGGTTGCTAAGGGCAACAGGGGAGAAGGACATGAAGACTTGTTCAATGCCTAAACAATTTCAGTTTTATGAGATCAAAAGTGTTTTTGTCATACATATATAAATGTACTTAACACCACAGAACTGTATACTTTTAAAATGCTTAAGATACAGCTAGGTACTAGTGTTATTATTCTTGAAGATGATAATTCTCAGACAAACTAAAAGATTCTCAGAAGTTCATCTTCCTCAGAGAATGAGGAACTGTGATGGGAAGGAAGCTTTGTTGCAGGAAGTGCTGTACAAGAGCCCCTCCTCCACTTCCTCTTAGCCTCCTGTACTCAGCATTGCAATTCCAACGCTTTTTACATTTCTTGGAATTCTGCAATCTTCATCCTTCTTATCTAACACAGGAGGAGAATTTGGCCCATGGTGTATAGTTGGCAAACATCATTCAGCTTAGACTCTGCCCTATGAATGGATCCCCCATGGGAGAAAAAGAAGAATGAATAACATGGTGTTTCCCATCCAGAACCTTAATTACCTTAAGCAACCCAGAGCCTGAATCTTTTCAAGCCCAGATAGGCACACACACTCATTCACACACACACACACACACACACACACACACACACACACACACACACACTTGAGCCTTAGCTGGTACCAGTGGTTCATGCTTACAATCCTTTTGCCTGTTTTTCTGAATTTTCTTTTTTTTCTATAATGAGTGTGTATTAATTGTTCGGTTTCTTAGAAAATAAATTTGTAAGCCTGGCACCGATGGCTCACACCTATAATCCTACCTATTCAGGAGGCTGAGGTCCGAGGATCACAGTTCAAAGCCAGCCCTGGCAGGAAAGTCCCAAGAGACTCTTATTTCCAATTAACCACCAGAAAACCAAAAGTGGTGCTGTGACTCAACTGGTACAGCATTCACCTTGAGGTGAAGAGAGCAAGGACAGTGCCCAACTCTAGTTCAAGCCCCACAACCGACAAAGAAAAAAGAAAGAAAGGAAATAAATTTGTAGGAAGTGGCGCTGAGGCTCAAGTGGTAGAGTGCTAGCCTTAAGCTGAAAAGCTAAGGGATAGTGCCCAACATTTGTAAACAAAATGGGCAAAAATAGACTAAAATTAAAAATATAAAAGTAATTGCATTTGTTTTTAGTTGGACATGAGGCTTGAACTCAGGACCTTGGCACTATCCCTGAGTTCTTTTGTTCAAGGCTAGCACTCTACCACTTTGAATCACAGCTCCACTTATGGTTTTTGAGTGATTAATTGCAGATGAGAGGCTCATAGGGACTATCTGCCCCTGCTGGCTTTGAACCAGGATCTTCCGATCTCAACCTCCTGAGTAGCTAGGATTGAAGATGTGAACCACCAGCAGCCAGCTCTGCATTTTATATTATGTCTTAGAAGCTATTTAATTCTGTATTGTCAAAAGTGGTAAAGTGAACTAACAAATATTTGTAATATCTTATACATCTTTGTTTCTTAAAATGTTGTAGACATTTTGTGTCTTATCCTTAAAAACCCTCAGACAAATTTGACAGCTTTCAAAGAGTATGTGTAGGTGCCAATGACTGGTTCTGTCAGTGACTGACCTTGGTCTTTTTTTAACCTAGCATAATAGAATTTACTCATTTACTGAAGAAAGAATGCAATTTCAGCTGAGCCTTTTTTTGCATCTTGGTGAGTATGAAAGTCCAGTTTCTTTTTGTGTTGCAATCTCCTAAAATATTTAGTAGGAATAGTTTTTAAACATGTCTATTTTTAATACTTTTTATTATTAAAAAAAAAGCTGTATAGAGGAGTTACAGTTACATGAGCAAGGTAATGAGTACATTTCCTATTAAGCATTGTTGCCTCTTCCTTAGTTTTTCCCCTACCATCCCTTCCTCCCACCTCCACAACTACACACCCCTCTCCCCGCCCCCCCCCCCCCCCCGCCCCGCCACCTAAATTGTAAAGTTCGTTTTTCAACATAGTGTCTTGTACATCTCATTGTTACCATGAATCAACCTGTATCCCTATTTAAGCATTTTGATTTTTTTCCTTCCTCTCCCCAAATTAGAGAAGTATATATACAAGACGCAGGGCACCGACATCAAATACAGTGAGAACAGGGGTTATACTGGAGGAAAGGAACATACAAAGAAACAAAAAAAAATCACATGGTACATTATAAATATGTTAGAAACAATAGCAAGAAAGATTAAAAACCACTTGTGTCCCAATTGGGGTTCATTTCACTTAACATCCTCTTATCTGGTCATATGTACATAGCTTTTGACCTTTTCTGCTTGTCCCAGACATACACTAGATATTGCAAATAAGAGAAACCATGAGACCTATGTTTCTTTGGGCCTGGATTACTTCACTTAATATAATTTTTCCAAGTCTTCCATTTCCTAACAATTGGGGTGATGTCATTCTTTCTGATGGAAGCACAGAATTCCATTGTGTGTGTGTGTGTGTGTGTGTGTGTATGTATGTATGTGTATGTATGTATGTATGTATATATATATACACACACACACACACACACACACACATTTTCTTGATCCATTCATCTAATGAAGGGCATCTCGATTGGTTCCATATCTTAGCTATGGTAAATAATGCTGCAATAAACATAGTCGTGCTGGTAGCTTTAGTATGGTCTTGTTAGTGATCATTTGACTAAATGCCCAAAAGTGGGATTGCTGGGTCATAGGGGAGCTCTATGTGGAGTCTTTTGAGGAAACTCCATACTGATTTCCAAAGTGGTTGAATAAGTTTACACTCCCACCAACAATTCAGTAGGGTTCCCTTTTGCCTATTTTTTTTTTTTTGCATGGCTATTCAGTTGTCTAATTGTGACAAACAACCGAAGAGTTCTCTTATAGTTTGATCTCCATTCATACTTATTTCCTCAATCCTTGATGGAAGGCTATAGACAGCACATAGTAGGTAATGCAAGAAACTAAAGAATATTGAATAGTGGCAGATTCTTAATTTATCAATATAATGCCTTTATTTTTTTAAATATAGCCTTGCTTCAGCTGTAACTTCTCCCAGTGATGAGGCCTTGTAAACATCTCATAGACCAAAAAAATGCTCCCTAGAATTCAAAGTAAGTAGCATTCTAAGATAAAAGGCAAACTCTTCTGACTTTAATAAGCTGAGAATAATTTTCATTAATCATAGAAGATGTGTTTCCAACAGTTTGCTTTTGGTTACTGAGTACTAAATTGCTTGGAATATTTACTTCAAAGATTCATGGTGAATTTCTTTGAACTTCCAGTATCTTGCCATTTAGTTTTGCAATTCCCAAGCCCTGAGGTAATTTCCCAGTTAGATTTGCTGGTAAGAGAGGCAGAAAACGGTGCCAGCTGGGGATCACTCACTTGTTCTCTGCTGGACATTGCCTGTCTTGGAGAAGCAAACCACAAGCCAGTGGAAGCAGTCTCCTGAGCCATGCTTTTATTTTCCACATCCTACAACTGTGAGGCTTGGAGCTGGACTCCACAGTGAAAAAAAAAGTGTTCTAATATATATCTGCCTTCAAGGAACTGAACTTGTATCCAGAATCAGAAGGGGCCACTGGCTATCAGGCCATGTTCTCTCTATCTGTCCCTCTGTGTCTCTGTCTCTCTGTCTCTGTCTCTCTGTCTCTCTCCCTCCTACCACCACCACCCCCTCTCCATCTCCTTGTCTCCCTACCTCTCCCCCCTCTCTTCTCCCACTTAAGAAAGTTCTAAGTCTATGGGATAGTGCTTGAGCAGTTAGGTATCCTTTTTCTCTAGGAAGAATGCTTTGAAACTAAATTAGCTTTGGCAGAAATGGCCTCACTGCCATGGGTCCTGGATTCCTAAACCTAAGCTTTTGCTAATCAAAACCAAATCTCCAGGGCTACCTCAGGTCAAACTCATAAATTAGTTGGCCCACACATCTTCAATGTGGGCATTTTCTAGTTCATAATTTGCCCCTCTATCATCAGTCAGGAATGTTCTGGTTAGTGGGGTGACTATAGGCAGTGTATAAATAATGGAGCCCCTCTGAATACTTCACCTTGCATTCCAACTGAGGGAGAGAAGAGAAAGAGCCATAAAGAAATGCATTAGTCCCCAGGTTTTGGGAATTGAATGGAAAGTTAAGTAGAATGAGCTCTGTCACTCATAATAACTAAATAACATGCATGTGTATGTGCATCCTCTAAAAGTCTGCAATGAATTCTAATATACGTGTGAACATACTTGATTAAGAAATTGTGCTGCTGTGTTTCTAACACATTTATAAGATTATCTCTTTGTTGCTTTGTATGTCCCTCCCCCACAGTATAACCCTTGCTTTCACTATATTTGATGTCAGTATAACTTGTGGAGGAGATGGGGAAAAACCAGTTGTTTAAGGATACAGGTGGACCTGTTGCAACAATGAGAAGTACAAGTTGTCATGTCCAAAACGAACTTTACAATGTTGGTGGGGGGGGCCTGGGGGGAGGGAGGAAGGAGAAGGATTGGGATTAGGGGGGGAGGGGGGAGGCTGGGAAGGGATGTGAAGGATAAACAAAGGAGGAGGCTGCAATGCTTGGTAAGAAATGTACACATTATCCTGCCCATGTAACTGTAACTCCTCTGTACAGTATGTTCACAAATAAAATTAAATTAAATTAAAAAAAAAAAAAAAAAAAGAAATTGTGCTGAATTATATGAGTGATTTATACAAATGATCCTTCACTTTATAGGAAATTTGCTGCATATTTTTTACATGACCAGGTTTTCAGAATTCATTTTTAATAACATTCTGTCCTCATGCTGTGTGTAACTTTTGAGGAATGCATTGATTGCCCAAAGATACAAATAACTTTATTCCTTGAATCAATTCCAACCTATTTCTAATATGATTATCTGGCTGTTGACCATTTAGGCCCAAGAAAGATATAGCCAAGTGCAGTCCAGGCATGTTTAAATTACTTGTATTTTTAAACCTTTGGTACAAGTTAAAGTTCATATTTGCACTTATGCTATTGCAAGAACTGTAGCTTAATTTTTATAAATAAAATTTTGGAATACTTCTTCTGAAAAGTATGCATCTGGTCAAAACAAGTATGGCCAAGTCAAGTTATAAAAACATGTTAAATCTCTAAGGCAACAAATTCCAATAAAGTAATTCAGGATGTAACTTGTCTGAATGAATAAATGCCTAGAAGGGAAATCTTACTTAATCCACATGAAGAATCAACAGAACTATTATATCTGACCTTGTTTTTAAAAGTCCCTGTCTATTGGAGTCCAAACTCCTAAGTTATGTGTCCTCGTTGCCAGTTTGGGAAACAAAAGATGTGGTTTGGGTTGTTTGGTGGATAAAAGGAAAAACCCATAGTAATCGACTAAGGACACTTTCTTGTACTACAAAAAAAAAAAGTATGCAAAAGAAATGGAATCTATGTCTCTGTCAGAAAGAATGGCACCGCCCTATTTGTTAGGAAATGGAAAGACTTGGAAAAGATATATTAAGTGAAATAAGCCAGGCCCAAAGAAACATAGGTCCCATGGTTTCCCTTATTTGCAATATCTAGTATACGTCTGGGACAAGCAGAAAAGGTCAAAAGCTATGTATATATGATCATATAAGATGATTCTAAGTGAAATGAACCCCAAGATAGGGACATAAGAGGTTTTATCCTTTCTTGGTATTGTTTTTAATGTACAAATAATGTACTATGTGATTTTTTGTTTCTTTTGTATGTTCTTCCCCCATGGTATAACCTCAGTTTTCACTGAATTTTATTCCAGTGCCCTGCATCTTGTATATACATTTTTCTAATTTGCAGGGGGGGTGGGGAGGGGGGGAGATGGGAAGGCGGGAAGGGAAATAACAAAATGCTAAAATAAGGAGACAGTTTGACCCATTGTAACAATAAGATGTACAAGACCCTATGTTGAAAACTAACTTTACAACTTGGAGGGGGAGGTGGTGGGGGAAAAACAAAGGAGGAAGTAACAACGCTCGATAGGAAATGTACTTATTACCTTACTCATGTAACTGTAACCCCTCTGTACAGTATCTTTCAATGAAAAATATATTTAAAAAGTATACAAAAGATGCTTTTCTTCACATAACTATCTCAGAGAAAGCGAAAAAGAAATGTACCTACAATTGAGAATCTTCACAGTGAAGTTGTAAAGAAACAATTTCTTGTTTTAATTGCCACTTAGTAACTTTTGAGAGGGTAGACATAAGCTATAGAACTCATACCTAGCTGGCTAAGTCACATGACTAATGATTACAAATAGAATATTAATAGAATAGTTTATATTGACACATATTAATAAAATAGTTTCTGTGAAGAAGGGGGCTCTGCCACTTGAGCCACAGCTCCTCTTCTGGCTTTTTTTTTTTTGGTCGGTCATGGGGCTTGAACTCTGGGCTTGGGCACTGTCCCTCAGCTCTTCAGCTCAAGGCGAGCGCTCTACCACTTGAGCTACAGCGCCACTTCCGGTTTTCTGGTGGTTTATTGGAGATAAGAGTCTCACGGTCTCTCTTGCCCGGGCTGGCTTTGAACCGCGATCCTCAGATCTCAGCCTCCTGAGTAGCTAGGATTACAGGCGTGAGCCACCAGCGCCCGGCTCTTCTGGCTTTTTTGAGTAGCTAGGATTACAGGTGTGAGCCACCAGCACCCAACCTAAAAGTCTAGTCTTTTCTGTGTTAAATTGCCTGTGTGTCTCAAAATCAGCTGGCATATCCATGTTAGTCTATTTCTGGGTTCCTATTCTAGTCTATTGGCCTGTCAATATTACACTGTCATGTTTATTTCAACTGTACAGCAAGCCTTACTGTCAGGTAGAGTAATTCCTTCCCTTTATTCTTCTTTTTAAAAATTTTCAAGCTTTTTTAGGTCCTATACTTTTCCATCCAGAGGCTATTTTGCTTTTTTACAAAATTACCAATGTCTGCTTTGGCCTCCATAATCAAGAAGGACTGTAATCCTTTAACTGATTTAGAAATGAGTCTATATTACCCTATTCAAGTATACTTTTAAGAGGCACAACTGTTTCTATAAATAGCTATCCAAAAAATATTGTGGGAAATTCGTTGTGTGTGCATTCAACTTTATTTAATACTAACTTTAGATTTCAGCCTGATTAATATTCTGCTTTCTTTTATTCAAACTTTTCAACCTATTAATGTTATTGCTTACAAAAATATATATAGTACATAACCTAATAGGGCAAACTCCACAGGAAAGAACTTGTTCGGGCTTCCTTCCCCACGCCACTTGCATGGAGGGAGATTTGACAGTTGTCTGGTTCCATATAGATTTTCTTTTGTCTCTTTCCTTTAGCTAACTTGATGGCTGTCAAACATTGTGTTAAGACTTGTGTTTATAGCTCCATATATGTTATACTCTGTAGATAATTTATGAAATGTTCCAGAGTGAATTTCATTCTAACTCATTTACATCTTAAATCAATTTCTGAAATCCAGTCTCTGAGACATAGTAATCCCCACTTCCAAAATTAAAGCATTTCTAGACCAGAAGAAAATAACTTTAGCATTTCCAACTGTTTTTCTTGTGCTGATTTCTTGTGCTGAATATAATATTAATCTGAGCTGGATTAAAAAAAAAAGATGTCTTCCATAAAATAAATTTGAAGAGTGTTAGTTCAAATAACTTTTAAAAGGTTTACTTTTATGGGTTCTTTTTTACAGAAACATTCTCTTTTTCATTTTCTTTCTTTCTTGTGGTACTGGGGGTTGAATTAAGGTTCCCACATTTGGTAGATAGATGCTTACATAAACATTTCTAAGTAATTTAAAACACTGATGTCCATTGTAAATATCCAAGAAAGGGAGATAGGATACTTTAGCTCCCCCCTCCTCCTCCTCCTTTTTTTTTTTGGTCCTGGACATCCTTTTTTGTTCTGTTGATCTCAAATTCATTTCAGCACATTTTAAAGGCATTTATCATTAGCCCAGATCTATAATTTGAATAGAATGAGACACAGTAATTATTCCACTTAATACCATTCAGCAAACAATGTTGAGATCTTTCATCACATATTAGAAAATTTAAAGGTTTTATATATCTTTGCCCAATGTTAAATAAGCATGCAAAGACGTCATTAGATATGCCCACCTATATCTACACATATACCAACCTCTGCCTTCTCTGTTGCTCCATAAGCTAAGCTTGATTCTATTTTAGAGTCTAGTGAAGCAATATTTTCTAATTTAGTGTCTTACTAAATTAGAAAGTTAAAAACTATTTTGGAAATACATGATGTTAGAATTGTGGCTCAGGTTAGTCTAGGTGTCTTGATACCAAAGGGATTTATTGGTGACATTTTCTTCCTCTGTCTCAATTAAGAGACATGTTTGGCTGCATTGATAACTCTCACCCTATCTTCTCACCCAGATCTTCTGCATAGAGCTTGTGGTTCTTCGCTATCATTATTTTTTTTATTTTAGATGAAGAAACAGCTGCGCTATAGTTGGACATTTCCCATCAATAGCAACTGGCTTCTAAATCACTTACATTCTCTTTTACCTCTTTGCTATCTGATACTTTGGACTCAATTATGTTTTCTATCATTTGCTATGATTACTGACCCTATTTAACAATATTAAAGTGAAATTTTAATGCACTTACAATTTTTTCTTCATATAATTTTCTATATGATGAATGGTCCTAACTTTGCCTTCTGAATGGCATTAGGTATAAAAATTCTACATTTTATTAGTATATATTAATTGTATAATGTGGCATAGTCATTGTGATTTTTCATACACATAATTTATAATTTGATCATATTCATCTCCTCAAGATGTAACAATTTTTTGTTTTGGTTTATTCAAACTACAGACTTGAATTAGGTAGACTTGATAGGTGTTTCTGAATGTATTGAACTGAACTCAGATATAATACTTATTTCTCTAGAACATAACGTTTAAAGCAAGACAAATTTTAAAAGTAGCTTTTGGGAAGTGAGATTGTCTTTGGGTAGTGCAGTTCCTATAATAGTCCTACCTTACTTGAATCCAGGTCCCTTCAGGTCAGGACAAGTCTGTTCAACAGCAGGAATTAAAATGGGCTGAGTTTGGCATACCTACTCATCTCTCACTTTCTCCGCAAGGATCTTGAATTCTCCCACAGTATCTGAACCAAACAATGCAGGTTATAAAAGGGTTCACATGAATTTTCATATTTTAGGAGAAGGTTATTTTCCCCAAGATTTCTTAAATCTTCCTATTTCTTCCATATGGGTTTGAACAACAAATGTACAGAAGGAGTTAGGATTCTCCTTCCTTAAAACTATGTATTCTTCTTCTTCCTTGTTTTCCCTAAATGACACACAAAGAATTCCCAGGCATGGAGTTTGTCTCAGATCAGTTTCTTCAAAGCAGAGCTGGCAAAGGGACTTGTGTGCATGTGATTTATTGTTAGTGCTCTCAGGAATGAGAGATGGAGGTTGATGGACATTGGCTGTGGTCAACACGAGAGTCCAGCTCCCACCAGATGCCAAGAGGAAAGGCTGAACAAGAATGGCACCATGGAGTTGATTTCAGCCCAACTCAATGGTGCCAGTCTTTTGAATGCTGTATCGGTCATTCATTGTTCCATGTGGGGAGAGGGGTGATCTCCAAGGTTGAGTTGTCCCATCAGGCTGAGGAGACCAGCAACCTCTAGAACCAAGGGCTTTGTGAAGTTCTGGGGCTACTTTACATGCTGTTTCTGTATGTTCAAGGGTGGCTCAGTGGCTGGAAAGCAGAAGATGAATGTGGCAGAGGTGCCTGCCGACCGAGCCCCGGCAATCTCCTTGTGGGACGTAGTGCACAGCTTACTGCATCTTCTACCTGTGGGCTGAAAGAAGCCCAACAGTACTGCATTCTCAGCTACCTAGAGGTGTGTTGGTTCTCTGTTACTTGTTGGAACATTATTTTTTAAGTATTTTTATTGCTATTATAAAAGTAATGTGTAGAGGGGTTACTGTTACATAAGCCAAAAAATGAATACATTTCCTTTGGGGACAATGCCAACCTTTCCCTCGCTCTCTCCCAGTTTTGCTCTTCCATCCCCACCCACAAGTTGTACAGTTCATTTTCCACATAGTGTCTAGTGAGTACCACTGTGGCATCTGTTCACCTTTCCAATTTGTTGAGACATTATTTGATCAGTGATACCAATTTTTTCTTGTGGGCCTGGGGCCACCCACAGCTTGATAGAAGGAGAGCATCCTTCTTCCTGGACTGACACAACGTAATTCAAAGTCTAGAAAACCTTAACTATTCAGAAAACATAGAAGACCTCTCTTATTTCTGTTTTCTGTTACCTTCAAAATTAGACAGAAAAATAACTTTTTTGTTTAATCTGTAAAATCTAATTGTCTACTTAGCTGCCAATGTTGTTATTCCCACACAGCTGAGCAGAATCAACCTCTTCAATAAAGATTAAAAACCCAAGAGGCTTTGTGCAGAGTGAGAGCCCATCTTAGGTAGGTAGAGAAGGTATAGAACTCTGGGTGGAGCCAAGTGTCATTGGATCATACCTGTAATCCTAGCTATTCACACGAATGAGATGTGAGCCTTGCAGTTCAAAGCCAACTCTGGTAGGAAAGTTCATGAGACACTTATCTACAGTTAACCACCAAAAAGCCAGAAGTGGAGCTGTGGTTTTAGTACCAACCTTGAGCAAAGAAGCCAAGAAACAGTGAGGGCCTAGACCCTGAGTTCAAGCCCCAGTATCGGCAAGAACAAAATAGAATGGATGGATTGTACAACTAACCTTATGATAGCACTTGAAAACTGTATTGCTTCCAAACCATAAATTCCAAAGCAAAGACATTTTTGTCCCTTTGACCCCCTTAAAGACAAGCTTTTATTAAAGTTCCAGTGGCTTTTCAGGACACTTTCGCCCTGTGTACTGTCAACAGAGCAAGCATCTAAGGTCATCTTTGCGTCATACCTGCTGAAAACGCTGAGGCCATCTAATCCACCCCTTCAATAAGAGGATGTGCAGGAAGGAAGTTGGACATACGCCTAATGTTAGGGGCCCAGGCTTTTCCATGTATTGTTTATTTAAGGCAAGCTTTTAGGTCTCTGGGAAATGCATTATATTCTAATAGTGTCTAGTAAAAGATGATGGTTATAAATAGAGACAACACCTGGGTGCTTAGGACTGTTCTGAGTGTGGGAAGTATTTATATAAGGAAGTAAATGCTCTACAAGTAGAAGGAAATCCCAAGGTGCAAGTTTGGCTCAGCTCTCAGCTAGGTAGGATGGATAGCCCTGCAACTGACTTATCCAAGTCCAAGTCCACTGGACAAAGAAGTCATTCTCAACTCTAACATCAGACACTTTCTGACACTACCATTGCCAGCTTATTCTGTTTCCTCTGACATTTGCTCCCTGTTGTCAAGAGCCAATATAGTCTGGCAATAATTAGAAACTGGTATCCTTCTATGTCAAAGTTAGACCTCCAAAAAAATAGCCAGTCAAAATATAAAAGTAAAGGCTAATTTTATCCAAAGAGTGGCAGAAAGCTTAAAATTTAGGGTTTTTTTAAAACCCCCAAATATTTCAGACTGACAAATACTGCAGGTGGAATAGGGAGATAATTCTATTTTAGGAAAATCAAGAAAGAAGGGAGAGACCAAGAGATCCAAACATTTTGGAGGAAGAATAGCTTGTACTGAGGTGCTACAACCAATGTGTTTTTGTGTGCTGGGGGAAGAGCAAGGGCCTGGAAGCTAGTGTGGTTAGAACAGAATGACTACTGGAAGTAGAGGTGAAAATGTGGCCTGGGTTAGACAGTGCTGGGGTCTGGAAGACACATGAAGGACATCCACATGATGATGTTTACCTAGTACCTACAGCTGAGGACTCATGCTGCTGCAGGCGATTTCTGTCACCAAAGGTTGCTAATGAACAACTACTTCCCAGAAGTTTGAAAAAAAATCTCTTCACTGGGCAGGCCATGGACAGTCCTTTGGAAAGCCCACTAGGAGTTTCAGTGCAGGTACAATGGACACACTAATGAAACAAGCTTAAAGGCCAGGGCTTTGGTCTTGTGACTTTTGAAAAGCCACCCTAAGCAAAACTAGCTCCAATCACCAATATGACCTTCTAGTCTGCAGGTCAAGAGAGTGGGCTTCTTTGTTGTGAGCTTAATAGAAGTCTACAGTATGACAGGAAAATTTCATTCATTTGCCAAATACTCCTTTTTTGACCAAAAGAAGTTAATTCTAGCTCACAAAGCCCACCTTCAATATTTCTATGCAATATAAAATAACATCCAGATTATCTGCCTGTTACAGTAGAGAAAAAATAGTTCCATATAAATTTGAACTTTTATGAATTTGTAAATTTCTAGACCATAGTTTAATTTCTTATTGTATTTAAGCACCTGTTGATGGAAAAAAGTGATGTGTTGTTATTTCCTCTGCTTTTTATTTTTAGCCAGATTGAAGAACAGATACAGTGAGAACAGCTTGTTTTTAAATTCAAAGCAACCTTTATTTTTAATTTTGATGGTGATGTTTTCCAGGGGGAACACAAATGCTTCATCTGTGACTCTCGACTTCCATATAATCCGCACACCCAGCCCAACAGCCACACTATTGAGAACGTAATTCCAAGTTTTGAACCACACAGAGAAAAGACATGGTGGCAATCTGAAAATGGTATGATTAAATTGCTTTCCATTCTTTTATTCATATTTTAACAAGACTCCTTTCTCCTTGTGTGGTCTTAACACTGTCACAGCAAGATGTTATCCACAAAAAATGTGGAACATCTTATAAGAACTGAATTTATTTCCATTTTAAGAAAGAATATTTTCCTTTAGAGAAATCAAAATGTATCTTAAGCAAATAACTCTGTTTTAGTTTTTCCATGTGGGGAAAGAAAAATGCCTCTGTATCTTTTAGTTCTTGGGAAAAATTAATCCTCATAGAAAACTCTACTGCCATAAATTGAATAAAGTCAGAAGTCTAAAGATGAGTAGTAAGTGCTCTTCCTTCTTTGAACACACAAGGAACAGAGAGAAAGAGCACTACTTCTCCCTGTGAGCCAAAGGTCTTAATATAAAATTTGAACTAAAAAGCTGGGTGCCAGTGGCTCAAGCCTGGAATTCTAGCTACTCAGGAGGCTGAGATCTGAGGATTGAAGTTCAAAGCCAGCCTGGGTGGGAAAGGTCCATGAGACTCTTACTTCCAATTAACCACGAGCTGTGACTCAAGTGGTAGAGCATCAGCTTTGAGCAAAAAAACTAAGGGTCAGAGCCCAATCCTAGGTTCATTGACATACAAAAGAAGAAACAAAAGAAAAGAAAGAGAGAAGAAGGAAGGAAGGGAGGGATGGAGGGAGGGAGGGAAGAAGGGAGGGAGGGAGGGAGGGAGGGAGGGAGGGAGGGAGGGAGGGGAAAAGAAAGAAAGAAAAACAAAACAAAAAGAGTGAACTAAAGGATAATTGGCTACTTATAATTAGCTATATCCTTCCTGATTTTATACCCTTCTGTGTGCATGATTTGAAGCGACACAGTGGTCCATGGTTAAGTGTAGGCCTAATGGGAGAGTATCCCTGTCCATACCAAAACATATTCATCCATAGTAGGCCTCCTAATGGAAGCTTTCCCACATACTGGTCTACAAAACATATTTATCCACACGGGGCCTCCCCATAAGGGGCCTCCTCACTTACTAGTTTGTTTTCCTTGGGCACACACTTATTCCATTCATATTCTCTATGATGCATGTTGGGCTCTTTAGACTTCTAAACACATTTTTTTAGAGAACTCTAGACCTAAGAGAGAGAGAGCACGAGAGAGAGAGAGAGAGAAAGAGAGAGAGAGAGACTCTAGACCATTAAGAGCAAAGTGTGGGGATAATTATACTATATAAGATATGTAGGACAATCCTCTTGTGATGGTGTCTTTCTACCACACCCATTTGACAACTGCACGACTGACATCTACTGAACACCAGTTCATTTTGGATCCTAGTTATGTCTTGTTGGACTCTCCTTAATGAATGTGAGGTGAGGTTTGTCATCCTCCCCTGTTGTCATTGATGAGTAGTATCAGTTGGTTTAACAGCTGTTAGGTATAATGTCCAACATTTTGCTGAGGGTAATTGCATAGAAGGAGAGTTCTCAGTCATGTACTTTAGAAAGGGGAAATAGATCTCCTCCTAGTGAGGGTCAGAGTCTTGGATCCAAAGCTTAAAATGTGGCTATGGTTCAGCAGGCGCTTCCCCTACCCATGTGCCCTAGAACTCTAAATAAACTCCCACTCACAATGGTCCAGCCTCTTTTGTCTAGAGCCACACGTTCAGTAGGACCCCTATCTGCACATGGCTATGCTGTCCGTGGAAACGCAACCCAGATGTCTAAACGCTGGGGGCAAAAAATGGATAAAAAAGCATTACTAATTTTTACAATACTGATTATATGTTGTAATGATAATTTTCATATATTGCTTTCTTTTTCTTTCTTAAGTATACTTTTTAGACAATCCTTAATTTCATGTATAACTCATGTTCCACTTCTCTTGAGCCACGCTGTTCTGGAAATAGGTGGGCTTCTGGCTTCTGTTGTGTCTGGGTGGGGCCAGATGCTCACATTGTTCTAGAGATGGATCACAATGCAAAAAGTCCTGACAGGATTATTCCCATCTCCTCAGTAATAGGGGAGCCACAGATCCTCACTCTAAGAGGAATATTCCAAGATGTAGTTTATTCCAATTAACAAAAACAATCTAACTGAACTGACTGTCTGGAGCTGGGTGTTGGGAATAAAGGGTGTGTTGATTTTTATCATGCTCCGGCTTGCTGGCTCCTATTTTGAGTACCAGGAAATACAACCTCTTGCCACCTATGGGAAATGGTCCAGAACTCCCTTGGGAATTTGCAATACTGCCACATAGTGGCCATCTTGTCTTGTCACCAAAATGTGAATTTTAGACAGGGTAAAACCTATGCTGTCACCTAGATCTCCTGGACATGGAGAGACCTGGACACCAGGTCACAGACTGGGGAACAATGTCAGCCACCAGCCATGTGACATCCATGGGATTTTATTATAGACAAGCAACATGGGGGCAGTTAACATGATAAGCAGAGATCTCTGAAATCATTCTTTTTTCCCCCTTCAGGTCTTGATCATGTCAGCATCAGATTGGACCTCGAGACACTATTTCAGTTCAGTCACCTTATACTGACCTTCAAGGTATAGTTGGACAGGCCTGCTGTTTCCTTCTCGATTCCATCAGTGCTCAATGCTAACCTGCAACTTCACTTACTTCCTGGCTTCATTATAGACATCAGAAGCCAAAATAAGTCTAGATTCAAGTTTTATCATCTGGATTTTGTTCTTAAATAATTTTTTAAATGAACATTGCTTATTAATTAATGACTGTATGGTAATGAGAAAAAAATCTTAGAAAAAAGTAGAAAGGGAAAAGTCTATATACTAGAGTAATAGAGGCCACAGAATTTGAGAGATAATTTTCAGGAAAAGGGGAGAGAAACTTGGAAGGGAAAGATTGTGTTCAAAAGAAGAAGAGAAATTATGAGTATTCAAAAACTTAAATTGCCCAACAACAAATCCTCAAAGAAACAACTGCCCAATAAATAAGTGGGCTAAAGACTTAAAGAGAAACTTCTCTGAAGAGGAAAAAAGGATGGTCAATAGACACATGAGGAAATGCTCAACCTCCCTAGCCATAAAAGAAATGCAAATCAAAACAACATTGAAATACCACCTCACCCCAGTTAGAATGGCTATAATCAAGAACTCTAAAAACAAAAGATATTGAAGGGGATGTGGACAGAAGGGAACCCTACTGCATTGTTGGTGGGAGTGTAAACTTTGTCAACCACTTTGGAAAGTAGTATGGAGGTTCCACAAAAGACTCCACATAGAGCTCCCCTATGACCCACCAATCCCACTTTTGGGCATTTACCCAAATGATCACAAACAAGACCATACTAAAACTACCAGCACAGCTATGTTTATTGCAGCATTATTTACCATAGCTAACATATGGAACCAATCCTGATGCCCCTCAGTAGATGAATGGATCAAGAAAATGTGATATATATATACGCAATGGAATTCTATGCCTCTATCAGAAAGAATGACATTGCCCCATTTGTTAGGAAATGGAAAGACTTGGAAAAAATTATATTAAGTGAAGTAAGCCAGGCCCAAAGAAACATAGGCCCATGGTTTCCCTTATTTGCAATAGCTAGTATATGTATGAGACAAGCAAAAACGGTCAGATAAGTTGATGTTAGGGAAATGAACCCTAAGATAAGGGTTCAAATGGTTTTTTTTTCTTTCTTGTGATTGTTTCCAACATATTTATAAGATGGTTTCTTTGTTGCTTTGTATGTACCTCCCCCAGGGTATAAGCCCTGCTTTCACTGTATTTGATGTTGATATAATTTGTGGAGGGGAAGGGAAAAAAACAAGCTGTTTAAATAGGGATACAGGTGGACCCATTACAAAAATGAGATGTACAAGAGGTTATGTAGAAAAACGAACTTTATAGCTTCAGCGGTGGGGGGATGGGGTGGTAGGGGGGGTGTGGGGGTGGGGGTGGAGAGCGGAAGGGATGGTATGAGGAAACAAAGGAGGTGGCAACAATGCTTGATAAGAAATGTACTCACTAGGGCTGGGAAGGTGGCTCAGTGGTAGAGCACTTATCTTGCATGCCTGAGGCCCTGGATTTGAATTCTCAGCACCACATAAGCAAAAAGAAAAAAGCCGGAAGTGGCGCTGTGGCTCAAGTAGTAGAGCACTAGCCTTGAGCTGAAGAGCTGAGGGACAGCGCCCAAGCCCAGAGTTCAGGCCCAATGACCGGACCCCCCCCCCCCCAAAAAAAAAAGAAAGAAAGAAAGAAAGAAATGTACTCGCTATCTTGCCCATATAATTGTAACCCCTCTGTATGGTATTTTCACAGTAATAATTAAAAATTTTTAGAAAAAGAAATTATGAGTATTAAGGTTAGTTAGATGCCAACACAAGTTATATAGTACAGTTTTTTATAATCATCAGAATTCTAACCTTGATCTCAGGCTTGGCACTAATTTGGGTAATTATTTTTTTTTAAAGATATAAAATTTAAAAGTAATGAAAAAAGGTCATCAGTCTTTGTCCCCCCAAAACTCACCATTTCATTGCAAACTCAGACATATAAATAGAATAAGTATTTTTAAGTATAAACAAAAAAAGAAAGTTGTAGTACAAAAGGAAATGTGCAGTAATACAGATATAATTAAAATCCTGGGGTTACTTAGTTGAAGAAGCTAAATCCACTTTAGGGAATCACAATAAACGTTATGGGTTTCATAAGATCTGTAAATTTGCCTAAGGAAAAGCATTCTCAGCAAAGAGAACCAAAGAAAATTGTTGTAAAATACTAATGACATTGGCATTTTTTTAAATGTATGTACTACTTTTCTTACTAATTACACAGTCATAAATCTTTTCAAAATGTAACTTGATTCTGAGGGCATAAATAGTTGCCCATTTGTTGGAACAAGATCTACCTGTGTCTGCTGTAGAGTACAAGGTTTCATAAAATGGAAATAGAAGACAAAAATGTTCAAACAAATGATTGATAAACTCTGCCTTGGGACATTATTTTCAGACTTTTCGACCTGCTGCAATGTTAGTAGAGCGTTCCACCAACTATGGACACACCTGGAAAGTGCTCAAATATTTTGCAAAAGACTGTGCTATTTCTTTTCCTGGCATCACTGCTGGCCAGGCCCAGAAAGTGGGAGACCTTGTCTGTGACTCCAGATATTCAGATGTTGAGCCCTCAACTGGAGGCGAGGTAACCTTCCTTCCTTTGGATTTCTTTCCTTATAAACACTTTAATACGTGTGTGTGTGTGTGTGTGTGTGTGTGTATACTCATATATATATAAGAGAAAGCTTAAGTCATGTTTATTCAACCATAATGTAATCTTATTTTTTTCTTAAAATGAAAATGCCTAAATTGAAATGAATCCTGATTAGTAGACAATAAATATCCAAGCAGAAGCAATCCATAGGGGTTAACAGCTGAGAGTGAACAGTTCAGTCTATACTGGCCAGGTGTAGTGCTGGGCACCTAGAGGAAGAAAGAAAAGAACAAAGCTGGTCACATTCCTGAGTTAACTGTCTCATTATTGTAATTCTGGAATCGCTAGGGAAACTAGGTGGGATCTAGGAATGTCTCTCTATACAAAGCTGGTAACAACTAGCACAAGGTCAGGGTAGCAGTGGGGTTGGAGAGTACCTATCTTATCAGAGAGAGCAGAGAGATTTGGTGGCATAAGACAGCTTCAGAATTCCCTGCCAGGCCCAAATTCACAGTGGCTTGCTGAACTACCCATCACTCCATCCTAACCCAGTTCATAGTTCTCTTCAGCAGTGCTATTCCACTTCTGTTTGTATGGACACACATACACCAAATCCACCTGTGACTGCTCAATCCTATTCATTCATCTCTGTATCTGGTCCTTTATTCATATAGTCACTCAAATAATAATCGACATATTAGCTGGGAGCCAATGGCTCAATCTTCATGCAAGATCAAGATTTCTTCCTTAAGCAATTAGACAGTTACACTTGGGCTACCATAATAAGTTCACCTATATTGTTTGTCTTGCAGGTTGTTTTAAAAGTTTTGGACCCTAGTTTTGAAATAGAAAACCCTTACAGCCCCCAAATTCAAGGTATGAATCTGTTACATATTTCATAAGTTTTCTTTAAATTTCATGTTAGGAGGATGCCTTGTCATTTCTTTCCTGTGGTGTGCTAAGGAGACAGTCAAGCAGAAAAACTTGAACTTAAATGCACTTTGATTCATTTTGTTTTTCTTTTTCAAGACCTTGTAACATTAACAAACCTGAGGATAAACTTTACCAAACTCCACACGCTTGGGGATACTTTACTTGGAAAGCAACAAAATGATTCCCTTGATAAATACTACTACGCACTCTATGAGATGATCGTTCGGGGAAGCTGTTTTTGCAATGGCCATGCAAATAAGTGTGAGCCTTTACAGCAGGTGCAGGGAGACGTTTTCAGCTCCACAGCAGTGGTAAGTTATTAGCCAGACTTGCAAACTGTCTCTCCTTCCTTCCTTTCATTGTTCTGATATATAATTTATATGGAGACCAGAAATCTATATATGGAGAACAATAAATCTGAGTGCCCAGTTTTGCATGGGACCGGTAGCACTGAATCTCCACCTTCCCGGCACCCCCTTCCCGCCCCACCTGCTCATTCCTCTGTCCATAGTCCTTGTGAATTCTGTCACCTGTGGGCATCACTGAACTCAGGAGCAGAATTTATCATGTGTGGTTTTAAGATAACCTACCTTGCTTTGGTTTATTTATTTTTTTAGGACACACAGATTTGATAGGAATGAACTATAATTTCACATTCATTCTTTCACACATACAAAAAAATATTGAAAATTTGTAGGGAATGCGACCTTCTATTCAAAGCTAGAATGTTTCAATGACACCTGATATTATAAAAATGGTCAAGCCCTGTGATACTCTTCTGCTCTGAACTGCTGTCAGGGTTGTAGATCTCTTGTTCTTAGTGTGTGTCTTTTGTTGTTGTCTTCTTGTTTCTACAGTTCAGGGAATTGAACCCAGGGCTTCAAACATTCTATGCTCGTGTTCTACCACTGAGCCATACTCGAGCCCAAGAACTGTACACTTGTGCTGAATCCTAAGGGGTATGTCTACTAAACAGATTTACTTATTAGGTTCAGTTGTCTCAGTCTCTAGAGAACATGATACCTTCCCACACAGCCACCTCTACATCTCTCTGAACATTTTTAAGCATTTTGTGAAAGCCTGAGGGAATCATGTCTTTCTGTAGCTTCTTTCTCTTTTCTAACTCCTTATTTTCCCTTCTCCAAAAACACACTCACTCCTTACATCTTGTTCCTTGTGCTGTCCTGAAACAAGAATTTAGAAAAGCATACCCACAAAATTTACTCTAAATATTGATTATACTTCTGGAAATTATTAAATCTTATAAACTAGTGAAGCACATAATTGAATATAGACAGATTGGTATTGTCACTAACACATAGGGAACTAAAAGCCACAGAGGGACCATGACCTGGGAATTCATTTTCCATGTACAGACAAGCCCTGTTTAGCCAGATGCTCAGGGCTCACACCTGGAATCCTAGGTATTTGAGAAGCTGAGCTCTGATGATTGTGGTTCAAATTTCCAGTTAACCAGAAAAATGCTGAAAGTAGAGGTAAGGCTCAAGTGGTAGCGTACCATCTTTGAGCAGAAAAAAAAAGCAAAAGTGTCATGCCAGGCCGAGTTCATACACACACACACACACACACACACACACACACACACACGCACACACGCACGCACGCACATGCACATGCACACACACAAAGAAAAGCCCTATTCTAACTCTGTTCATTCATGATTGCAGGTTCATGGGCACTGTGTCTGTCAGCACAATACAGATGGCCCCAACTGTGAGCGATGTAAGGACTTCTTCCAGGATGCTCCTTGGAGGCCAGCTGTGGGTGCTCAGGACAGCGCTTGCAGAGGTGGGTGAAAATAAGTTCTTGAATAGAAGAGTGTGTTCTCTTCTCTTATTCTGAAGCACATGTATTTCACTTCTGTGGGGTGCAGGCAGCTGAAGAACTGGAGCTGTGGCTCCCTGCTGCACTTGTGTGATATCTTAATTGCTCCAAGGGCCTCATGTACAAGAATCACCAACTTCTCAAACTGACACCCCCCAAAAAAATTAAGATAACTAGTGTGCATGCTATGCAGCACATTTTTAGATAATGGGGTGAAGTTGTGTGTAATTGCTGAGGGCAAGCAAGTCTAGGTTTGGTAACAAGATGTCATACGTTCCAGAAAATGACTTTATATCCATAAGAAAGATGATAGGAAAAAATGAGGTCCAGGAATTAATTTGTTGTTAGGCTTTTTGTCTTTGTGCCAATACTGTAGCTTTAATTTAGGGTCAGAGTATTCTCTCTTAGCTTTTTATGGCTCAAGGCTTTTGCTTTTCCACTTGAACCACAACTCCACTTCTAGCATTTTGCTGGTTAATTGAATATGAGTCTCACGAACTTTTCTGAGATCTGATATTCTCAGATCTCAGCCTCTTGAGTATCTAGGTTTATAGGCAAGAGCTACAAGCATCTGGCTTGGACTAGCATGTTTTAATGAAATATTTTGGTTAATAAGGTATTTTAGTTTGCAGTGACAGTTTAGCTGCCTCTGAATTTTTATGAACTTCCACACAATCTTCTTATTCCGTTTCTTTTCCCAGGTTTTGGTAAAATAGGACTTGAAGGAATGAAAGGTCCCTAGAAGAGCTCTAATGAAAAGAACCTATCTGTGACAGAGTACACAAATCCAGCAAAACATGGCCAAACTCAGACTGTTTACAGTGGGGTGGGTTGTGGGACACAGCACAGACGTTACAACAAAGATAAACAAATTTCTCCCAACAACTATGTGGCCTTCTAGTCATCTTAGTGAGCCTCACGAGAGAAAAGTGGCCTGTAGCCACCTTTTTAGCCCTCTGTCCTTGCAGAAGCACAGAAACTGACTGGGCTCTACTCCAACATCTTATGTACAAATCCCAATGTGTATAGAACATTTAAGTAAAAAAAAGAAAGAAAGAAAAAGAAAAGAAAAAAAAAAAGCCTGGTGTCGGTGGCTCAGGCCTGTATGGCTCACACCTATAATCCTAGCTACCCAGGAGGCTAAGATCAAAGGATTGTGGTTCAAAGTTAGTATGGGAGGGAAAGTTCGTGAGAGTCTTATCTCCAATTCACCACCAGAAAACTGGAATAGAGCTGTGGCTTAAAGTGGTAGAGCACTAGTCTTGAGCAAAAAAGCTCAGGAACAGCACCCAAGCCTGAGTTCAAGCCCCAGGACTAAAAAATAAATAAATAAATAAAATTCAGATTTACAAAGCATGAAGTCAGCAAAAATATTCTTCACTGAACACCATAACACACCCTATGGTTTCCAGATTGCCTAAATGATTTCTTTCTGTTTGTGTGATTTTTAAAAGTATATATTGAGTATCATGGGAACACTCTTTATGACAGCACATGAGGAGAGCAGAATGCCAGACAGACCTGCTTTGGCCTCTGTACACTTGGATGTGGATGAAGAGGAGCAGGGGCTGAGACCTTGGAGGCTGAGCATGTGGGACACCGCAGCCTCTGAAAGTCTCTCAGGCGTTTTCCATTTCCCTTCTCAGCATGCAGCTGTAATGGCCACTCTGAGCGCTGTCACTTTGACATGACCACATACCTGGCCAGTGGTGGCCTCAGTGGAGGCGTGTGTGAGGACTGTCAGCACCACACCGAGGGCCAGCACTGCGAGCGCTGCAGACCCCTCTTCTACAGGGACCCCTTCAAGGCCATCTCGGATCCCTATGCATGCCTCCGTGAGTTCCACCCCTTGCCCAGTCCTTTGCATTTGTCTCCACAAATTCTCATCTGGCACCTTTGGGATTGCCTGCCCCAACTCTGCTTAGCAGGGGATTCAGACTACCTTATGGGAAGTGAGGAGGTAAGACTACTTCAGTTCTACCTCCAAACAAGCTGACCCAAATAATCCAGGTCAGGCCTGAGAATTGTGTAACCTAGGCTATACCAATGAATCAGAACTTTATTTTGGATCCAACCAGGAGGGGCTGGCAGCTTTAGGAGATGCCACAGGCATGTTGGTAACACTGGAACTCAAATCAAGAAAGTAACCACACAGTGATATTGGCTAAAACATTTCACTGGCTGAGGAAATTCTATTTTTCAATTTTGCTCTAAGATAAATGAGGTAAGATCTCATCTTCTTTAAAGAACAAGACTTAAAGCCAAGTGCCAGTGGCTCATGCCTAGCTACTCGGAAGGCTGAGATCTGAGGATTGCAGTTCAATACCAACCTGAGCAGGAAAACCCATGAGACACATATCAAATTAACTACCAAAACAGGGGGGTGGAAGTGGAGTTATGGCTCAAGTGGTAGAGCACAAGACTTGAGGGAGAATATTTTTTAAAAAGGAACAGCACCCCAGTCCCAAATTCAGGCCCAAGACCAGCCCCTCCCCCCCAAAAAAGACTTCAAACCTTTATTATTTATTTGTTTATTGCAGTAGTGGGGCTTGAACTCAGACCCTCGAGGTCACTTGTACTCAGCTTTCTTGATCAAGGCTGATGCTCTACCACTTGACCACTGTTCCAGTCCAGCATTTTGCTTGTTAATTAGAGATAAGAGACCTGCAGACTTTTCTACTCATTCTGCCTTCAAACTGCTATCCTCAGATCTCATATTTCAGCCTTGAGTAGTCAGAATTATAGACTTGAGCCACCAGCATCCAGCAAAAAGCTTTTCTGTTTAATCTCAACTTTTACAAGCATAAAAAATAGACAGTCATATAATAAACACTTTTTACATACCACCAGCTTCATCAAAACTTTTCCAACTCTCTTTACTAAGAAAACACCACAAACACTAATGGAACCCCAGGCATAGCTTCTCCCTTTGCCTTCTTCCTTCATAGGAGCAAACACTCTCAACGACTTGATATTTATCATTAAGACCATGCTTGTTTTCATACTTGCACACATGTTTTTATCACAAACAATATGTATTGGCGGATTGTCAAACTTTTGACAACAGTGACTTTGGATTAATGGTTGTATGCTATATGTATCCTTCAGCAACTTGGATATTTCAACATTCTATTTCTGAGATTTGTCCTTATTGGTTAGCCCCGATTCCTTCATTTAAATTTCTGCCAAGAATTTCTTCCTATAAATATGTCAATATGTATTGGTCTATTTTCTATTTGTGAGCTAGTGCACATGTGTAAAGACTATCCCTAAGAAACATAACTCAGATGGAAATGCTGGACCAATGCAGAATTGACTCTAGGTGACTGTGCCAATTACCACCTACACCATGAGTATGTGGGACTTCCTGTGGATCTATATCCTGTTCAAAACTGATACAAAGAACTAAGTTCTCAGAAAACATTTGTTTAGAGAAATTTCCTGAGTGTCCTACAATTTTTATCTTGATCTTGAATTGTACACATACACATCAAATCCCCCTAAACTTTTATTCATGTTTATAGTTATGTACTCAGAAAAGAAAAGAAAATTGCTCTTTGGGGGTAGAATGAAGGAATTACAATGTTATAAAACATAGTCCAGGAGTCATAAAAGAAATTTAGAGATTTATAAGCCAGATGATTTAAATATATCAAATGAATCTTGTTTTTAAGATTAAATTGATGGTACTTTAGAAAAAAGAAAGAAAGAAAGAAGAGGAAGTTAACACTCCTGATTTGAAATTAAGAAGGCATTCTTTGTAAACAAGGAGTTTTTCCTCATAACAAATCTCCATCATGAGACTCCCCAGTTTCTGTTCCCCTAAACACATGTTTATTGTATGTATACAAATGATGTGTATCAAGAAGATTGACTAGCACTCTCATATAACCTTTCTCTAAGTTGTCCTTGGTTGAACCTAAATATTTACATAAAGGGATTCCAGGCACAGATTGGCTAATTTTAAGTCTTCTATGATTAAGACAGTTACATATGATGCAAACAAAACCAAAGATCTGGTAGACTTAGCCACTGATAAGAAAAGTTTACTAAGATTAAATTGGTTTTATTGGCCTTCTAAAGGCTAAGACATAGGGTTATTCAAAGTAGAGTTACTCTCTAGTCACTCTGTCCCAAAGGGTATTTCTGTGTATAATTAATTGATAATCTAGAAATCTGTGCTGATCCTTGGATGTGACTCCCAAATAAACTTGAGCTTTTCCTTTTGGCCACTTATTAAATGATCTATTTTGTCCTTTATTCTCTGGAAGCAAGTGGCTTTAATTAGAAGGAAATTGTGAATTTTCCTCCAAACTAAACAGAACCTAATGTTTTTATCACCACTCACAATCCAAGAACAAACAGCCAAAACTTGAAAGATTATGTCAGACAACTAAGCATTTGTTTCGACACCAAACAACTGATCTGACTGGATTTTTCCCACTGAACTCACTAACCTAAGTGGTTGTAGACATAACCTTAAATTTGAGGAGCTTATGTCTATTAATCTGAAGCAAACATGTACAAATGTGGGAAAGAGTGTCCTTTAAAATCCAGATGTTTATTTTTGATGTTTATTGCCTCCCTTTAAAGTAGAATCCCTTGGAAACAGCACCATAAAGGAAGGATGGGTCCTTGTAATGGCTACCAACACACTGGTCCTCTAGACCAAAGCTACAAGTGCTGTCTGTGTCTCCCCAGACTCTGTAGTCATGAGAATCATCCTGACTGACAGTTCTTACTTACACTATGTCAAAATCTATCTCATATAACATATCTTCTCTAGTCCTGCCATACCCTCAAATTATTCACACTATCAGAATCCTTTTTCATATTATATTCCTTAATGAGTTATATTTCTACTTTTAAAAAAAGCTGATACTTCTGTTGATCCTGTGCTACTGGTTTCTGCTTATCTTTTTTTCTAGAATTTCTTTAAGTTTTTGCATTATTGCCAGGTTTCCAAAAGAGAAAACAAGGACATGAATGTCTTCCTGTTCTTTTCCTTTCTTTCTTGTAGATTGTCCAGGAAAAGTCAAAAAGAATGATAGTACTTTCCTTGGAGACATACATTTTCTGTGAGGAAGAACATCTTTTAACCTTGCTTCAGAGAGTTGGTTAGGCATTAACCTGATTTCTTTCAGTTTGCAGGGAGACAAATACCACTATATAAACCCTTAGTTTCTTGACCTTATTTTCACCTTTAGTCTTTTTATTTTTCTTACTACATTGAAATTCATTTAACATAAAATTCACCATTTTAAAATGAACAATTGACTAGTTCAGTGTCATGCAACCATCACATTTGCCGAGTTCAAAGACATTTTCATCATCCCCAAAAGAACTAATCCTTAAAATCATTTTCTAAACAGTAGTTTTCCTCTGACTTTAGAATAATATATATGCATAGATATGTATATGTAAATATACACAATATATGGAATTATATAAGGAATGCCATATGAAAAAAATGCTGATAGTATGAATAGTTTGAGGGTAGGACAGAATTAGACAAGAGAAGTTATGTGAGGTAGACCTTGATGGCCTATAAGGAAGAACTCTTTGTCAGGATGACCCCCGCCAGTCTAAAGTGTCTGGATAGATGCATGTATATGTATGGAATTATCCAACATATATCTGAACTTACTCAACATACATCTGAACTTACTCTGGGAGCCATTTCTGAAACCCTTTGCCCAGTAGTCTACTTGTACAAATTTATTTGGTTATTATTTAAACATAGCTTAATAGTTCTAGAATGGGCAAAATGCTATGCTTAAAATGAAAGTTCCCCATAGTTTGCAATTAACTAAGTCAATGCATTTCTGTGTCCCCAGCTTGTGAATGTGACCCTGATGGGACCCTGTCTGGTGGCATTTGTGTGAGCCACTCTGATCCTTCCCTAGGATCTGTGGCAGGCCAGTGCCTGTGTAAGGAGAATGTTGAAGGAGCCAAATGTGACCAGTGCAAACCCAGCTACTTTGGCCTGAGCGCCTCTGACCCTTTGGGCTGCAGACGTAAGTCCGCAAGGCTGGGCCACCAACCTGGGTGGGTGCATGTTACAGTTCAGTGGGGCTCTTTCTTCCTTCCTTCCTTTCTTCCTTTCTTCCTTCCTTTCTTTCTCTCTCTCTCTCTCTCTTTCTCCTCTCTTCCTTCCCCCCCCTCCTCTTTCTTTCTCCCATCTTCCTTTTTCCCTCTCTCTCTCCCTCTCCCTGCCCCTAAAATTCACTCCCTGCAAAACCCCTAAAAGTCCTGACTGGCCTCTGAGGCTTTAAGTCATTCAATACCTCCCTTAACTTGAGAAATTAGTGGACAACTTTCCTCCTTGGTATACTGAATGTATCATAACTTGCCAGCAGAGGGCGCTCACATTTCCCCTCCACTGCAACAAATGGAGTAAATACTAAGAATTTTAACGCCAAGTTGCGAAACCTCTAGAAAAATGGCTCCCGGTAACTGAATACACTCCTCCCAGTGAGTGTAAGTCAATGAGCACGCACAAAGGCATCACGAGTTCCTATTTGCTCTGCAACAGGTAAGGAATGCACTGGAGATAACCCAAAAGCAGAGCCCTCCAGAAACAAAGGAAGCAGGGGATTTTATTCATATGGAAAAGCACTTTAGGGAGCACACTCCTGCGCAAAGTCAGTGTAAGGTTATAATTCAAGAAGGAAACATACATTTCCGGGCATGCTCAGCTCAAGGTCATGGAGTGCATGCTTGGAAGGTTAAAATAGGGAATAGAAACACTTCTGGGAATATTCAGTTTCTTTTTTTCCAAGAAGTTTTAACTAAAATAAAAGGAAAGGATACTGAAAGCTTGCTAAACCAGGCACCAGTGGCTCATGCTTGTAGTCTTCGCTACTCAGGATTAGGGTTTGAAGCCAGCTTAGGTAAAAATGTTAATGAAACTTTTATCTACAGTTAACTAGCAAAAAGCTGAAAGTGGAAATGTGGCTCAAGTATAGCACCAATCTTTAGCATAAAAGCTAAGAGACAGCACCCTGGCCATGAGTGCAAACACCTTTTTTTTAAGCATATTAATATAGGAGTTTTATCTAAAGGATGCCAGCCTGGCTTAACCACAACTACTTGGTGTCTATAGAAAAATTTATTATAGGGCTGGGAAGTTGACTCAGTGGTAGAGCGCTTGCCTTGCATGCCTGAGGCCCTGGGTTCGATTCCTCAGCACCACATAAGCAGAAACAAAAAGCCGGAAGTGGTGCTGTGGCTCAAGTGGTAGAGCACTAGCCTTGAGCTGAAGAGCTGAGGGACAGTGCCCAGGCCCAGAGTTCAGGTCCATGACCGGACCCCCCCAAAAAAATATTCTTCTCAGGTTTGATGGTGAAATTAAATGTCACCGTAATGAATTATATGGCCAAGATAGTTTTCCATCACAGTTTTCAGCACTGTAGGCATCTCTGTGGTTCACTGATTAGCATGATGTCCTCTGAGAATGGTTTGAACATTGATGTGTGTGTGTGTGTGTGTGTGTAGGTATATGTGTGTAACCATTTTGTTGGCATGTAACAAACGTGCCATACAGTATCATTTAAAGAGTATAGTTCATTTATTTTTAATACATCAAAAGTTGTGTAACATCATCAGTTTTAGAACATTTTAATCCCCCAGCACAAACCCCATTTTGGATATGTAACTACAAGAACTGCAAGCAGATTTTTGAGGTGATATATGTATTTTCACAATAGCCAGAACATGGAAGTAACCCAATGTCCATTGATAGATAAGTTGATAAGTAATGCACGCTATAGAGGGATAATGGAATACTACTTAGCCTTAAAAAAAGAAGGAAATTCTGACACATCCTACAGTAGGGATGAACCTTAAGAACATTAAGCCAGTTGCCATAGGGAACCAAAACTATGTAATTCCATTCATATGAGAGACTTAAAGTATTTAAATCATAGAGACAGAAAGAATGATGGCTATGAAGCCTGTGGGTGAAGAAAAGAGGAGCTATTGTTTAATGGTATACTATTTCAGTTTTGCAAGGTGAAGAGCTAGTTGTAAAACAATGTGAATGTACTTAGCACACTGAAAAATGGTGAAGACTATAAGTTTTGTTATATTTATTTACCAAAATAGAAAAACCACATATATTTTAACTACTACCTTCCTACTCTCCCACATTAGTGCTTTCTAGGGCACTGCCACTACAGAGCTGCTGATTGTGGACATTTCATACAAAAGGAATCATTGTAAAATGTGCTCTTTTTTGATTGGCTTCTTTTACTTACAATGTTTTCAAGGTTTGCCTATGTTATAGCAAGTATTGCTTTATCTGTATTTTTTGTGTGTTGGTTAAACAACATTCCGTTGGATGGATGTACCAGGTTTGACAGGCCTATCCATCAGCTGATGACCATTTGGCTTGCTTTCTTGAACACTCAATTTTCCTGCAGAGGAAAATAACAGCTTGCATAACTTCTTGAGTCTCCACAACCATAAGCAGGACTGAGAAATGACTATGGGTGGAGAAACAGGAATGAAGTAAAAAAATAGTAATAATAATAATGATAATGAAGCAGTAAGAATGAAAGGAGAGAGAGACAGAGAGACAGAGAGAGAGAGAGAGCGCATGCACATGTATGTGAGGGGGAGAGGGGTGTGTACATCTGCCAGAGAGGCTTCTGTCAGTGATAACCATAATGGCTGGAAACTGAGTCATAAACATGATATTCCCTGAATCACCGCCTGGCAGCACTCAGAAAACTGTCAGCATTCCAGCTTGTGCTGACATGGTTCCTCCTCATTGCCATCCAATAGAACTACATAAGAATTTGCAAGAATCTGGCCAGGGATTGCCTCTGTGGGGTTAATGTAGTATGATAATCATGTATCATACACAATAACCTGGCAGAGCAGGCTGCTGTGTGTTCTTGTGGCCATTCATTTTGCTCAGTGTGAGCTGTTAAAGACATTCGCAAGAGTGGAGAAATGAAAAATGAGAATTGTCCCGACCCGCAGGACTTCAACCAGGGCAGTGAACCTAAGCGAGAAGGAATGAAGGGACAAGAGACACGAAGAAGGACAGCAAGACAAGGATTCTGATCAAGCTGCCAATTTTTATTTTTCACACAAGGGTATTTATATGCTTGGACTTAGGGCGTGGTGCAAAGGTGGTCGTTAAGTAGATTTAGGGCAGGGTGAAAAGGTGGTCGTTAGTAGCTGCAGGGTGTTTACTTTAAGGCATGGTGAAAAGGTGGGATTCTGTAAACTCAGGCTCAGGTTGTTCCAGTGAGATAGTTAAGCCTATCAAGTTTGAGAGACTTAACTTTTGGCTCCCAACATCTCCCCCTTTCTTGTTTAGAAAATTGACCATCAATTGTTGGCTGCTCTTTTTAAGGGGGTGACAGAGGCTCTGTTCCTCTAAGGGCCCAGGGTTTTTCTCCGCTCCGAGCGAGCGTCCTCACTCGGGGAGGGGAATTTTACAGACCTTGGCATGTTTTTTGAGGAGACGGCTTGTGGGTATGCATGCCAACCGTCATGCACCAGAGCTTGCCACTCAGGGGTCTTGGGTTTTGGGATCTCACGGATCCATCCCCCTGCAGTCTTACCTGCACCCTTGATTAGAGCATTTCTTCTTCCTCCCATAGGTGCATCCTCCCCCAAGCGGAGGGGCCTATAGGAGGAGGGGCGAACCTATCCCTTATGGCAATAGGTCTTGCCCGTTGAATGGTCAGGAGTTATGAATAAGGAGGGTTTTCTAAATAAGAAAAAAAGGAGGGCTGTTTCCCACTGGAACAAGCTCATGGCAAAACATTAATTAAAAGCCTGGGGTCAATCCTAGATCTCGATGCTGCGGTCTGCCATATCAAGGCGATGGTGATGAACCTGTATGGGCTTAGAAACCAAAGATTAATCTGTTATTTAATAAATTCAAACAGGACGGTCCATGTCTGGAGTTCTAGCTGCATCTGCAAAAGAAAAGGCATCATCCTGGGGGGGGAAGGCTTCCCCTGGGTTGTGGTAAGCCATTCACCTGTTTTATCAAGCATTCTGGCAGCCACCTTGGGGCCGCTTGTTCTTGATCTAAAATACAGGCTGAACCTCGCCCCCAGATAAGAACAGGATCTGGGCCCTTCCATTTGCCTGTAAGGGGGTCTCGCCACATGACAGACGGGCGGGCAGAACTGGAAGATGGGTGCCAATACCTGTCAGCTGCCGAGTGGCCTTCATTGTCCAGAGTTAGAAAATTAAGGGCAAACAATGTATGACTAAGGCAATCCCTAGGAGTGGAAAATGAAAAGGCAGAGGCTTTGAGGCGAGTAAGCCAGGTTTTTAGGGTGTGGTGGGCTCGTTCTACAATGCCCTGACCTTGGGGGTTATAGGGAATCCCAGTAGTATGACAAATCTGAAAAATAGCACAAAACTGTTTAAACTTGGCACTGGTATAGTCTGGGCCATTGTCTGTCTTTATGTGGGCTGGTTTTCCCATTACAGAAAAGGCTAGAACAAGGTGAGAGAGAACATCTTTGGCAGTTTCTCCTGAGTGTGGTGAAGCAAAAACAAACCCGCTAAATGTGTCTATGGAGACATGTATATATCTTGTTTTTCCAAATTCAGGAAAATGGGTAACATCCATTTGCCAGATTTGATTGGGTAGCAGTCCACGGGGGTTAACACCCAGATGTTGTACAGGAAGGGAGACAACACAGGCAGGGCATGCCTTTACTATCTCCCGTGCTTGTTGTCTAGTAATTTTACAAAGCAATCGAAGGCTCTGGGAGTTTAGATGGTGGAGATTATGTAATTCTGTAGCCTTTTGGACAGACCCAACAAAAACCGGAAAAATGGAACGAGTGGCCGCATCAGCTTGAGCGTTACCCTGTGTAAGAGGGCCAGGGAGATCAGAATGTGCCCTAATGTGTCCCAGAAAAAATGGATGTCTCCTGGCCTGAATTAGCTGTTGAAGCTGAGTAAATAAAAATGCCGCATTGGAAGAAGTTTTAATAGCGGGTGAAATTTCTAGCAAGGGAACAGAATGAGCAATGTAAGCACTATCTGTATAAATATTAATAGGCTTATCAAAAAACGTCATAAAAACCTGTGTTATAGCAAATAACTCCACAAGCTGGGCTGATTGGTAAGGGGCATCAAAGGTGGTGGTATGGTTGTTAACAACAAAGGCTGCACGGCCATTGCTTGAGCCACTGCAAAGACAGTGAGGGCTTGAGGAATGGGAGCCTTTTGAGTAACCTTGGGAAAAACAAATGGATGTAGCTGGGCGAAGTGTAAAAGGGGATCATTGGGGAGATGATTGTCAATTAGTCCTAAAAATCCTGACAGGGCGATGCCCCATTCATCCCCAGTCTGGAGTAAAAATTGAGTCTGGTCTTTGGTGTATGGAATTAAAATGGTATCAGGGTCCTTGCCGAAATATTGTCGAGAAAGCAAGCGACCTTTGATAATGATAGAGGCTATCTGGGCAGGGTAAACAGCAATAACCTTGGGGGATGTGGTGGGTAAATGGACCCAAAGCAGGGGGCTGCCCTTATTATTGGAGTGGAGAATCTGTTGCCAAAACAATCCTGTGGGTGTATGAGGGGTATGTAAAATAATTAAGACCAGAGGAAGATTATAGGAAATCTGTGTAACAAACTGCTGGGCAATGGCCTCAGTAACTTGGGTTAAAGCATTTCGAGCATTGGGAGTAAGCTTGCGAGGAGAGGAGGGGTCAGAATCCCCTTTTAAAATCTCATTAAGAGGCAAAAGCACGCTGGTGGGCAACCTTAGGTATGGCCTAAGCCATTGAATATCTCCAAGCAGCTTTTGAAAATCATTAAGGGTGTGAAGATGGTCTAAACGAAGTTGAATTTGAGGAACCCGAATTTGATTATTTTGGAGTTCTAGACCCAAATAAGTATAGGGATCCTGTGTTTGAACTTTATCGGGGGCAACCTGTAGTCCCAGGGCAGTAAGGGCTTTATAAAGGTCTAAATAGCAGTTTCTAAGTTCGTGGGTGTCAGGTGCAGCAAGCAACAAGTCATCCATATAATGTAATATATAGACGCGCTGCCATCGTTTTCTCACAGGGTCCACTGCCTGGGCAACATATTTTTGACAAAGGCTAGGGCTATTAGCCATACCTTGAGGAAGTACCTTCCATTGAAATCTTTGCATGGGGCCTTGAAAGTTAATGCGAGGAAGGCTAAAGGCAAAATAGGGTCTGTCCTCAGGATGTAGGGGAATGGTAAAAAAACAATCTTTTAAATCAATAACCATTTTGTAATAGTCCCTGGGAATAGCCACCGGTGTGGGAATGCCTGGCTGTAGTGCTCCCATTGGGCGCATAGCTTTATTAACGGCGCGTAGATCTTGTAAAAGGCGCCATTTGCCTGATTTTTTCTTTATAACAAAAATAGGAGTATTCCATGGTGAAGTAGAGGGCTCTATATGGCCTGCCACCAGCTGTTCCTGTACTAACATGGAGGCAGCCTCCAATTTTTCTTGGGTAAGGGGCCACTGATCCACCCACACAGGGGTTTGGGATTCCCAAATGATTTTATCTGCATGGGGCACAGGAGGGTCAGGGGCCGATACTAAAAATCCGAATACCCAAGCCCATGTCTATCTGTTTTTTGGGTAGCTTGGATGGGCTCAACAATTCCTTCTCCTGATTTCCCAAGACCCGTACCAGGGACAAAATCCATACGGAGCATTTGATGTGTAACCACAGAATTGGGACTAGCAAGGATAACTTTCATCTGGGTCAAGATATCGCGGCCCCATAGGTTAACAGGGAGGTCAGGAACAACAAAAGGAGTAACAGTTCCCTTATTGCCCTCTTTGTCAGTCCAATTAAGAACCCTGGGGCTTACCAAAGGGTTTTTTGACTGCCCTATGCCTTTAAGGTCAGTTAGGGACGGGGTAAGGGACCAACTTGGTGGCCAATATTTTTGGGAAATAATTGTGGCATCTGCACCAGTATCCAAAATTCCCTGAAACTCCTTTCCTTCAATTCGCAGGGTGAGGGTGGGTCTTTTTTGAGTGATAGGCTGAACCCAATACGCATCAGAAGACCCCAAAGAAGCAGTTCCTCGCGGTGTGGTCTGAGCAGTGGAAGAACCCCCTGAATTTAATGGGAGCAGTACCAATTGTGCAAGCCTAGTTCCAGCTGGAATACCTGCAATCCCATTAATGGCCGTGGCCAAAATTTTTATTTCTCCTGTATAATCATTATCAATAATACCAGGAAAAACTTGGACACCTTGTAAGGTAGCAGAGGCTCTTCCAAGAATAAGGGCACACATATGAGACGGAGGGGGTCCCAGGGTCCCAGTGGGTATTATTTGAGGTCCTTGTATAGAGTCTAGTACTGTGTCAGTGGCAGCACAGAGGTCCAGTCCTGCACTGCCTGGGGTTGCCCGCTGGAGGGAGGCAATTGTGGAGAGAGGTGGGGGGCTTGTGTAGGCCTGGGAGTTTGGGAGGGGACAAACCCTATTGCCCCTGGGCTTGTCTTGGGGATGGTCGGGGCCAGGGGCTGGCCCCGAGGGAAGTTTCCCGAAAACCGAGAGAGAATGGGCTGTCCAAGGGCATTTGTTTTGGATCTACATTCGTTGGCCCAATGATGGCCCTTACCACATTTGGGACAAAGAATGGCAGGGAGTGGTCTACCTGTAGCTTGGGAGGGCATTGCCCCTTGGCTTTGTTTGCCGAAGGGACATTCACGCGCAAAGTGACCAGGTTGTTTACAATTAAAGCAAGTATGCGAGCTGGGGACTGAACCTTGAAATGCCTTGGTAAAAGCAGCACCTATGGCGAGCCCCATGGTGTGAGCAGTTCCTACTCCAGCACAAAGCCTGACGAACTCAGAGAGGTCACCCTTGTTTTTATGTGGTCAGAGGACATCTTGACATGCCGGATTAGCATTTTCAAAGGCAAGATGTTTAACAAAGGCACCTTCACTTTCACTTGGCCCAAGAAGCCTTTCGGCAGCCAAGTTAAGCCGCGAGACAAAGTCACTGTAGGGTTCCTCTGGCCCCTGTCTAACCTTTGCCAGGGAAGTAGTAGCCGATCCCTTTTGAGGGAGACGCTTCCAAGCATAAAGGCCAGCGTTTTGAATTTGTGCCAAAAGTCCAGTAGGAAAGCGTGCCTGTTTAGCATTGGAATCAAAGGGTGCATTACCCAAAAGTTTAGTATAGGTCCAGGTTTTTGAAGATGTTTTAGCCAAATTTTTTTGCGCGGTCTCTCTACATTGTTCCTTAAAGTCCGCATTCCATAAAACAAAATCACCCCCACTAAGGGTGGCGCGGGCCAGGAACTTCCAATCATTAGGGGTGAGCCAGCGCGCACTTTGGTTTTCTAACAAGGCTAATGTATAAGGCGCAGTCGGGCCATATTGGGCACATGCATTTTTTAAGCTTTTCAACAAACCGGAGGGTAAGCCTCTTATACTCTTGTTGGCCTTTTCCCTGGGTGGGTTGTTCCTCTTCATCCCCAGTATCCTGCTCTTCATCCTCCTTTTCCTCCTCTTCTGATTCATCCTCCTCACCCTCTGAGGTCCTATCTGTCTGGCTCCGAGTTACTGGAAAGGCGAGAACTGATTGATGGCCTGATCTAACCTTAATTTTATCAGGCGTTTTTGGAGTATCGGCCAAGGCCAGTATGCGGAGTTCATAATCAAGGGACCGCAGTTCTTTTAAAAGTTGAAGGTGTTCTCGCCTATGTTGAAGAGTCTCGTGTAAAGGTGCCAGGTTAGGTAAAGGGGAGGGAGAAAAAACATCTGGATCTGGAGGGGTAGTGGGCCCTTGAAGGGCTGGGCCACAAAAGGAAGGGATTTTCAGTAAATTGACCAGCAGTCATATCTAATACAACTGATGGGCAAGCCGAGGGGGGCCTAGAGGCATGTTGGAGAACCTCCTCTCCTGTTTTTACAAGTTTTAAAATTCCACTATCAAATAGAGAACCTTTTAAAACTTCATTAATCAAATTCCAATAGGAAAAGGCCGTAGCAGGAACCTTTTCTGAACCAAAGGTTTCATAATCTGTTAAACAATCTCCTACTCTTTGCCATCTTTTTGCATCTATGATTCCTACAAGTCCTCTATGAATGAGAAAAATAATTCTAAATCCTTTTTCTTAACCCGCGTTCCTCGTGTCTTGAAGGCCTCCCTGAGGTCTGACAGAAATAGATCATGTGATGATATTGCTTGTCCCATAGTGGGTCACTCACCATGCGCCGTCCCCACTCTCCTCCTGGATCTGTCTCTCGGCGGGGTCTGTCGAGGCGATCTCGCGATCTCGGACTGTACTTGGCCAAGTTTTCCCGGAGGACGGCGTTCCTTCCTCAGTCAGAGGCTCGTGCCCCACGTTGGGCGCCAGTTGTCCCGACCCGCAGGACTTCAACCAGGGCAGTGAACCTAAGCGAGAAGGAATGAAGGGACAAGAGACACGAAGAAGGACAGCAAGACAAGGATTCTGATCAAGCTGCCAATTTTTATTTTTCACACAAGGGTATTTATATGCTTGGACTTAGGGCGTGGTGCAAAGGTGGTCGTTAAGTAGATTTAGGGCAGGGTGAAAAGGTGGTCGTTAGTAGCTGCAGGGTGTTTACTTTAAGGCATGGTGAAAAGGTGGGATTCTGTAAACTCAGGCTCAGGTTGTTCCAGTGAGATAGTTAAGCCTATCAAGTTTGAGAGACTTAACTTTTGGCTCCCAACAGAGAATATTTGTATATGTTCTGTCTTTAGCCTGCGGCTGTCACCCCCTTGGGAGTCTTCCATTTTCAACCTGTGATGTGGATACAGGCCAATGCTTTTGCCGGGCCTATACCACAGGACCACACTGTGAAGAATGCACTGTATGTATTTGTCTATGAGTTTTCTTTTATACAATGATGAATTCTGGTGGTCATGCTCAGAAAGGCCTTGGTCTTGTTAATTGTACTCCATGTTCTATGATATTTCACTAGTCCTGTGGTGAGAGTCTTTATCCTATAGAAATTGGCACAGTGTCCATCAGCCTCCACCCTGAGCCTTACCCTTAGCTCCTGTAGAGAGCTAGCTGTTAAATATTTACCAGCAGACTAAACTGACCCAGTAGAGATGTCAATGGTTTTATCCATTGTTCTCCTGAGAGTGCCAGGCAGTAGACAACAAGATGAGACAATCTTTCTTTTAGCTTATCCACATATCCTCTTACCACCCTCTTACTACCTCTTACTACCCTCTGCCTAAAAATATTTTAATTGAGCTCATAAAAAAATCAACAAGCAGTAACAACTTGGGCTTAAATGTCTTCTATAAGCTGGGCACCAGTGGCTAACGCCTGTAATCCTAACTACTCAGGAGGCTGAGATCTGAGGATCACAGTTCAAAGCCAGCCTGGGCAAGAAAGTCCATGAGACTCTTATCTCCAATAAATCACCAGAAAACCGGAAGTGATGCTGTAGCTCAAGTGATAGAGCACTCGCCTTGAGCTGAAGAGCTGAGGGACAGTGCTCAGGCCCAGAGTTCAAGCCCCACGACCAATAACAACAACAAAAAATGTATTCTAGATTCCTGTGGGAAATGAACTTTTGGATTTTTCTCAGGCATCATTAAACATGAGTATGTATATTCTAAAATTAGTAATATAAACCATTTTTACTCCATAAGAAATATGTCATACAATTGAGCAGTTCAAGCTCAGATCTTTTCTTTGTTCTCCAGTCTTGGCAGCCCACCATGACATTTTAGACAGAGAAAAACAAAAACTTAACCTAATAAAAGAACAGTGACCTTGATGTGTCTGAAGAAATGGGGCTGATAAATAAGAAACATATGCCTATGAAGAAATCTTTTGGGGCTAATATTTTAAGTCATTTTCCTGAAAAACATATTAGAAGGAGGTAGGGACTCTGTACCAGATAGGCCAGTGTAATTTAAACATTTTTTATAAAAAGAGAAAGCTCACCCTCATCAGTTTCAGGAGTCACACATGTACAGCACAAAGAAGGACACACTTCTGGATGACAGGATTGCTGGAGACACCAAATCAGACCACCCCCAGGCAAACCTTAGACTCAGGCTGGAGTTACCAGGGGGTTAATTGTCAAGCATGCATCACAGACTGTCATGTTTGCAGGAAGAAAACAGCTGAGCAGGAGCCACTTCAGGATGATTGTCCAGCCTAGACAAGCCCAAGCAGCCACCAGGGACCATAGTCATTTATAGCTGAATGACTGGCGAGGCAAGAATTCTTTGTCCTGGACAAGACTTTCCATGTCACATCTTGACACAGGCAGTTCAGTTCACTTTTTTTGTTTTTGTTTTTTTCTTAAACCAAGGTTTGTTGTTTGTTTGTTTGTTTTTTTGGGGGGGGAAATATCAGAAATCCTTTACTGTGTTTCCTACACATTATGTCAGTGTTTAATACTTAAAAAGAACTTTTGAGACAACTTGGACAAGAACTTACCAAGGTAACAAAAAAATATGAGCATTTCAGACCTTTTCAAATGAGAATTTCTTGCCTTCTAAACTCATGCTTTTTATCTGAACATGCTAAATTAAAATTTGCTGGGGAAGTATCCTTGTGAGCATTTTATAGTAAATGCTATCAGAGTTTTTAAGAAATAGTTGTTTGTGTCTCACCAGCTGTTTATATTGCATAAAGGTCAAGATGTTGCAATAATGAAAAAGCATTGAACCACAGAGCTAACTCTCACTCCTGTTCACAACGGGCTTATGAATAACTGTCTTTATGGAACTGTGATAATCTTTGGTTATCTTAGAACCAGCTCAGTTGATTCTTCAACTCCACCATTTCAGTGTGGCCTGAGTAAATCTCCAGGCATTACTGTGGTAAAGGAACCATGGTTTTATTAAAACAATTGTAAATAGGGTGGTAAGAATTTTTTCCAGAGAGGCCTCAAATGACCCAGCTTGAGCAAAAAGCAGCGTGGTCTGAGGAATTATTGATTTCCATCTTGTCCCTCTTGAAGTCGTGCATGGGCCTTCCTTCTGTTCTCTTTCATCCAAAGCCCGGGAGATGGGAATACTATGACCATGGAGACCATTCCCAAGTGTGCAGGCAAGGATGGTTACTGCAGGGTGGGTCTCGATGTGTGGCTCTCTGACATCTGGCAATCGCACTGTAGTGGTTTCAGTATGACACTTCAGAACAGCAGAGATCTTTACAATTGGACTCAATGAGCAGTTTCTTTCTGTAGACTGGATCCTGGGGCCTAGGGGACCATCTCCATGGCTGTGCTCCCTGTGACTGTGCTATTGGAGGTGCTTATTCCAACATGTAAGTCAAATGAGGAGTGATGCTTTATAGCACTGTTCCTCCCCCCTCTCCACCCCCCCGCCCCCCTGCCCCCCCTCCCGCCCATGGAAGCACATTCTGGTCTGATCTGCCCATAGTCATAGGTAAAAGCTTTTTTCTGTTTCAGGTGAAGGGTTTTGGAAAGCAATGACCTCAAGGTGTTCACTGAAGCCTATTTGATTTATTTAGCTCATAACTCCACCGGGGAGACAGACACTCTTTCTGCCTAGGTGTCCCAAGAGGTTATGGGACAAATGTCTGAAACACATGACCCAACCTGCCTAAATCACTAACCCTGTGCCATCCTGAGAAGAAGGGTTCTGACACTCTATTTTCCAGGCTTTAGAGCAGAACAACCAGGAGTCACAGAGGAAAGAAGTTCCCTAAATCTGAACTTGGCTTTCAGGTTCAGTCAGATAGAGCCCGTGGGCTCACAGTACTTTTCCACAAGACTATTGGTAATTGGTCCAAACTCAGGGGGGCACTTAACCTAGTACCCTACAGCCGGCTCCTCCATGTGTCTTGTCAATGGATTCTCTCCCTCAGGTGCTCACCCAAAGATGGGCAGTGTGACTGCCGCCCACACGTCACTGGCCGCAGATGCACGGAACCTGCCCCAGGTTATTTCTTTGCTCCTTTGAATTTCTATCTCTATGAGGCAGAGGAAGCTTCACCTCTCCAAGGACTTGCACCTTTGGTTTGTATTTCATTTTTTCTCTCCACAGACTTCATGTGATGGCACATCAGTAAATATACACAGCACACACTTGACATAGTGGTTAAGTACCCAGCACAGAATGCTTTGCCCACAGATGTCAATCAGAGTAGTATTATAGCAAGGAAAATGCAGATTATATAAATGCCAAGAACAGACTCTGCATTTTGTTTATCTTTGTATCCTCTTGCTGACACATAAATGCTAATTAGATCAAATTGTGATGATATGGAAGTGGCCTTTGCTCTTTCAAGACATCCACCAGATAAAATGTGTTTTTGGAGTATCTACTTCCTTGTCTCCCCAAGGATACTAAACACATTTTATCTGGTGGACAAAATGCCTTAACACGTTGCCTGACACATAGTAGGGAGTTTCTGAGTTTCTGATTAATGAGTAAAGTTTATGAAGTTCTTAAGAGTGTAACTTCAACCATAGATAGAAATACAGGAATGGAAAGGGTGAAAATCTATAAGGAGGAAAAGCATATAAAAGTCAGTTCTGAAGAAGAAAGGATTTAGATGAAACAGGGGAACTCCTAGTTCCAGTCCCAAGTCATTTCCCGGAAGCGCTCTCCAGCACTAGCACAAAAGAAAGAGAAAGGGAAATAAAAAACACTTTCATTAGTGTAATGCACTGTTTCACATTATATATATACATACATATATACACATATATATATATAATCTCACTTAATTCTCTCATTAATCTGAAAATTATCATCTCTAATTTCTAGATGGGAGTGGGCCCTAGGAAGGTGAAGTAACTTAGACAAAGACATACACGCAGTAGACAGTGGGTCCTGAACAGAAACACTGGTACATCTGGTTCCAAATCTCTTACTCTTAACTCATTAAAATGTTGCCTACCCATGTGCTTATTGCCGAGTTCTCAGTTAAAGGATTCTTAAGGGTGCCTCGCCCTATCAATTCTTATTTAGACAGTACCTTTCTGTAAATGGCTCAAGATGGGTCAGAACAATAGTCTATAAGTATATTAGGACTTCAGCACCATAAGGGATCCCTAGTAAATAGGCTTCCTGCTTCAGTAGATTTATTGGTCTGAGTCCTGAAAGCAAAGTAATTTCAGTTGTAGACAGATGAGAAGACATTCCATCCAGAGAAAGTTATAAATAACATCTCAAAATATAATCAATACAGGTATACCAACAAATAGATCAAGGAGTTAAAATAAGGAAGAAAACCTGGAAATAAGAACACTCCTAATAAGTTTAGAGACTAAAGTTTATTATCTGGGCAATGAGAACTCATTGAAGCTTTATTAACAAGAAAATGATGTGAAGAAAATGTCCTCAATGTTCCTGTAAACTGTTTAGCAGAAGAGAAGGCCAGGTTGGTGAGAAGAGCAGTCTGCAATAGTCTACACAGGAGGAATAAAGTTTAAGTTTAGAGGTAGTAGAGAGAAGACAATGATAAGAGATGGAAATATAAATACATAAATGGAGTATATAAACCCAACTGAATCTTACAGATAATTCTTTTAGTAGTCTAATTGGAGAATTAAGAAGAAATAAAATTGACTTTCTTGGTGAATCTTTAAAAGGGTAACTGCATATGTATATGTGTATCCTTGCTACTCAAAATGTACTCAGCAGCCTAAAATATTGGCATCACATGGGAGTTCATTAGAGGCTCACATATATTCTAGACTATTGAGTCAGGACTACATGTTAACAAGAGCCCACAGATGATTTCTGTGCATTTCAGGGAGCATTGTTTACTTGATTTCAGAAATGTCTTGAACGAAAAGAGTGGGGTATGGGTCACCATACTACATGTGGGGAAAACATGTCTCAAGCCAATATTGACTGTTTGATATAATATGAGTTGAATAAAGTGTAATATAGAATTAATGTTAATTCCATAATGTGTGTTTTATATGTAATATAAATAGAATAGTTTATAATTTTGTGGCAAGATGAGTGCAATTCATGAAGGAAAGCAAAAATGCAAATAGACATAATCCCACAATGGCATTGCCAAAGCTTCCTCATCATAGAGGAAGCCACAGGAGCTGATGAGAGAACATGGCTGGCTAGGTGCTGTAATCCTAGCTACTCAGGAGGCTGAGATCTGAGGATCCCGGTTTAAAGCCAGCCCAGGCAGGAAAGTCTATCATACTCTTATCTACACTTAACTACCAGAAAACCAGAAGTCCCACTATGGTTCAAAGTGGTAGAGCACTAGCCTTGAACAAAAAACACTCAAAACAGCACCCAGGCCCTATGTTCAAGCCCCATGACCAACAAAATAAATGAAAGAGAGAGAGAGAAAGAACATGGCTGAGGGTCTGAATAGTAAACTGTGAGACAAATGGAGTCTCCAAAGCAGATCATAGTTGACCTCAGGGCTGTAAACTCCTGGTGTTATATAGATATTACATATATGAATGTTGTATATAACATGTTACATATGTGTAGTGCACACACACACACACACACACACATAAACACACACACACACACACACACACACACACACACACACACACACATCTGGCATAGCTTCTTCCCAAGACTTTTTTTTTTTACTTTCCCATTTGGCTTTATTTCAAAATGTCATTTTACAATGGCAAGTTTTTAAAACTTTTAAGTGACTATACCTACAGAATCTGAAATTGAATCCTTAGGATTTACTTAGTTTTGTGAATGAAAAGGGGTATAAACATAGCCAAACAGAGAGCTGATAGAATTCAACAGAATATTGGTCATGTAGAAAAACAGAAAAAAAGAGGGAAGGGGTAACAAGTTTGACAAGAAATGTACTTATTACCTTACTTATGTAACTGTAACCGCTCTGTACATCACCTTGACAAGGAAAAAAAGGAAAAAGAGAAAAAACAATCATGAAATATATTATAAATAATTTTGTCTTTAGTACCACTTCAAATGATATTTTACTGTGTTTGTAATGATTAGATTGGTTTCTGGAAAATTACCAGATTCTCATAATATTAAGGTCATATCCATGTTTATGGGAAAAGGGACATCCATCAGTCCCCATTTTCAGTATTTCTTCTTTAGGCTACAGCTTGTACTTGATGAAATTTCTATCTACTATTCCTGAGATTATTAAATAAGAACTATAATTACTTTTTAAGTGATAGTGTAATCTGAAACTCTTGTACTATAGAATGATTGATTCCTTTTATGATTAGCTAACTTATCATCTTTGTTCTTTTTAAGATATTAGCAACAGCTTTGCCAACGTGTGATGTGTATTTCCAGCAACAAGGAAATGATTTCACAATGGACAGAGGAAATATAATACTGAACAAAAATCAGAAGCAAAGCCTACGTGCTTATGAGCAGAATAAGGTAAAGCCATTTCTTAATGACCATTGTTATTAGCCACCAATAAAACTAGTCATGTACCCTAGGCCTGGCCCCTCAAGTCCTCATTTCCTGTAAGCCCTGTCTTCATAAATAGAAATGGAGGGAAGGTGTTTAGAACCAAGCTCAGAGTAATGGGACCTTTTGAGGAAAACTCTACTAGCTTTATTTCTGTTCAGAACAAAGTTGTTCTAGAAAGCTGGGTTCTAGAGTATTGGTGAATCCAGGCATTAGCAACTCATCTTAACAAGGAGATGTGAAGTGCTGAGGGGTGTTCCTCCTAACTGGAGAAGAGATGCGCTACTGTGCTTTAGGGTGCTGTTGTGTCTGTGCCCCAGACACCAAGATGGTTACAGTTAGGAAGTGCCAGTGTGAGAGCCAAAATGATGCCACCTCTTCAGGAACCCCTCCTCCAAAGGCTTCAAAAGCCCAAAGAACTTACGGTCATCCAACTATTATTCACTCAAAGTCAAGGCCAATGTCCATCTATATGCTCATTCATTCCTTCAATCATTACACAGAGAGTGGAGCATTTCCCTGTGCACATGCACAAATGGTTCCACTAGAGAAGCAAAGGAAAGTGGACGAGGACTGTCTGGTTCACAGACACAGCACATCCGTCAGTCCCCTTACATATGAGTCTTTTTTTTTTTTTTGTCGGTGGTGGGGCCTGAACTCTGGGCCTGGGCGCTGTCCTTCAGCTCTTCAGCTCAAGGCTAGCGCTCTACCACTTGAGCCACAGCACCACTTCCAGGTTTTTCTGCTTATGTGGTGCTGAGGAATTGAATCCAGGGCCTCATGCATGTGAGGCAAGCACTCTACCACTGAGCCACCTTCCCAGCCCCAATATAAGAGTCTTTATTGAAGCCTGGCACCAGTGGCTCATGCCTGTAATCCAATCTGCTCAGGAGACTGAGATCTGAGGATTGTGGTTCAAAGCTAGCTGGGGCAGGAAAGCTCATGAGACTCTTATCACCAGAAAAAAACTGGAAGTGGTGCTGTAGCTCAAGTGGTAGAGCACTCACCTTGAGCTGAAGAGTGCAGGAACAGCACCCAGGCCCAGAGTTCAAGCCCCACGACCAACCAAGAAAAGTCTTTATTGAGTGGATAAAGTGATGGAGACAATGTAACTGCACAAGAATCATCTAGCTCCCCCATCAGGAAATTTGGGTCATGAGCATGCCTCTGAGATTGCTGAAACGTGGTCACAGGCATGGCGTGAAGCAGAAAGAGCTAAATACAGTAAGGAGCTGTGTACAGTGCCGCATAGGCTTCAGATGAAGGGTGAAGACTTCACCTAAGAAAGTCAAGGAACACTTTGTGGGATTGTTCCCCTGCCCAGTCCCTGTGCACCAATTGTGATGACTTTGTGTTCTCCTACTTGTTTCTATCCCCGGCCTACATCCCTATGAAGCCTTCTCTGACTCTGGGCTGGAAGTAGCTGTCATTGACCTGTAGGCCCCTTGAAAGAGGAGAGACAAGTTGCAACACCTCTCCTTTCCCCTTGACCCTGGGGCACTGATCCCAGATCCTCGAGTAATACTGTGCACAAGTGTTCCCAGGAGGGAGTTTGTATGAAACAATCCCAGAGATGCTATATCAGGAAATCTGGGCTGGCTAAGAAACCTATGTATGCCAGGCACCAGGTGATTCTGATCTACTCAAGAAAACCCATTCTGTGCTTCCAGGGTATACTTTCTGCCTCTTGCCTGAAGGCACCACCTGTGTGTCACTGAGATGGAGATCTCCTCATCCCTTTAGACCAATTCAGATGTATCTTTCTCCAATATTCTCCCACCCTGTCATAATTAGTTATTTTTATCCCAAGGCCCTATGGGTCACTCTGCAGATCTATTAGTAAGTAGGCCACACAATCAATGTTGAGGATTGGTTTAATGTAATTGAAGACTACATAATAAGTTATAATTTTGTGAGCATTTCTGTTTGATATAGGGTTGTGTGGTCAGTGTCCAGTTAGATTCCCTGGATGTGAGATTTTGGTGAACCTTTAGTGAACTGAGGAGTAGATCAAATCTAAAAACTCAAAGAAGGATCATGTCTTTCCCCTGGAACAGCTGGCCTTCTGCCTGTTCTTTCTTGCTCATTTTTAAATATATACATTAAACAATATCTTTAGTAAGTGCTTTTCTGTTTTGCTCCTAGCAAGATTAATCATCTATTGGTCATTTATTTAAAAGATTCCTGTGGGTCAGTCCCCTTGTCTTCTTTTTTTTTTTTTTTTTGGGGGGGGGGTTGGTCGTGGGGTCTGAACTCTGGGCCTGGGAGCTGTCCCTCAGCTGTTCAGCTCAAGGCTAGTGCTCTACCACTTGAGCCACAGCACCACTTCCAGCTTTTTTCTTTTTTTTTTTTTTTTTTGCTTATGTGGTGCTGAGGAATCGAACCCAGGGCCTCAGGCATGCAAGGCAAGCACTCTACCACTGAGCCACCTTCCCAGCCCATGTCCCCTTGTCTTCTATTCCAGCCTTGCTGCCCATTATAATTATTAAACCCATCTTGCTTTTGAGAGTTAAATGCTGCTACCCAGCCTTTTCTGTCATCCACATTCCTAATAAGGAACTCAGTTTGTAATCGTTTATCTTACCAGACTATAGAGATAGTCCATACTCAGCTTCTCAGAGATCTGGTACCAGTCTTCCAAGTTCATTTCTTACTGTTTTGGTAAGTGAATAGCCTTTCAGCACCCCCACTAGGAACACAGCTAGTGGTTTTCTGGTCTCGCATTAAGCTTAAATCTACTATAGCACACATACTTCAATGATTCTTGCTTCTCTTCCTCCATAGCCTGCTCCAGAAATTCTGGCATCTCTGCTTCACTTGTTCTGGGCCATGACTTTTGTTGCATTTCCAATAGCTACTCAAGTAACTTATCTACACCCAGAGCCCTTGCCAGGCTGTAAAATCTTAGATCCCAGGTGGCTTCAAATCAACAGACTCCCCCTTATCCAGTTTCATATTCTGCTCATTAAGTTCCACACTTAGACATTCTCTTCTAGATGCTCATGATATGAGTGAGCCAGCTCTTGCAACTCCTTTCTCAAGATCAGCACTTCCCTTTTGGATCATGCTAAGCCTTGACCCTAATTACTGAGCATGTGGTCAGAAGAGACAGTCCAGGCAGATCCTAAGGAAAGCTTGTATTTTATCGTGAGGCACATGTATTGTCTGCATTTGAGGGTCCTGCATTGTATTCAATTGTGGAGCAATAGGCTCTATTTCTCAAGAAGGACAACCTACGAGCACTGAGGAGAACCTGAGGGTTTCATTCAGTCTCAAGATCATTCGGTCTCAAGATCCCACTGCTCTTCCCTCTGAGATCCTGGGGTTGGCATAGATTATTTACCTAGGTTTGGAAATCAGCCTTCTCTAGGGACTCTAGGACTAGTCTTTAGCTCTTCCTTCCTTCTCAGAAAAGAAGATGAGAATTTCTTTAAATATGCTCCAAGATCACCTTCTGATTCCCACATTCTGCTTTAAATTAGTGATGGATTGTCCTAGCCTGTTTTTTTGTCTACTTCATCAAAGGTATTGAATGATATCCTTTTGGTTATGGTTCTTCTATATCTTTCAGTGCCAGAAATACTTCATAAGCCAAGGCTTTCTTCCTTAGCCTGTCCTAATTTGCATAAGTTTCAGCAATTACGCCACTACTTCTTGCCAGAGATCACAGGTACAGATTACACATGGGGATTCTCATTGCCAGCTGAATAGGTGAAATTATTCATCTCCGGAATTACATCACAGGTATCTATTTCATTCAGAAAACAATCTGGTACAAACTATCTCTGGTCAAAAGACCTAGAAACAGAGCCTAAAACAGGATTCAGCCACATGTGATTTATTAGGAAGGAAAACTTAAGGGAGTAAAGGGGGGAAAAGAGAAGAGCAAGATTGAGTCTCAGATAAAATAAACCTTGGGTTGATTCCCAGGGGAGCTCAGGAACAGGAACTGCAGACAAAGTCATCCTGCTCCTTGAGACATTCAGGCCAGCCTTTAACACCCTCACATCCACTTGTTATTGGCTGTGAGCTCCCCAAGCAGGGCTGTGGGAATCAGAAGTGTGGAAGATCAGTTCTCTAGATGGGGGAGCAGAGGGTCCACAGTGAACTGTTAGCAGCAACTGAGGGAGGGGTAGGATGTTTCTAACGAGGCAAAGAGGATCAGGCAGGGACACCTACAGTATCTGCTGCAACATGAGGGTATTTTTTTAATGTTTGAAAAACATTCAATGGGATGAATTTACATATATTGGTCTATTACAACCTAATCTAGTGGTACAGTTTCATATTTATATTTCTGTCTCCTTTGCAATACCCTTCTGTGGCCAGGTATCTTGTCCTGTTCATCTTGATATTCCTCATTCAGAGGCTAGCACGTAATCGTTACTAAGTAAGCATTTACTAAATGAAAGGCAGTTTGGGGGTAAATCACAGAGCAACTTCAACTCCAGGCTAAGTAATTTGAGCATTACACTGCTGGCAATTAGGTAGAGTTTGAAATGCTTTGTTGGCAACAGTATGTAGAAGATACTGGAACAAGGACAGAGTGGCGAGTATAGCCAAAAGCTATTGCAGCAACACAGGCAAAGAATAACTAAAACAGATTTTGAGTTCAGGCTGTAAGTGTGGAGAGGCAGATGCAAAAGTAATTAAAGAATATTATCTATAGGATCCAGATGGCCTCTGGCACACCTCCAGCAGAGACTCTGAAGGGTTCTCATCCATTAAGTGTGCTAAGAGTTTTTATTTAGATGTCCTCAGACAGATAGAAGAACATTCTCATGCTGCATAAAAGAAACATAGAGGAAATAAAGCCACGTGGGTTTTCTCATTGCCATGCATATGAGACAAGATCCCCAAAGAAAGCATGGGAATATTCTTTTACCTCCCTATTTTGGCTAGAATTCCACAATTACAGCCAAGAAAATGTTGTTAATACGGAGTTTGCTCAGCTCACTAGTACACAGGGTACTGACCATTAAAAGTGGTTTGTGATACAACTTTCATTCCTTATTCTGTGCAGTGATCTATGTTCCAAAGCTGCCAGCCCAGCACATTGTTCTCAGCAGGATTCTTCTGTGTTCTGGTTGAAATAATTTAACCATGACTCACATGGAGCCTATAGATGCACAGAAATACTTTTCTTTTTTCCTGAACTCTTACAGGCCTTGACTATAGGCCAATAAATTTACATTCCTCTCCATGACTTTTGGCCAGGTGTCTGCTGTTCACATTGTTTTGCCAGAGCTGGAAGCTGGGAGCCCTGTTACGTGGACTGGACCTGGATTTGCCAGGGTTCTCCCTGGGGCTGGCTTGAGATTTGCTGTCAACAACATTCCTTTTCCTATGGATTTCACCATTGTTGTTCACTATGAAACTCAGGTACTCTTCAACTCCAACTCCATGATGGCAAAAAGCTGAGAAATACATTCTCGCATAGTTTCCAGCATTTTAGCCTTGCTAAGTGAGTTCATCATAAAATGACTTGAGGAAAAATGACCATCTGGAAAGCATTATAAGCGAAAGGGTTTCCTTAAGATATTGAAGTAGCACCATGAGACATATACATACATGCTTTACTCATGGTGAAGCTAAAGTTGCAGTTAAATGTTTGAAAGACCAGGCTGAAGAAAGTGGTGACAAAATGTTTGTATAAGAAAAATAAGCAACAGAAACAACACAAATTCTGCTTCTCTAGGGATGTTTCTTTCAAAAATTAATAAACAAAAATGCACAGATATTCTGACTCAGAGATGTAGCAGAAACTTTTATTTTTTATTTGCATTTAGATCTTGCCTTGCAACCAGAGAAAGACTAATTGCATATGGTCCTGTTAGTCTGCTACTACCACATGACAGGCCCTATACCTCTGGAGAAACCTGAAACAGAATAGGAACCAAATATTCAAAGTGCATGATCTAAAGCAGTAGTTCCTAACACTTTCTTGGGTAATCTGAAACATGCCAGCCATCTTCCTTGAAAAAAAAAAGTTTTAGTTCTAGTGCTAGTAGATCATACCTATAATCCTACCTACTCAGGAGGTTGATATCACAGTTGAGATCACAGTTCAAAGCCAGCCTGGGCTGTGAGAAAAGTCTGGGAGACTATCTCCAATTAACCAGCATAAAGCTGGAAGTGGCTCAAGAGGTAGAACTCTAGCCTTGAGTGAAAAAGCCAAGGGACAGTGTGAGGCCCTGAGTTCAAGCACCAGTACAAGTATGGAAAGAGAGGGGGGGAAGGGAGGAAAGGAGAGAGAGAGGGAGAGGGAGAGAGGGAAAAGGAAAGAGAAGGGAGGGAGGAAGAGAAAGGGAAGGGAGGGAGGGAAGGAAAGGGAAGGAGAGAATGGAAAAAAGGAAGGAAGGAAGGAAGCAAGGAAGGAAGGAGAAGGGAAGGAAGAAAGGAGGGGAGGGAAGGGAGGGAGGGAAGAAGGGAAGGAGTCAGGCAGGCAGGCAGGCAGGCAGGCAGGAAGGAAGGAAGGAAGGAAGGAAGGAAGGAAGGAAGGAAGGAAGGAAGGAAGGAAGGAAGGCAGGCAAAGGAAGGGCCAGAGATATGTGATTCAGTAATAAAACACTGGCCTGGCAACCCTGAGTCCCTGAGTTTAAGCCCCAGCAGTTTGAGCAGGGAATGGTCTTAGAGGCCCCAAAATCCCTTGTGTCCACATTCTAGAAGGGGGTCACTGCATGTCACATGGCCACTACTGCTGGCCTACCTTGTAACTCTTGATAGGACGCACTTCCCTATTTTTTGCTTATAAGTAAAAGCCAAGGATTTCAACAAACTGACCTGGTCAGTATAAAAGTATGAAAGCCATTAAAAAAGAAATTTATTCCCAACAGCTTAAAAAGCCTTTTCAAATTGTAAGGCTTCCAGAATATAGCTAATTATCTCCTCCCCACCCCCCCATCCCACTTTTCCCTCCTCTCCTTACCATGTGTGTGTGCATGTATGAGATGCATGAATGTGTAACCATCTATAAAGGATTCCATTTGTTGCTCTTTTTTCTGTGATCCAAAGCCATGATGATTTTGTTAATTCTTTTGAAGACAGATTGGACCAGTTAGGAAGGTTAGGGGTTTTCCAGGCCCCTGGGCTATAGCTATAGCCAGACAGCTTTCTTCCTGCCCAGATCACAATGTAGACGCCAGAGAGGTGGGCCTGTTGGAAAACCACCCAAATGTCTTTCAACTCCAAAACTGTTTCCCAAGTGAGCTGTGGCTTGCAAATTCAATCGCACACCCTCTCCTATCTGTAAGTATACGAGTGTGGGGGCAAACGGGTTTCTTGCATCCTGCAGTGACATGCCGTGATATCTTCCCTGTGTAGACTGCAGCCGACTGGACTGTCCGGATTGTGGTGAACCCCCTTGCCGTGAGTGACCATTGCATTCACAGGATGCCACAACTAACACCTCTGGCATTTACCTTGCCAGCAGCTTCCAGGTATGCTTGGGGCCTAACTTTAAACATGGTTTTTTTTCCCTAGAAGTTGGCCCATGTGTTGATCCTGGGTTACTAAGTGGGGAAGAGGCCTATTGAGGGAGATGGTCACATTTATTATGAATTTACTGCATGCTACACTGCACATTGTGTTTAATATTATATTTAATCTCAAATACTCCAGAGGAATATCTTCATCAAAGAGAAGAATACTTAAATGACTGGTCCAAGTCTCAGTTTATGAGTATAATACGTCTTACTCAATGTTACCCCTTCAAGCATTCTCCCCCATCTCTCCCAACCCCATCTAACCCTCAATTTCCCTGGGTCCATTCGCACACATGTATATTGACTATTATGACTGAATTCACCCACCCTTCTCTCCATTCATCTTCCCTACCCATTGCCTTCCTTCCTCCCCTCTCCAACATATAGAACATTGCATTCTCTCCATAGCCAAGAGCCTTTTCAGTAAACACTACTAATTCTGAAGCCACTCATTGCCGCATCAGAGATTGTAGCACAGTAGATATTATGCCTGTGCTTTCTCCAGAGAAGTCAAGCCATGCCAGTGCCTTCTAAGATTTTGCTATTTGACACAACTCTGTGGAAGTATAAATCCTGTGTAAGTATAAATTGACTGTTCAGTCAGCTCAAAGGTTCTGATGTAGACTAGGCCTTGCCTTAGCCCCAACGATGAAGTCTCCCATCAAGTGAGATGCTACCAAATACTGTGGCCACTTAGGTAATATAACTGAGCCTTTGTGTCTGACATGTTCACTTTCTTTCTCCTAATACAGACTCACACTACTTCCCACACCCATCTGTTTAGGACCAGATGTGCAATATTCCATAGATCTCTATTTTTCTCAGCCTTTGGAAGGAGAGTCTCATGCTCATTCTTACATCCTGGTTGATTCTGTAAGTATATCAGAGGTTTGGTTTTTTTTAGTGCTTTGTCTCAATTAAGTGCCATTATGATTCCACTTGTAAACTCTGGTGAGGTGTTTCTTTAAAACAGAAATGTATCTTTTTAATGATACAAGTTACCTCATGGCCATTGTAAACTGCATGTCACAGCATATCACAGTAATAACTTCAAGTGTTGGACTTATTATTTAATCCTTACAGCATCCTGTGAAGTGCATGCTGTCATTGATAGGGCCACTGAGGCACAGGCTCACAGAGGTGGTGAGTGAGGGGTTAGAAATGGGAACTTCATTGTCTGCTTCCAGATCTCACAGCCACTAGAGTTTATGGGCATTACTGAAAGACTGGGGGCTAGGGAATCCTACCACTTTAGAGGGTGGTTGAACTGTTGCTTCAGTCTGATCCCACAGGGAGATCCATGTTGCACCACAGAAGTGAATCCACTGGTGGCAAAAGGGTGGCCCAAATGTACCCAGGTTATTGGCTACCGGCTCACCTGTCCTTTAGTGAGTACATAAATTCCTGATGAAGGTGGTTGGGCACTGTTTTCTGGAAAAGACAGCTATGGGCCTTTAGGAGCCAATGTCACAGCAGCTGGACAGGTACTCTAGCCTGTCAAAGAGGATCCTGGCTGGATACCTACATTGACCATTGGATCCCTGACCCAGGTTGTCCAGTAGGAGAAAGTCAGTGCACATTTTGTTATTGTAAAGAAATGTGGCTAACGCTACCCTACCGATTTTGCTGCTGTGGGAATTGGCACCTGGGACTTGGTCATTTCCAAGTTTGTGTTTCTCTTCAACCTGTTTGCCACTTGCATCTAAGAACAGGGTACAAACCAACAAGAACAAATAAAGCCTGTTCAGTGCAGAATTTTCTCTGCAAAACTGCCTTTTTTAAAAAGTATTGTGCAGTTAAGATTTATTTGCACTCTTATTATAAGATACGTGCCTCCATAAATCTGAATCAAAAGTATATTAATGAATCAAAAGTATATTAATTATTCTGCAATATAAAGCTTCCATTCTTCTTTTCAAACCCTGGAATAGACTATACTTAATAAGCATAAAATCCTTAGAAGTTTTTAGTTTTTAGTTCTATCAGCTAATTGTATAGCTGATAGAGAGTTTTCTCACCTGGTCTATCTGCTTGGGTCCAGGAATAGCCAACTATAAAGAAGCTCAGATCTCTGGCTACCCTTATCTTCAGTCCTATACCATCTCCTTGTCTTCTGTGTCTCTTTCCACCTGGATTGTGCTTGAAGAATGAAGAGTCACTGTAGTATAAACTTAAAGATGCAATAATAGACATATACATATGATTCCTTATTGAACAAAATTTATGAAATACTCATTGTAAATTAAATGCTGTGGTAGGCACAAATAGAAACCAGACACACACCATCACCATTCCCCTGCAGTTCACTCTCCAAAGAAAAGATACAGACAAGCATGAGGTGTAAGGTCCTGGGAGATGTGTCTGAAAAACTCACTAACTCACACTATGGTTCTTGACCTCGGCTGAGCCCAGTGTTCCAGTGGTAAGAGTTTCACAGTTTGGAAAGTTTAGTAAGTAGCTGATGGTCCCTGTTGCTTTCAGAGCTGTGGTGAGGCAGGATATTGTGACAAGGGGGTATGATGGAGTCAAACCAAAAATTACCTCATGGCCAAGAGGGACAAGGGAGAAAAGAGGACAGTCTGAGTGCCCAGCTACTCCCTCTGTGAGGCATGCCCCCAGGGGCCAAGATACCTCAGACTAGCTCCCACTTCTTAAAGTCTCCGTCATCTCCCAAAAGTAATACTCCAAAGAACAAGGCTTTGGCTCATGGGCCTTTGGGGACACTTAATATCGATGCTATTGTACCCCACTTTCTCGTGCTATCCTGGAATGAAAGTTATATGCACTATAGTCTACTTGCACATATAACTTCCAAATAAAGCAATACAATATACAATCTTAGAACAGTATGTAGTATGCACAGGAATGAGAGTATACCAGAAGACATGATGAAATAGAAAGATGCTCATATATGTAGACTGTTTGTGAGACAGCCATAAAGCAGGTGTGTTGTAGACACCTTCCATGTTTAAAAGGTGTGGTGGTGCATGCTTTAATACTAACTACTCAGGAGATAGAGATGATAGGATTATGAGTTGAGGCTCACACAGGCAAAGCAGGGGGATCCTATCTGAAAAACTAAATAATACAAAAGAACTGGAGTTGTGGCTTAAGTCATAGAACATTTCTTGAGGCCCTGAGTTCAATCTCCAGCACGAAAGAAAGGAAGAAAGAAAGAAAGAAGAAAGAAAGAAAGGAAGGAAGGAAGGGAGAAAGAAAGAGAGAAAGAGAGAGAGAGAGAAAGAGAGAGAGAAAGAAAGAGAGGAAGAAAGAGAGATAGGAAGGAAGGAAGGAAGGAAGGAAGGAAGGAAGGAAGGAAGGAAGGAAGGAAGGAAGGAAGAAAGAAAAGAAAAAAAGTGTAAACTTAGTACCTCAGCTCAGACAATTAGACTGAGTTTTGTCCTTCGTAGGAACATGAGATCATTTTCCATTTTATGAGAAAGTCTAGTATTTCTGATCTTTACCCACTAAATGCCAGTAACACACCACACCCAATCACTGTGCTTACCAAAACCAACAAATCTCTCTGAGGGGAGGTGTCTCTGATATCAAGAACTCCTGTCTGGGAGGATGGGAATGGGGATACAGAATAAAGAATGTTAGATTTTATCCACAAGCAGTGGGAAGCCACTGTAAAGTTTTAACAAGAAGATTGCCTGAACTAACCACGTGCAAAGGGATCATTATGACTACCATGTAGAAAACTGATGAATGACAAGAATGGAAGCTGAGATATCACTTGTGTACCACTCTAGTGATCTAGGAATGTGGCAGGGGCATGAAGAACATTCCAGATACATTTAAGAGGAGATATTGAGCAAGATGTGATTAATGTGCTAAGTGTGGGATGTGGGGTGGGGGGAGTAGATGATCAAGCACATGCCTACAATATCCATCTTGTTTCCTCCACTGAGAATGTGGCAGGTGGCGGCATCATTTGTCAAGAATAAGCACAGACAGGAAAAGAGGTTCAGGTGTGTTGGGTTACAACCTGTAGGACAACCAATAGACAGGTAGGCCAGGGTAGATGTGGAGTTTTCCACTGGAAAAGAGACACAAATTCAGAGACCAGTCACCTATAGATAGTAGAGCGCTGGCCTTGCATGCATGAGGCCCTGGGTTCGATTCCTCAGCACCACATAAGCAAAAAGAAAAAAGCCAGAAGTGGTGCTGTGGCTCAAGTGGTAGAGTGCTAGCCTGAAGAGCTGAGGGACAGCACCCAGGCCCAGAGTTCAAGCCCCACAACCAGACCCCCCCCCAAAAAAAGAAATCTGGGTCTCAAGGAGCTAAGGGCAGAAACAGGGAAGTGGTAGGAGGAATCCGTGAGATCAAGGAGCTCTTTTTGCTGATGGGAGGGGGTGAGTACGGTTCAATGTCAGCTGAGAGGGAGAATTGAAACAAGCAAGCAGAAGCCACAGGTTTTTTGTTTTATGGTTTTGTTTGTTTTTTTGCAGTAGGTAAATGTCAGTGAGTCACCTCATCCAGGGAAACTCAGCTTCCTCCTTAAACACACAGAATTGGAAAAGTGGAAACACACATGAGTTTGGGAAGCCCCAGTCCCTTTGCTGGAGCTTCTGTGAAGTCTGAGGAGTAAGAATCCCAGAGTGCAGGGGCCATGAGGATGTATGTTGGAGGAACCAGGACACTGGCCCAGTTACCAGGGATTGAGATCCTACCTGCAGGGGTGCCAAAAAACAATTAGGGGAAGGCTGGGTGGGGACAGATAGAGGAAAGGGTCTTGGAAACTGTTTCAGTACAAAGCAGAAGAGCAGGGAAGGTTTAACTGGGCCACTGGGTCAGTCTCCTGAGGAATGACAACCTATTTTTAACACTCGTTTTTACACCAAGTGTTCGCTATAACCTGCTGATGTGGCCTGTGAGCCTTATCAACACTCTCCACTGTATCATCAAGAGCATTCATACATATTTAAATAATACTAGTTCATAATTTAGTTGTCTTCTTGAAAACTATGAATAGCCTTTCTTCACATAGATACTAAACTAGGGGCTGGGAAGGTGGCTCAGTGGTAGAGCACTTGCCTTTCATTCATGAGGCCCTGGGTTTGATTCCTCAGCACCACATAAGCAGAAAAAAAAAGCCAGAAGTGGCGCTGTGACTCAAGTGGTAGAGCACTAGTCTTGAGCTGAAGAGCTAAGGGACAGAGCCTAGCCCAGGCCCAGAGTTCAGGTCCCACGACTGGACCACCCCCCCCAAAAAAAAAATCTAACATAGATACTAAACTAGAGGTGGTTCCTCTTTGCAAATAAGTGCGCAGTGATGTACTTGTCCCTATAATAGCTGCATTGCTTCTGTAAAAATGTGGGTTTTAGGGAATATAAGTATTATTTGGATATAGGACGGAGTGATTAACTGTGGGAGCGTTGGGTTTAAGAAGTATCTTTCTTACAAGACTTCTTAGAGCCGCTAACATTTTAATCTTTGCTGTGAATCTCTAAGAATCCAGTACCCTTTGATGTAGAACATCACTGTTTACATATCATTTTTTTAATTTAGAGAAGAATCTGGTGGAATTAGAGTTGCACTGTGCCACACTATCACAAGTAACCTAGTTAGAAGTCTTTCAAATCTAAGGGGAAAAAACCCTGAAAATAATTTTAAAAAAAAACAAACAAACATGGTACTCGGTAGACACTATGTGGAAAATGAACTATGCAACTTGTGGGCAGAGATAGGAGGGGAAAACTGGTGAAAATCAAAGCAAGAGGTGACATTGTCCAAAGAGAAATGTACTCATTTACACCTGACTTCTGAAACAGTAACCCCTCTATATAACACCTTAATAATAATAAAATCATATTTTAAAACATTAAGAAAGAAAAAGTAAAAAAATAAAAAGAAGCTATTGTTTTCACCATGTAAATGCCATATTACAAATACAAAATATTTCTTAATTAGTTGAGAACATTAACTCTTCAGCCTGAGGCAATTTAAATTGGAAATTGGATTGAGCTTCTTTGGATCACTTTTCTCAGAAATCAGTTTTGTTGGGTTTTTTTTGTTTTGCTTTTGTTGGTTTTTTTTTAACATAATGAGACTCTTGGACAGCAGAGAGCTTGAGTCTTCTTTTCTCATTATCTCAAAAGCTTGGCCTTGTTCCCCATGTCAATTCACTGGAGGGTTTCTGCAGCAAGCAGGACATGGAGGAGTACCAGATGCATGGCTGTGCTGAGACAGCCTGGGAAGTGGAAGCTGGAGTGGTCCCTGAGGCATGTGAAAGGCTCGTGGTCAGCTTATCTGCCCAGATGCACGATGGGGCGGTGGGTGAGTATCTTGTTCAATGGCACTACAGAAACAATGAGATCTGTACAAATGCCTTTTGAAACCTGAGTGAATTGATTTGCTTCAGGACCCACTCCAAACAAAACACCTCACTCAAGTGACGTGTTGGAGTGGTAATTCAGTGTGGTAAGTGTATAAAAGATGAACTTTATGGCAGCATTGGAGCACTAGCTCCCTGGAGCAATGGTCCTAAAACATTCATTTTGGAATCCTAGGGCTGGAAGGAAACTCTAACCTACTTCTTGCATTCCAACTTTCATTTAATAAACAATGGTGTTAGGGTTCCAAATGTTACATAATTTGCCCATTCCACTTAGCTATTTTATAGGATTTCTCTACACCCGCACTACTTAAATTTTGAAGTGGGTAATTCTTGGTTGTAGCAGGGGGGCTGCCTTTTGCATATAGGATGCTTAACTACATCTCTATGCAATTAATACCAGCATCACTCTCCTCAAGTTATGCCACTTAAACCTGTCTCCAAACTTTCTCAAATATCTCTGAGAGATAGAATCATTCGCCAGCTGAGCACAAGTACAGTAGAGCACTAATCTCAGTGCTGACCTAGCCTCTGGCAAGTACCTTTTCCTTTAGCAGAGCTATGGATTCAGCATGCCCACCTCCCATGAAACAGAACAGAGGAAATGAAAAACTGGTAGGGATATACATTAGTCACTTTTTCATTACTGTGACAAATACCTGACAGAAATAAATGTAAAAGAATAAAGGCTTATTTTTGTTCATTTCAGAGGTTTCAGCCCATGGCAGGCTAGCTCCATTGCTCCGTTATTTCTGAGCCAGGGGAGGCCGGCGCGGGGGGGGGGGGGGGGGGGGGGGTTGAGGCAGAGAAGCATGTCAGAAGAATGTGGTAGAGTAGAACTCCTCACCTTACTATGTCCAGAAAGCAGAGAAAGACAGGAACGAATGCAGAGACCAAGTATACCCAGAGCACACCCTCAATGATGATCTACCACCTCAAAGGAGGCTGTACTTACTAATTTCAACCACCTCTCAATAACACTATTAAATGATGAAACCAACAATGGGTTTAGCCCATTGGTAAGTCAGAACCCTTGTGATCCAATCACTTTCTAATAGCACCACTTCTGAACAAGGCTGCATTAAGAAACAAGCTTCATATCTACATCATAAAATGTATTCCTGCTCCAGCAAACAATGGTAGGAATTACAGTCATAATAACACCAATACTAACAATGACATTAGAATAATCCATTATTTAAAACAATTTATTTTAAGCCTGCCATTAACTTAGGTTTATTATTTACTGCATATCAAACACTATTCTCAGTACTAAACAGGCATTAGTGCCTTCAGTCATTACAAGAATACCTAGTTGAAGTAGCTGAGAATTGAAGAAGCACTAAGTGAAAGATGAGTAAACTAAACTTCTCTGCCTCTCCTTCACCTCTACCCCCTTCCCTCTCTTCACTTCAGCCTGCAAGTGTCACCCCCAGGGTGCAGTTGGGACCAACTGTAGCCGACTTGGAGGCCAGTGCCAATGTAAACCTCTCGTGGCCGGGCGCTGCTGTGACAAGTGCTCCGCTGGAAGCTACAGTTTGGGGCATCATGGCTGTCACCGTACGTAGCGCGCGCGCACACACACACACACACACACACACACACACTCACAGTGGAAAATGGTTGTTTACAACCTAGGCATTTTGAACGTATGGAAAGGGATATGCAGAGTTTTAAAGAAGAGAAAATTGGGAACATGACTACATTCTTCAGATTCCATCTACATACATGTAGTTGAAATGTGTTAAAGATTTTTCTACCATCTTTTCACTCATCCACCGATCCATGGGCAATGTGCGTAAAGCAACCATAAGGGATGAACAAAAGGTGGCCCATACTTCTGCAGTGTGTATTGAATGGGAAGGGATTCAGGTAAAAGTGGGAAACCTAATGCCAGCTAAGCAAACCCAGCATCATGATTGACACTATAAGAGCAGTGGCTAAGGAGACTAAACAACAATGTGTCTGGAAACTCAATAAAGGGACAACACTGTCACTGCACACAACACCTCCTCTGCTGAGGATCTTTCCCTTCTCATGCTGGGGTCACAAATAGCCTCATTTGTAAATGACCCATTAATAAGGGCTCAGAGGGAACTTCAGCTGTAGCTGGTAATTTACCTCTTACGGTTGTTACATTTCAGATGTATAGTTCTCTGTACCCAATGTAAACCACTAGTGAAAATCTTACTCCCCACAGAAACTACCTTAGGAACTATGAAACCCACTGGCAGATTAATTCTACTTTTAGGTAGAAAATTATTGTTCCAGACATGACTAGGAAAGATGGTTGATCCACTTCCTGGCCAGTGCTTGGGCACAGTTACCTACCTAGTAAATGGTGCTTTCCTTTTTTTTTTTTTTTTTTTTTTCTTATTTTGTTAGTCCTGGGGCCTGAACTCTGGGCCTGGGCGCTGTCCCTCAGCAATTCAGCTCAAGGCTAGAACTCTACCACTTGAGCCACAGCGCGCTTTTTCTGCTTATGTGGTGCTGAGGAATCGAGCCCAGGGCCTCATGCATGCAAGGCAAGCATTCTACCATTGAGCCACCTTCCCAGCCCTCCTTTTTAGTTTTTAAAGTTACCAAGTCTTCATGATATGCAAAAGAATCTACACAGAAGAGCAAATATTTATTCTGTGTCGAACCCTACCAAGCAAATAAGCTTAAGCTTTTGAGCAAAGATGGGCTCAAAGATTCAGAAATTTACCAGAAAAGTTTGTGGCTTCTTCTACTTCATCCAGGAAGAAGAATAACCTACCCCTCCTGACAGGTCTTACATTTTTTTGAGCACTTCAAAGTTACACTTGAACTCCTAACGTGTACAGAAGTTTGAGTCATTGAGAACATGTGACTTGTTTGATTTTGGCATACAAAAAACAAACGCTCATAAGATCCAGTTGTTTACAACCTGCTGCTTATTGAATGAATCAGTGAAACATTGCTTGACAAACATTTACCTGGAGCTCATTATATGAGAGGCTGTTCCTAATAACTTTCACTACCACACCACTTCCTTGTGTCCTTAACATAATTCTTTTTGCCTTACGCAGCATGTCACTGCCACCCTGAAGGTTCCAAGAGCACAGTATGTGACCAAGTGACCGGCCAATGTGCCTGCCATGGAGAGGTCACTGGCCGCCGTTGTGATCGGTGCCTGGACGGATACTTTGGATTTCCCAGCTGCCATCCTTGCTCTTGTCATGGGTTTTCTGAACTCTGTGATCCAGACACAGGGTCATGCTTCAATTGTGGAGGCTTTACAACAGGAAAACATTGTGAGAGGTGTGGAATTCACATGCACGTTACCTTTACATCTTTAAACTTTGTTCTGATTTCACAATGGAGTAGAGCCTTGAGTAAAGACTCAACACTATTTCATTGCAGAGTGGCTGCTGCAGGATGGCTGGGGAGGGGATAGGGGAGGCGGGGAGGGACATCATTTTGTTTCCCTGTCCTTCAGAGTCATTCTATGAGCCAGAAAATATCTGATTAAATCAACTGTGCATGTGCCTGACACTTGCCCTTTTGATATTCAGATGCAACATTGAAACCACAAAGGGCTATTATACTGAGTTTAATGACTTTAGTCTTTTGACTTGACACTTTCAATATAACAGAAAAAAATCATTTTACAGCGCAAATTAGAATCTTCTGAAACATTGAGTTTGAGGGTTGCATTACCCTAAGGCATAGAAAATCCACATTGGCTAAGACATAAGCTAGTCCGTGGAATATTTTGGTAAAAGGAAATTGCCTTCACAGGTGCATCGATGGTTACTATGGAAATCCTACTTCAGGACAATCCTGTCGTCCTTGTCTGTGTCCAGATGGTCCCTCAAGTGATCAGTATTTTGCCCAATCCTGTTCTCAGAGTCCTTGGAGCTCAGATATCATCTGCAACTGTCTCCAAGGTTATTCAGGTATGAAGGATAGCCCATGTTTTCTTTCTTTCATCCCATACAACAACTGGAAAATGATCACACAGTCATACTTTCCCTGTTTTGGACAAATAAGCATGGTAAGAAAGTACAAGTAACGAAATTGTTACTTAACTGAACAAAGAAGTTCAATGATTAAAATGTCAACGACAATTAAAACCTCATTCAACTGAGTTATAATTGTATCTACATAATGTTTCAGAAAATTAATCAAATTTATTTAAAATATTATTATATATTAAGTTGCACATATGATCAGGTAGCACATATATGTCATATATTACATATTATGTAAGTAAAATTACTCTAATTGGTCAAATTCTTTGTATAATTTTAAGCAGTTGGTTGGAATGATAGTTCATAGATGTAACTAAGCTTTTTGAAGCCTTTAAGCATGACTTGAGCAAGTGGGAGATACTGCATAAGAATTAAAACTTGTATCTGTCATCAAAACAAAACTTTATTTTTAAAGTGTGAAAGTGGCTGGGAAGGTGGCTTAGTGGTAGAGCGCTTGCCTTGCATGCCTGAGGCCCTGGGTTCGATTCCTCAGCCCCACATAAGCAAAAAGAAGAAAGCCGGAAGTGGTGCTGTGGCTCAAGTGGTAGAGCGCTAGCCTTGAGCTGAAGAGCTGAGGGACAGTGCCCAGGCCCAGAGTTCAGGCCCCACGACCGGACCCAAAAAAATAAATAAATAAAAATAAATATATAAAGTGGGAAAGTATAATGACAAAAGAAAAAACTGGTATATTCTGCTTGATTTAACCACACTTAGAAAATATGGTTATATTATTTTGCTCAATGATAATTACCAACATAATAACAAATTACATGGTTGATTTTCCTCTTGTTTGTTATATCTGAGCTTACATGTGGCTTGAGTTAATACTTCTCCAAGTACTTGTCCCTTGGTGGGTCCGTTTTTAAAGACTGAGACTAGGCTAAGAACATTTCCAAGTACATGAACTAAAATGTGGAGAGTGGCCCCAAGTTTGGAAATCTAAGCGCTTGCTACTCTTAGGATTGTGAAGAGTTGGAGGAAAGATGGCTTCTCCATTTCAGTGCTCTGTAGAATCACCTCCAAAGCTCAGGCATCAAACGCTCCTCCCTCAAAAGCCCAGCCTCCTTCTAGATAGATATTTCAGGCTACTGATTTTTTTTATTTGGCCTTTTCCCTTTGAGACTGCTTCATTTTCATCAGTCACTTCTAGAATCTGATAGAATTAGAAGATTCCAGAAGGAGGTGAGGGGGGCAGGCAGGGGTTGAATACAGGAGCTGGGATGAGCTTTGGGTTTTAAGGTACAAGAGTAGTTCCGGACCAGGCCCCAGTGGCTCACGCCTGTAATCCTACCTACTTAGGAGGCTGAGATCTGAGGATCGTGGTTCAAAGCCAGCCTGAGCAGGAAAGTCCATGAGACTCTCCAATTAACCACCAGAAAACCAGAAGTGGCACTGTGGCTCAAGGGGTAGAGCGCTCACTTTGAGCTGAAGAGTTCAGGGAAAGCGCCCAGGCCCAGAGTTCAAGTCCCATGATAGACCAAAAAAAAAAAAGAAAAGAGTAGTTCTGGCTATGCAGAAAGACACAGAAATTCTGTTCCCACAACTCCTTAGTTTTTGAAGACTAGAATCCATTCTTCACTAAAAACTTTCTAGTTCTGTGTAATTTTCTAATTATCTGAATGAATAATAATTAAAAATATGCTTTGTTTAATTTAGAGTACTTTTTTCTTATTTACTCCAGTGTGTAACTTCTCATTACCCCCACAGAGAAGCCCCATAACTCTGTTTACAACTTCCACCTCTCCTCCTCTCCTAACACTGACCCCTCATCTGCTTCCGGTTTCCTCCCCACTTTCAGGGACTCAGTGTGAAGAATGTGCTCCTGGCTTCTATGGCAACCCAAGAGTTTCTGGAGAGCCTTGCCGGCCATGTGCCTGCAACAACAACATAGATGTAACTGATCCTGAGTCCTGCAGCCGGGTCACAGGGGAGTGCCTCCGGTGTTTGCACAACACTTGGGGCCCGCACTGCCAGCTCTGCCAACCGGGGCATTTTGGATCAGCTCTCAATCAGACCTGCAAAAGTAAGTCTGCAAGTTCCTAGGGCGGGAAATGGAGTGGCTGAGTGGCAGCTCATAAATGAGATGTCCGCTTCTCATCTCACTTCACTCAGGCCAGTCCCTGAGGCAAAAGCAGCACCTGCTGGGTGATAGGGCTTTGGTCAGCAGAAACAGGGCAGTGCCACCCAGGTGTTCTCAACATGCAGTGAAGGCTCTTGTCCTTAGAGCTTGCCTTCCTTGATGATTGTCTTTAACATCTGTGCTGGTCGATTCAAAGTATTGCTTCTCAAAGTGTGCTCCACATGGTACTTGCGCCCAATTCCTCTGGGGCTGGGATGCGGTGAAGGATTGATATGCAGATTGCTGGATTGTTCTTCCAATCCAGTGAGCCAGAATCTCCGGAATCTGTATCGATCATGACAACTTCATCTAATGACTTTATTGTATAAATATGAGGCTTTTATGAACAAGAAAGAGAAGTGCCCATTTTAGGGGACAGTTTAACTATTTTCATTTTCTCAAGTTAATTTAATAAACCACTTTTTTTTTCCTAGTCCTAGGGTTTGAACTCAGGTCCTGGGCATTGTCCCTGAACAACTTTGTGTTCAAGGCTAGTGCTCTACCACTTGAGCCACAGCTTCACTTCTGGCTTTTTTGTGTAGTTTATTGGAGATAAGAGACTCATGGGGACTTTTTTGCCTGGGCTGGCTTTGAACCTCAGCCTCCTGAGTAACTAGTATTACAGGCATGAGCCACCAGCGACCAGCTTAATAAAGCATTTTTGTTTTTTGTTGGTCATGGGGCTTGAACTCTGGGCCTGGGTGCTGTCCCTGAGTTCTTCAGCTCAAGACTAACACTTTAGCACATGAGCCACAGCACAACTTCCAGTTTTCTGGTAGTTAATTGGAGATAAGAGTCTCATGGACTTTCCTGTATGGGCTGGCTTTGAACCGCAATCCTCAGATCTCAGCCTCCTGAGTAGCTAGGATTACAGGCATGAGCCACTGGTGCCTTGCTTAATAAAGCATTAAAAAAACTTTAAATCAATAGGATTTGAGAGAGAGCACACAGGATGAATGAGGTTCACAGCCTTCCTCACTGCCAGCTTCTTGAACATAGTAGGGTGTTGATGATCTGGCCCATCAAAAGCAATTTAAAAAATGTTCAGAACCTGCTTAGATTCCCTAACAATTCCTATCCTGTTAAAGGGGGTTTCTTTGAGCTATTTAGGGAAAGCTCACATCTAGGCTTAACAGGCTCTGTGTGTGGTTTGTCGCCTGCCAGCATCGTTGAATCTGCTCTAATGAAGGCTTTATTATCCCAGGGTGCTCCTGTCATCCATCTGGAGTGAATCCCCCTGCGTGTCCCCCTGATGCGGGAGTGTGCCTCTGTGACCCTGTCACTGGTGTGTGCCCTTGCCTGCCCCACGTCACAGGCCTGGCTTGTGACAGTTGTGCTGATGGATACTGGAATCTAGTTCCTGGCAGAGGATGCCAGCCTTGCAACTGTGACCCCCAGGGCTCTCAGAGTAGCCGCTGTGACCAGGCAAGACACTTTGAAACTTACTAGTGCACTCAGAGGGAAAAGTGCCCATGAAGCATGATTTCCTGTGGGTAAAGAATGCTTGCTTTATATGCCTTTGGTAATTATTGTGTGTAGATACAAGTAGTCTGACACAGGCCTATAGAGTTGGTGTTTATTTCACAACAAAGCTAAAAAGATCACTGGGGGGGGGGGGGAGGGAGAGGGAGGGAAGGAGAGGGTGAGGGAGAGAGAATGAGGGTCTTGGGGTTCAACATTAACTTCTTTGATTTTCTTTAGGGCTATCTGATGAGAAAGTCAAACTCCATTCCTAGGCAACTTAGACACCACTTTCATTGCTTCATACTCATAATCACAGAAAAGAGCTGAGACATGGATTGTTGATCAGAGAGAAAGCAAACAAAGGCCTTCAGAGTATAAAATTCCATTTTGTAAATGGAGCTGTCACTCCCTGTGGCTCACCATTGCTTTACATGTAGGCAAATCCAATGTCATCTTCCTCCACACTAGAGTATAGGCCAAAGCCAGGTGCTGGTAGGTCATGCCTGTAATCCTAGCCACTTAGAAACCTGAGCTCTGAAGATGGAGGTTTAGAGCCAGCCTGGGCAGGAAAATCCATGAGACTTTTATTTCCAATTAATCACTCAAAAGCCAGAAGTAGAGTTGTGGCTTAAGTGGTAGAGTGCCAGACTTGAGTGAAAAAGCTAAGGGACAGCACACAAGTATAAGTTCAGGCCCCAGCACTGGCAACAAAGAATATAGGCTAGAGAGCACAGGTTTTCTGTTCAAAATTCAATTAATACACATTAACAGCATGTGTCAATTTTAGTTGGTGAAACAAGGAGTAGAGTTTTTAAAATACTGTAACAAGTAAGTTGCAGCTATTTGAAATCACAGTTGGAGGGTAGCCTGGGCAAAAAGTTACTGAGAATCCTACTCAACAGACAAGTCAAGCATGGTTCATGTTTTTAATCCCAGCTATGCAGAAGGACCAGACCAAGGCTGGTCCTGGGTAAAAATGTGAGTCCTTATCTCAAGAATAACTGAAAAATCAGGAAGGACTTAGGTGTGTTTCAAGTGGTAGAGCACCTGCCTAGAAAGCACAAGGTCCATAGTTCAAACCTTACTTCTGCTAAAGAAAACTTAAAATTAAAAAACTATAATATTGTCCTCTTGCAGATAAAATTAATATCATGGGGCTGGGAAGGTGGCTTAGTGGTAGAGCGCTTGCCTTGCATGCCTGAGGCCCCGGGTTCCATTCCTCAGCACCACATAAGCAAAAAGAAAAAAGCCGGAAGTGGCGCTATGGCTCAAGTGGTAGAGCACTAGCCTTGAGCTGAAGAGCTGAGGGACAGAGTTCAGGCCCCAAAAAACAAAAAACAAAAAAACAAACAAAAAATTAATATCATGCTTGTTTTTTGTTTTGTCTTTATTTGTGGCTTAACAAGCATGTTTTTAAAATGCTTTTCCATTGATATAAACAATAGGACTAAAACAATAATAAGAAATTTTAGAAAATTTGAAATCTATAATGCCGCGGACCGGGTTCTGTCGGGACGACGGAGGACACCTAAGGGAGGAACCTGGAATAGGTGGGGAGATGGCAAACAGACAACTCACACACATTAGGAGTGGATGCTGAGTGCGATTTAATGCAGAGGATAACAAACTTTTATAGCAAAAGTCTCCATGAGAAAGGGCAAAAGGTTACACAATCTTGCTGCAGGGCTTCTTTCTTGGGTGGTCACCAGCTGGTCACCTGATAGGCACTTGTTTCCGGCTTATCTCTAAGAAATATAATGGGTTTCGATGTTTTGTCATCAACTAACCATTACCTTATTTCTATAGAGGCCTTAACTGTCCCATAAGATCTTTCCTGTTCTTTCCTCAATAGCAAGGTCACCGAGGCCTACATCTAGCAAGTCTTTTAGTAAATGAAAGAGAGTAACAAGAAGTTCTTTCTCCTAAGTAGTTATCTCAGCAATTGCCATACATTCCTTCTGTTGTAGCTGAGCCTACAGCTTCTTGTAAATCCCTTACAAATAATTCCTTCTGCTGAAGTGACTTTGTGAAACCCCCAATACTTTTATATTTACTTATAACTTATCTCCTAGCCTCCATAAGAGGTGTTTCAGGGTAGCACTTAACTCTGGTGAGTTAGTCATATTTTTAAGACACTCATCAGATATTGGGGTCGTCAACACTCTTAAGAAAGAGCTTTGAATAAGGGAACGTTGACAATGAGCAAGTACAAAGAGCAGTAGAAGCAGTAAAAGATTAATAGGCACTCTTATGCAGTGAAGAAAGGCAGAAACACATCTTTTCCCAGGGGTTTTTCCAGCCTTTTCCCAGGAGTAGGCCTCTTAGAAGCCCTATTCTCCAAGGTAGACTTCGGTGAAGTCCCAAAACTTGGAGATAGGTTTCTGTAAAGCCCCATTCTCTGAGGTAGACTTCGGTGAAGTCCCAAGACTCAGAGATAGGTCTCGAAGCCCCTATCATGGTCTGATAGATGGTTTCCCATGCTAAGCAGACTCTACTGGGGTCGGCGTGGCACTATAATATAGGGATGAAAGTTTTAATTGGAATAAGAAATGCTAACTTAAGAAACTGGAGTCTTGAAATTAGTAAGCATGAATCAACTTCAGTGTCAGCTCCACTGTTCAACTTACGACTCAATAATCACATCTTATATAAGTAAACTTTGAAGATAGTTCTTTCCTTTAAAAAAATTTTTTTGAGACACAATCAAATACAAGGCTGACCTCAAACTTTTAATCCCCTTGCCTAAGCCTTCCATCTGCTTCCATCCATTATAGCCATGAGTCACCAAGCCTGCTTGAGGTAGAATATGTTTTCTCCTCTTTTTTTTTCTTTTTCTCCAACCCTCTCCCACTAACCCACACAAACATACACATACACAATCCCCCTCTCTTTTTTGGTGGGGGGAGGAGGTGGTATTGGGGATTGAATTCAGGGCCTTATGCTTGCTAGGCAGGAACCCTACCACTTGAGTCACCCTTGCAGCCCCATCTTCTATTGATTATTTTCAAGGTAGAGTCTCACTTTATGCCCTGGCTAACCTGGGCTATCATCTTCCTACTTGTACTTGCCACGTAGGTGGGGATGACAGGGACCAGGGCACATCACCATGCCCAGCCATGGGTTCAGATGACATCTCATCAACTTTTTTTTTTTTTGTTGGTCATGGGGCTTGAACTCTGGGCCTGAGCACTGTCCCTGCACTCTTTAGCTCAAGGCTAGCGCTCTACCACTTGAGCTACAGCGCCACTTCCGATTTTCTGGTGGTTTTTATTGGAAATAAGAGTTTCACGGACTTTCTTGCCCGGGCTGGCTTTGAACCGTGATCCTCATATCTCAGCCTCCTGAGTAGCTAGGATTACAAGCTTGAGCCACTGCACCTACCACTCCTTTTCAAAAACAAACTTTTCATTTTAAAAGTAGATCTGTGAAGTAGTACAGATAAAATATATCCCAAACCCAATTTCCCCTCTTATTAGCATCTTATGATACATTCGTCACAATTAATGAACCAATGTTGATCTATCACATTATCTAACCTCTAAAATTTATCTAAATTTCCTTCATTTTTTACCTCATGTCCTCTTATGGTTCCAAGACCCCATCCAGAACTCATTACAGTTAGTCATTTCTCCTTGGGTTTCTCATGGCTGTGAAACTTTCTCAGGTTTTCCCTTGGTTTTAATGACCTTTATAGTTTTGAGGAGTACTTTATAGAATGTCTTTTCATTCAGATTTATCTTTCTCTTTTTGGTTGTGAGAAGAGAGGGAGGTGAATTACCCTCTTTCTCGTATGTCATATGCACATGAATTTCACGTGGATTTCGATCACCTAGCAGTATTTGTAGTATTTGTCAGGTCTCTATATTGTCAGGTCTCTATATCTCCTTTCCTCACTGTACTCTTTGGAAGGAAGGAATGAAGAGTTACATCCTTCTGTGAGTAATTGGAGTAATTGGAGTAATTGTCCCCTGTGATACTCATCTAGTCCATCATTCACTTATATCACTGTGGATTCATGAATACTTACACTATACTATTTGTTATGGGTCAGTGCTCTTTTGTTGTTTAAATTGTTCCAGCTTTGGCCAATTTAAAGAGCTTCTCATGGCCAAAGCAAATTGGTCATGCCTCCAATGAGCATTGGTTTCTTTACTGCAGTATTACAAGCTAAGATCTGGGCACTAGATGACTATACCATGGTCATGTTTTACTCTTGCATCCATCAAACATGAGATAAAGTGGTAGGCCTCTAGAAAATGGCTTAGCTTCCTAAACCATGAAAGACTTCTAATATTCATGGCACCACTTAGATCTTTTGGGATGCATATGAAGCACCCCTCAACACACAGTTCATTGGTGGAAGCCCAAGGCAGCCTATGAACTTGGAGATAAGATGGCATTAGTTTAACTGAAAAGCCCCTTGTGATGAGGGCACTTTGGGTTGTTTGGTCCATGAGGATCCCTTGAGAACGGTTGCTTTCTACACTCAGAAAACACTTTCATTAGAATACAGAGAAGACATGTGGACAATTAGATTCCCAGCTGTTTAAACAACTACTGATAAATGTCTCTGTATCAGCCAGGAGGTAGTCCCTAGTGCATTCCCACAGAGAGATGCAAATGTGCTGGCCAATGTTTGCCTCACAGTTTAGATGGAGCTGGACAAACAAGCTTCTCAAATGTGCAGATGCTGCAATGCTGTAAGCTAATATGATGAAGACAGAACATGAAGCCAGCTATCCTACCAGGATATTGTGTGGGCTGGAAACAAGATGAAATGTGAACAGGGTAAAAGTAAAGTTGTGCAATTGAATTTTATAAATGTCTTGCATAAATACATGGTAGGAGTAATCATTTGGCACCAGCTCATGAGAAAAACACTGGAGACTTTTTGTTGTGTGCAGGCTTCAGATGAGCCAGCAGAGTGCCATGCCTGCCAGAGAGGCAGTGCCTGCTCAGGCTGCAGTGGGTGGGAGGTCATGCTGTGCACAGGGCCAACACAATACCACTCAGCCAGAGCACTTGTGGAGCGCTTCTGTCATTGCTGAGCACCACAACTATTGACAACTTTATAAAGCACATGGCACAGATACCTTTATCTTTTATGGAATATGGTGTGATATTTTGATGCACATCTACAATGTATCATGATCAAATTAGGGCAATTATCATATCTATACTTCAAACATCTGTCACTTCTTTGTGTTGAAAACATCCAAAATCCTCTCTTCTAGCTTTCTGTGTGCGTGTGTGTGTATGTGTGTGCGCGCACGCACTTGTGCGTGCACGCTGGTTCCAGGGCTTGAACTCAGGGCCTGAGTAATGTCCCTGAGCTGTTTTGCTCAAGTCTGATGCTCAACCACTTGATCCGCAGCTCCGCTTTCATCTTTTTGCTGGTTAATTAAAAATAAGTTTCATGGACTTTCTTGCCCAGTCTGGAACTTTGAACTGTAACCCTCCAATCTTAGCCTTCTAAGTAGCTAGGATTACAAGCATGAGCCACTGATCATGAGCCTGGTGCTCAGGTTTTTTAGCCCTTTTTAAATATATATATTTATTTATATTTATATATAATAGTGACATACATACATGTGTCACTATTAGCCATAGTCACTCCCTTTGCTATAGAATACTAGAACTTAAACCTCCCATTTGACTTTGCATCCATTAAGCTACAAAAGAGCTTAAGGGTAGAAGGAGGTCTGGATCCTCCCCTCCTTCTACTCTTTCCAGCCTGTGATAACCACTGTTATCATTCTATTTCTCTGAGATCCAATTTTTAACTTCTATTCACGAATGAGAACATGCAGGATTTGTCTTTCTGCTAAGTATTACATTGTAAACATGGGCAAAACATTTATGTATTCAAAATAAGACGACTAGGATAATGGGTGGGAAAATGCTATCTGTGATAAAAAGTGGTGAGCCCCAGGGAGAGAAACGAAGAGCAGTTGAGATGTTGAGATGGCTTGTATGGTTGGGGAACGCGGAGACTGCCTGCTTGTGTAATTCTATAAGACTCAGAATAAAGGGAGCAGGTTACAAGGAGGCAGATTATGCATTCGTATAAGAAAACACTGCCTAACAACCAAGAACAGCCATCAGCATGTTAGGCCTTGGGGAAAACAAACTCATAACTCCCTATACTTGAGCAGAAGCTAATAGGATCTCCAAATATGGAGAGAAGCTTGGTTTATCTAGTTGCCATATTATCCAGTTATTCTTTAGAAGTATATTTACAGATGTTTAGGCAGATATGATCAAATATAATTTAAGATACCACAAAAATAATTTAGTTCTGTTTATTCTCCTGTTATGGTCCAACCTCTTCAGTTTTTATAAAAGCCAGTCAAGAAGCAAGTTGGTAGGGTATAGGAAAGTTCAGTCTTTTCCCCAAAACACAGTTAAGGAACTGTCATTAAATGATGAATATAAAACACACAAAAAACTATAATTTTGTTGAGTAAGACATTAGTCTCCTTGGTAGAAACTACACGACATATTCCATAATGGAAACATTTCTTGCCAAATTAATTGATGAATGTTGGGCCAGGTCTTTGGCATCTCTCCTTCTGTCTCTTATGGGGAACTCCCATAACAGTTGAGGAAAAAAATGTGGCCTGTTTCCCAATGTGTGTTTTGTTTTCATTTACATCTGTGTATGTTTCCTAGTTTGGGGCCACCTGTCCCTGAACAGCTGGAACCAGGCGGTATGTTCAAGAGCTCTGAGCCAAAACACATTAACTCTGGATTCGTGATATTGTCCGGGCTTCTTGCTGGCCATGGGAAATGTCCTTCCTCCACCCTTGAACAGCTGTATGTTCTAAATCACCAGAGAGGAAAGCATTTCCTATGAAAATTCATCATGTGCTCAGCCCATAACACTTGTCAATTCCTCACCCATGACTGTTCTCACAGCTTACAGGCCAGTGTCCGTGCAAACTGGGCCATGGTGGGAAACGCTGCAGTGAGTGCAAGGAAAATTACTACAGTGACCCATCCAGACAATGCATCCGTAAGTACTGGAACTCCAACAACACAAGAGTACAGCCAGCTGGTCCGCACAGGGCATAATGCAAACCCACCCCACGAGTCTCAAGTTCTTTTACTTGGCTGTTGCTTTTAGCAATATGAACTTAGAAAACCACAAAAGTTAAATACTACTTTTGAAAATAATACTTGTGCAGTTCTCTAAAAAGATGTATTTCTCCTGTGTTAAAATTTCTAGCCTGTATTAAAATGTGAATCTATGTTAAAACTTACAACTCGTGTGAAAACCCCTCAAAGTTATTACAATGGCACAAAACGCCAGGATTATGGATGAGAGCCCATTATTCACTCTTGGGAAGCCTGCTAAGGAAAATCAACCACTGTGGATTGAGGTGGAACAAAGCTGGGAGATAGGTCAGAGGAAGCCAGAGTAATATTCCCTCAAAATAAATCTGTAGCTCTAGGTCTATTAAATAGTCATTTGCGTATTTATCTAACCAACGTTCATAAAATGTTGGCTGGGTACTAGAGCTGGTGAACAACAAGGAGCCACCATTCCTCTTGGAGCTTGTGTTCCAGTGCCTGTCTTTCTTGAGTGAGATCCTACTGTAGGGCATAGGGCAGCACTGTCTAGTAGAGCTTTGATCCATGAAGGAGATGTTCTGTCTTTGCACTGTCTACTGCAGGAGCCACTAGCCACAGGAAACAGGAAACTGTCAAACACTTGACGTCAAACACAGACACTTCAAGTGAGGAACAGAAGCGCACATTTGCTTCATTTTATTTATTTAACTGAAATAGTCCCATGTGATTAGTGGGGACAATATTGGGCAGCACAAATTTGGAGGCCAGGTTGGTTCTAGGACGTGAGATTTTTGAGTTGCCATTTAAAGTCAGCTTCCAAAGCAAACTGCTTCCAAGGTGTGACCGATATGTAATCATTATCACCCCTACATTGCTATGATAGTAACTCTTCTCTTTACTCCATACATGTGTACTCTGATAGCTAACAGAAATATTGCCATCATTCCCTTACCCCATTCAGAAAACATATCCTCAGTGAATTGCTCCAGGCCATGCTTTAACTCAGTTTTCTGAGTGGAATCGCTGGTTTCCAACAAGGGAGGAGGATCTGGGGCTGTACCGCAGTGGTAGTGTGCTTACTTAGCATGGACAAGGCCCTCGTGCCATCTCCAAGCACTAAAACAAAACAATAAAACCAGGAGGAAGTTTTGGCTCTTAAAAAAAAAAAATCTGTCTTTAAAAGTCTTTGAAGTCTCTTTTCCTGCATCCCTCTAATTTTTTGGAAATCTCATTTGATAAAAATGCTTTCCTTTTCTTTTAAATAAATTAAACACGTGGGGAAACTTTGCAAACCAAGTTAGGCCACAGATCCACTGACGTTCCTGGCAAAGACATTTAATGAGAGGAACCATGGCCTCCATGGTGAAGTGATACTGCTGTCCCCACAGGCTTCACACTGAATGAGGCCCCTGGGTAGAATCTGATGGAGTCCATTGTGCTAATCAAGTTTTATTTGCAATTGGCAATATTTACAGTCAAACTGTCATATACATTTTACACCACTTGTTTCGTCCAATGAGTCTGAAGACACAGGCTAACTCTTGGAAATAGTAGTGACAGCAATGGCCTCCCCATCCCCCATCCTCTGACTTCATCAGGAACCTTCTCAAAATGCTGTATGTGATCAGCTATTTTAAAAAAATTAAGAGGGCTGGGAAGGTGGCTCAGTGGTAGAGCGCTTGCCTTGCACGCCTGAGGCCCTGGGTTCGATTCCTCAGCCCCACATAAGCAAAAAAGAAAAAAGCCGCAAGTGGCTCAAGTGGTAGAGCACTAGCCTTGAGCTGAAGAGCTGAGGGACAGCACCCAGGTCTAGAATTCAAGCCCCACAACTGGACCCCCCCAAAAAAAATTAAGACAGTTGGGCACCAGTGGCTCATACCTGTAATCCTAGCTACTCAGGAGCCTGAGATCTGAGAATCATGGCTCAAAGCCAACCCGGGCAGCAAAGTCCATGAGACTTATCTCCAATTAACTACCAGAAAACCAGAAGTGGCACTGTTGCTTAAGTGGTAGAGTGCTTGCCTTGAGCTGAAAAGCTCAGGGACAGCACCCAGGCCTAGAGTTCAAGCCCCATGACACACACACACACACACACACACACACACACACACGAAGAAGAAGAAGAAGAAAGAAGAAGAAGAAGAAGAAGAAGAAGAAGAAGAAGAAGAAGAAGAAGAAGAAGAAGAAGAAGAAGAAGAAGAAGAAGAAGAAGAAGAAGAAGAAGAAGAAGACGACGACGACGACGACGACGACGACGACGACGACAAAATGCATAGAGTTTATGGAAAATGAAACAGTCTCTTGATATAATGGAAGATGACAGGGATGAGCCTCCAGGCTGGGAATTCTTTTTTTGTTTGTTTGGTTTTTTTTGTTGTTTTTTTTTGGGTCCGGTCATGGGGCTTGAACTCTGGGCCTGGGCGCTGTCCCTCAGCTCTTCAGCTCAAGGCTAGCGCTCTACCACGTGAGCCACAGTGCCACTTCCGGCTTTTTTTCTTTTTGCTTATGTGGTGCTGAGGAATCGAACCCAGGGCCTCAGGCATGCAAAGCAAGCACTCCACCACGGAGCCACTTCCCAGCCCCAGGCTGGGAATTCTTAAGGTTAGTGTCACATCTGAAGCAGCATGGGCAGCAGCTACCACAGTCACTACTGCCACTACAGTCACTACAGGCCCCATGACATCCACATGCCTTGCTCAAACAGATAAAACAGCATCTGATAGTTTCCATATTAAAAACAAAAACAGAGCTAATATGTTACTGGAATACAGAGGGGCATGCTGTATTTTAATGGCCATCATGCAGATCTTTGAAGTCAAATGTCTTTAAATAGTCACCCAAGAATCATGAGTTGGGAATATCCCCGGGAGAGAGAAGAGGGCTTTCATCCTCTACTAGTCATGAGCACAATACCAAGTGACTTTCTCTTTTCCTTTTCTCTTTTAAGCATGCAAGTGCAACAGTGAAGGAACCCGGATGCCTCTGTGTGACCCAGACACAGGCATGTGCCACTGCCGGGAGGGTGTTAGCGGCCAGCAATGTGACCACTGTGCCCGGGGTCACAACCAGGAATTCCCTGCTTGTCTTCCATGTCACTTCTGCTTTGATCAATGGGACCACACCATTTCTTCCCTCTCCAAAGCAGTGCAAGGGTTAATTGCTAACATGGAAGATAAAAGAGAGACCCTGACTGGCTGTGAGGTAGACTTCCAAAACCTCAGAGAGAATGTATCTGCAATCGAGAGGCTTTTGAAACAGCCTCTTCACTCACCTGGAGAATTCTTAAAAGTCAAAGACTATCATGACTCTGTGAGGTAAGACTGGCTCTCGGGGGACAGCTAGTCCAGCTACTGACTCATGCTGACACCCACCTGGTGCTCACGTCATGCTTGCCTATCCCTTTCTTGCCTAGTTAGGATTTCACGTGATTTTTTTTCTCACAAATGCCATTGCTTATAACAAAATGGCACTATTCAGAGGTTAAATAGGGAGCTGGGAGTGTCATTTGGTGGTAGGATGCTTGCCTGGCATTGGGAAGACCATGGTTTGATTCCCTAACACTAAATAAAAAAGGAGCTTGAGATTCCCAAACCCAGCATAGCTGGAAAACATGAAACTGCTCCATAGCCATACTGCAGTGACTGTATCCAATCTCCCCTAAAGGGTAGAAAATTAGAAGTGTAGTCATTCCTAACACCAAATAGCATACTTTCCAATGTTACAATCAAGGAAAACTTACCAGACCTTCCCAAACTCTCCAGTTGTTTAGTCTTAAAATAAGGATGGTAATTCCTTCAAAATACAAGATCACTTTATAATGTTTCTTTTTTCATTCATCAGCTATTTCTTGAAATTATATTGGTTGCTCTTTGGCTAGATGTCAGAAAACCACAGCTGATGGGTCAAATCCAATATAGCACTGTTTTGGTGGATAAGTTCCACTAGAACACAGATATACCCACATATTACAGGTCTCCCTCTGTAGTAGCAGAGTTGGATAATCATCACAGAGACCTTGGGACTCCAGAGACAATCTTTACCAACTTGCTCTGGGCAAAAGCTGTATTAATATAGTTTACTAGCAAAATAAAGTATGTGATCGTATTTCAAAAAAAAAAAATCCCACCTTCCAAGAAAACTTCCTGAATTAATTTGAAACTGTGGAGGTTTGTTGGTGGTGGTGGAAGTTTTATTTTTATTTATTTATTTATTTTGGTGTGTGTACTCACATGTGCCAGTATTGGGGCTTGAACTCAGGGTTTCATGCTCTGTCTTGGTCTGTCACTTTCCAAGCAATATCAGACATTTGGATTTTCTCTGTGTAGCCCAAAGAAAACATGTCTGAGGATGAGCTTTAGACATGGACCACTGGTTTGTGGTTATAGATACTAGAAAATATCAAAGTACCATAAGATATCAGAATTAACTAACCTACAATGAACATTCTGGACTAAGGACTGCAGGATCCCTAAGCAGGGTTAGAAAGAAAACAGTAGGAAGAGTCCTGGACCCAGGCTAAAATGATGAGAAAAAAAGTTGGCTACTGACCTGATCAGTCAGATGCCAAGATACTCTGTCCTCTCCTGGCCCACCCACTAAACCCGTGTTGCTTTTTACTGGCCCCATACACCATCTTCCATCTGAGCTTTCCCTGATCTCCTCCATAGAAAGGCATGTATCTCCTCTCTCCATCTTTAAAGATGGATTTGAAGAAGATTTTGTGTTTCTTTACTGTTATATATTACAAGTCAAAAGGAAGCAAGAAAATAAGGAGCCTACGTTGCCATGAGCATTAAAAATTCAGAAGCCAAACCACCTTAGTTCAAATCCACTTACTATCCATGTGGCTTCAGGCATGTGAGGTCTCCAGCTTTGGTTTCTTCATGCAAAAAGACAGAAGCAGCCAGGCACTAGTGGCTCACACCTGTAATCCTAGCTATGCAGGAGGCTGAGATCTGAGGATTGTGGTTTGAAGCTGGCCCAGGCAAGAAAGTCTCCAATTAACCACTAAAAAGCTGGAAGTGGAGCTGTGGCTCAAGTGGTAGAGTACCAGCTTTAAGTGAAAAATCTAAGGATCTGAGTTCAAGTGCCAGTAATAGTGCACGCACGCACGCACACACACACACACACACACTGAGGTCATGGTCACACCTATAATTCTAACATTCAGGAAGCTGACACTAGAAGTTACTGAGTTTGAGTTCAAGGCCATCCTTAACTGAATAGTAAGCCAGCCTGAAAGCAACACCTCTGAGAGAAACAGACAGACATATTATGAGTCTATTTCATAGGATTCTTGGGAATATTACTCCAGCAAGCCACTTAGTATAGTGAATGCACACAGTAAATGCTTAAGGAATTCCAGTCAAATAGTAGTGGCTATGTTATTTGTATTATTGTCATTAGCCTAAAGAATGCTATTTCTATAGTCCTGGTGATTGGATCCTGAAGGAAAAGTTTGTAGAAGAGAGGGAAAGAAGTCTGTTAGAGAAAAGAAAGGTTAGGAAGAATTCATTAATATCTTTACTTGTGCCAAGATAAATTAGACTTATAACTCAGATCCCCTCAATTGTACCCTTTAAGACTGCACCCAATTTCCCTATCAAGGAGAGCTTCATTATCCACTTGAACCAACTGAACTGTATATGCTGAACTCAGCAAACTGAAGTAAGAAAAAGGTCTGTGCCATGAATCAGCTATATCTGAAACATATTTGTGTTTCCACAATCTCAGAATTTATTGAATAGCAATAAAATCACAAGCTAAGTCAATTTCATTGGCTTTTATTCACCAAGAACTCCTGAATTCCCTTTCTATTTGTGGCTGTTGCTGATCACAATTTCTTGTATTCCAATCTTATTTAGAAATATTAACTTTCAGAACACACATTATACTTCACACAATAGTGTGTGTAATACAAAATGGCTGCAAAAGTTTGAAAGTTTGAAAGGTTCAGAAGGGATTTACTGAAGCACAATTAGAGAACTGATAGAGATACAGAAAAAGTCTCTGAGATGTACAAGACACTATGTTGAAAATGAACTTTACAACTTGTGGTGGGCGGAGGGGAGTAGTTGGGGAGGTAAGGAGGGAAGGGATGGTAGGAGAAAAACAAAGGAGGAGGTAACAATGCTCAGTAGGAAATGGACTCATTCCCTTACTCATATAACTGTAACCCCTCTGAACAGTATCTATACAATAAAAAATATATATTAAAAAAAAGTTTTGGGGCTGGGAAGGTGGCTTAGTGGTTGAGTGCTTGCCTTGCAAGCATGAGGCCCTGGGTTCGATTCTTCAGCACGATATAAACAGAAAAGGCCAGAAGTGGCACTGTGGCTCAAGTGGTAGAGTGCTCGCCTTGAGCTGAAGAGCTGAGGGACAGTGCCTAGGCCCAGAGTTCAGGCCCCAAGACTGACAAAAAAATATATATATATATATAGTTTTATAAACCCCAGGCACAGACTTATTCAGGGCACAATATTGTCAAATGCAGGTCCAGACAGTTTCAAGTGTCAATTTGAGGAGAGCTGTGTGTTACAGGCAGGACAAACTGCACTTGAGCTGGAGAGGAAAAGTTGCTTTACTGTGACAGTTCTGCCAGATAGGATGGCTCATTACAAGCAACCAGGTGATAGGTCAGTGTGCCTGACGTCTTAGTCTTGGGAGGCTCCTTTTATAACCCAGGTTACACCTGGTGTGATTGACCAGCTCAGGTTTCTGATGTGATACGATACATTCACAGATGATTTGTTGGCCCTAATGAATTAGTAGTTTGTGTCTTATCATATGTGGTAGCTAGTGGTTGTTTGCCTATATAAACAAGATGTGGAGTCATTCTGTCTTGGCACATATACTCAAAATGAGATAACTCAAGTCAAAAGTGTTCTTTTATAAATGGAGTGACTCGGGGCTGGACATGGCCTGAAAGCTGTTTTATACAACCTAGAGTAACTCACAGGAGGCCCAGATACCTCTCATCGGTGTGAACTGTCATAGTCAAAGGGAATCGGGAAAAAGACATCCAGTATCCTCTTGCCAGCAAACAACCTTAACACTATTGTAAATTAAAAGTTAAGACTCTCTAGAAGTAGAACTAAAATGAATTTTGTTGAATGCTGACTTATACTGTAAATAAAGAACTCATATTACCTATACTGGGTAAAGCATTCTGTTTTATCATGTGTTAAAGGCCAAGTGTAAACTGGCTTTTTTTGAATGCTTTAAGTGAATCTTGTCTGAATACATGCTTTGAAATGCTAAGCAAAGAGAAAAACAGCCAGGACACTTGAAATGGAAAGATTAGAAAACCTTTCCTAGAACTTGAATATTTGTCATAGTTTAAATGAGTGATGAAATATAGCCAGGAAGCTGAAGTAAGAGGAAAGAGAAAAACCAATACCAGATTTATAACCTCAAATGAAAATTATGTGTGTGAAGGTCCCTTTTAATTGAGGACACCTAATCATGGGGACAACTTTGTGGCATGTTTTTGATTACCAATATGTCAAATAATAAAAGCTTAACCATATAAAATTCATTTTCTTCAACAGGAAACAATTCATGCAGCTAAGTGAACAACTGAAAACAGTATATGAATTTAAAGATCTAAAGGAAACTATAGAAAGAATGGAGAATGAAACAGACATTTTACTTGAAAACCTTCAGGAGGAAGTTGATTTGCAATCCAGCATCCTTAATGCAAACATTATAGGTAAGAGAGAAAGTGATCTGTAACTGTTTCTGCAGGAACTTGGATGAAATCCACAGCAAATCCCATTAGTGAGCTGTTCTCTGCTTACTCCATGATGCCTGAGCACTTTAGAACATGCAGATACATGCATTCAAGGTATTATTTGTACACAGATATTTTACCTTTTTAAACATTTTTTAAAAATACATTGAAGAGGGCTGGGGAGGTGGCTCAGTGGTAGAGTGTGGGTTCGATTCCTCAGCACCACATAAGCAAAAAGAAAAAAAGCTGGAAGTGGTGCTGTGGCTCAAGTGGTAGAGCACTAGCCTTGAGCTGAAGAGCTCAGGCCCAGAGTTCAGGCCCCACGACTGGACCCAAAAAAAAAAAAAAAAAAAAAAAACCATTGAAGAGCCTGGATAGCTTTTGTTCAAAATAACAAAAGTTAACAATGTCTGATACTACACAAATATTAAAACTCAAAGTAAGCTAATAACAAATCGGTAACTTAGAAATTCTCATGTGGCCATAGGCAAATTAGGGTTTCTTTTCTTTTTTCCTTCCTGGCAATAATCCACTTCATTTCCAGCAACCACAAATGTGAAAGAATATGATGCAAAAAAGGAAATAGATTCCTCCTGAGAACGTTGTTGGAACTGGAATCATGTAACACACTGGCAATCATTTCTTCATATTGCATAGTTCTTAAAACTGAATGTGAGCCATGTCAAAGCCAAGATCAACTTGGAGGATAAATGGAATTCTAAAGCAAAGCTTTAATCAGCTCATCTCTTGTTGAAGATGACATTTCCTATTATATTTGTAATTGGACAACCTGTTATTTACTCACACCTACTCCATCTAATTGAGAAGTAAAGGGGAAATATACTGAACTCTTGTCAAGCATAAACATTGACTGCTTTGCCTTATTCTCTGTGTAGTGACTGTTTCTCATTTGATCCTGATTCAAAAGAGAAAAAAAATAGACTACAATTAAGAATGTCTAAATTTAATTAGATAAATTCTAGAAAAGATTTATTAACAGTATTTAATCAATACCATGTCAAGCATAAGGGATTTATTGTTTCTTGCTGTAGAATAAGGCACTCACTGAAAGAACTCAAGATCCATTGGAAGTAACCGCAAGCAAGGTAAAATAAAACTACTCCATACCAGGAAATGTTATAATTTGCAGGCCAACAGCAGTTACTGAGCACTGTTGGACAGTACAGACAGGGAAATGATTATGGCAAGTACCTGCCCTTGAGTTATCCCTGCCACGAGGGAGACAGGAATCTGCTTTGGTTGCAGGGTACAAGAACCAAGTTCTTCCTGATTATAAGGGAGAAGATTATAACTGAACTGAGCCTTGCAGGAGGGAGCTAAGTTTGCCAGATAAATAAAAATGGAAAATCCTTCTAATAAATAAGAACATTTTTTTTTAGCCAGGCACTGATGGCTCACACCTGTAATCCTACCTAGTCAGGAGGCTGAGATCTGAGGATCATGGTTTGTAGCCAACCTGGGCTGTAAAGTCCCCATGAGACTCTTATCTCAAATTAACCACTCAAAAACTGCAAGTGGCACTGTGGCTCAAGTGGTTGTTAGTCCTAGGGCTTGAGCTCAGGGCCTGGCTATTGTCCCTGAGCCTCTCTACCACTTCAGCCACAGTGCCACTTGTGGCTTTTTCTGTTTATGTGGTACTGAGAAATTGAACCCAGCACTTATTCATGATAGGCAAACACTCAACCACTAAGCCACATTCCCAGCCTCAAGACCATGTTGATGAATGTGACCAAAAAAATTTTTAAATAGCAGGTGTAGTTGTCTCATACCTGGATTATAATTGTGTAGAAAGTGAAAATCAGGATTCTAGCCCTCTTGTTCCTAAAATGTGGAGTTAGGATTTAAAAAGCGAGTAGAGCTGTCACTCAAAATGGTAAAGCACTAGCCTTGAGTGAAAAAACTCAGTACTCTACCACTTTGAGCCACGGACTATGTCTAGGTTTCTGGTGGTCAGTTGTAAATAAGAGTTTACTGGACTTTCCTGCCCATGCTGGCTTCAAACCTCAATCCTCAGATCTCAGTCTCCTGACTAGCTAGAATTATAGGCATGCGCCATCGGCACCCAGACTGTGACACATTTTACAAAATATTTTCATATTGTCTCACTTGACCTTTACAAATTTTTATCACCAATTTATGAGTAAGGAGATGAAATTGAAGAGATTTGTTCAAAGATTAAACCCAGGTAATAAAGAGAAGAGCCAGGCCAAGCCCAACTAAAAAGGATTTGAAAGTCAGTGGCTTGTATCTATTACAACTTATCTAATCCTTCCCTTTCATTTGCAAATTCAAGCAAGGGTGTTGAAATTTTATAGGGAAAATTGAGATCAAGACAAGAAGTAAATTGTGGCATGACTGTCAGGATAGTTATTATATTCATTTTTTTTCAAAATCTAATTTACCTTTATTTTATCTTTCCACAATATGTTGTAGATTCCTCAGAAAACATCACAAAGTATTATCACATATCAGAATCTGCTGAAAAGAAAACTAATGAAACCAGTTCCATCATAAATAACTCTGAAAATACCAGGAACAACTTACTTACCATTTTAGATACAGTCACTTCTAAAGAAGACTTGTTACTGAGAAAATTAGAGCAGATTAAGGTACCAGATATCCAGAAACTCAATGAAAAGGTAAATACATAATGGTTTAATAAAAAGTTTATGGTTCTTGTATACAGAGCTCCTTAACTGTACTTTTTTCTCATTTATTTTTATTTCATCTATACTTATAAAAGTATGATTAGTACAAATGTATGTTTATAAATACATAAATAATATGTAATATACCTTCTGTAGTACAATACACAAAAATATAAATATACTTAGTCTATATTTTATATCCTTGATTCAAGGATTAGTCAAAATTAAAAATCAAAGCTTACTGCTTGATTTTATTATTTTATATTACTAGTTACAAAATAGTATAGCAAATAGACATTATTCTTCTTGTTTTGTTATAAGTAAAAATTAATATCCATCTTCAAAGAATAAAAATTAAATTAATGTGGAAGCACTAAAATGTAACTTTAAAAAACCTGTAAGTACAAAAAGGACAGATTGGTACAAAATTCACAATTTAGATACTTATTCAGTTGCTCAGGATCTACTAAGGTCACCCCCTTGCTACTTAGTGTAGGTAACAACTAAAGAAACCTACATGACAAAGCAATGCCTTGAGAGTGGAGATATGGCTGAAGTGGTAGAACACTAGCCTTAAGTGAAAAAAAGCCAAGCAAGAACACAAAGCCCTGAGTTCAAGCCCTAGTACCAGGTGAAATAAGCCAGACCCAAAGAAACACAGGCTCCATGGTTTTCTTCATTTGTAATAATTAGTATATGTCTAAGGATAGACCTAGCAGAGGATCACAATAGCTCAATCGCTATGTACGTATGACCACATAAAATGATGCTAATTGAAATTGCTTCCAAGATATGGAAACAAGAGGTTCTTTTTGTTTTTGTTTTGTTTTAATGTACTACATGAAGTTATTTCTTTTTTCTTTCATTTTTTTCCTTTGGTTTATTTATCCCTTGTTGTCACTGTTTTTTATTTTGGTACCCTGTGTCTTGTATACACATTTATCTGATTTGGGGAAAGGAAAGGGAATAACAAAATGGTGAGACAAAGGATAAAGGGTGAACCAATGCAACAGTGATACAAGACACTGTGTTGGAAATGAACTTTACAGCTTGTAGGGGGAGTCATGGGGGAAATGAGAGTGGGAAAAAAACAAGGGAGGGGGTAACATTATTCAACAAGAAGTGTACTCATTACCTTACTTATGTATAACTGTAACCCCTCTGTACATCGCTTTCATAATAAAATTAAATTAAAATAAAAAAAAACAATACTTGGCCTTAGAGAATCTGGATAGCATTAGAAAATCACTGCTAACAAGTTGCTTTGACATTTCTTCTGTAAGGTATGTGGAGAACAAGGGAGCTTGCCTTGCAATCTGTCATCCTGTGGGGGCTCTGTCTGTACAGGCCCTGAGGGGCTCCAGCAGTATGATGGTCCCGGCTGCCAAGGCCTTCTGACCCTCTCAAGGAACATTCTTCAGAAAGCCCAGGAAGCAGAGGCTGTGATCCACCATTTGGAGAACCAGACTCAAGGGTTGACGAATCAGGTAAAGAATGTCTTCTGCTTGATTTGTTGTTTTTAATGTACTATGTGCTTTTTTTGTTGTTTCTGTTGTATGTTCTTCCCCCTATGGTATATCCCCTGTTGTCACTATACTTGATTTTGGTCCCCTGCATCTTGTATATGCATTTATCTAATTTGGGGAGGAGAAGGGGAATAACAAAATGCTGAAACAAGGACACAGGATCACCCATTGCAACGATGATACTCATAAGACACTATGTTGGAAATGATCTTTGCAACTTCAGTGCGGGTGGAGGGATGGTGGAGGATTGGAGTGGATAGGGAAGAAACAGTAGGAAAAAAAAACAAAGGGGTAACAATGTTGGACAAGACATGTACTCATTACCTTACTCATGTAACTGTAATCTCTCTGTACAGCGTCTTTACAATAAAATATTTTTTTAAATCTTACCAAGGCAAAAAAAACAACCTGGATTTTGGTAAAGTGCCATTTAATTTACCAGCAAGAGAGGATAGACTCTAGACATTGTGTATTCTAGAGGCTGAAAAATTAAGTGTTCTAAATAGAGAGCCAGGTATTACTAGCCCATGCCTATAATCCTAGCTACTTATGAAGCTGAGAATCAGAGGATCGCAGTTCACAGCTATCCTAAGCACAAAAGTCTATGAAATTCTTATCTCTAGTTAACCAACAAAAAGTTAGAACTGTGGCTCAAACAGTAGGGCACCAGTCTTGAGCAAAAAAGTTAAGGGACAATTCCCAATCCCTGAGTTCAAGCCCTACCATGGGTAACAACAACAAAAATATTAAATATATAGATGTGTGAGGGAAAAGATTAAATGTACACATGTATGAGAGAGAACGGTGATTTTGATCAAGATGCATTATATTCATAAACTGACTTATTGAATTGTAACCCCTTTGTACCATTACTTGAAAAATATAAACACACACAAAGAAAGAATAAAAGGAAGTCACTATTCAAATAAACTGTACAGAACTGTAAATATACACTTTTAAATAGATGGAAAAAACTCAAAGTGTATTATTGTTGGTCATAGGCTTTCTGTGGACATGTTTTTCTATAGCAAATATTACACAGGAATGTCAAAACTCAGCATGAGGACTGGAAATGTGTCTTAGTGGTAGAGTGCTTGCTTAGCAAGCATGAAGCCCTGGGTTCAATTCCTCAGTACCACATAAGCGGAAAAAGCCAGAAGTGGTGCTATGGCTCACAAGGTAGTATGCTAGCCTAGCAGAAGTTCAGGGACAGTGCCCAGGCCCTGAGTTCAAGCCCCAGGACTGACAAAAAACAAAATCAAAAAAAAAAAAAAAAAAAAGACACTTCAGCATGGAAGCTTTGAAAGCTATAGATCTCTCAAAGCAAAGAATCATTTTTCATAAATTCAAGGATATAATTCCTACTAAAATACAAATTTTAATACCAGAATTTAATGTTAGAAAATGCTTGAACATGTAACATTTTGAAATTATTTCATTTTCTTTTCTGGCAACATTTATGAGTATCATTTTTAATTACCCAGCATGTTTAGTTTTTTGTTTCCTTTTGTTCAAGTCACAGTTCTGAGGATTGAACCTAGGGTCTCACAGATGCTAGGCAGGTACTCTAGTACTACCATCCTGTCTTTAGGCTTTTTCAAGATGTACTATATCCTTTGGTTTTGAAAATATGATGATGGCATTCTTCTTTTTTTTATAATACATACAGAGCCTTTGATGAGGAAGAAAAAGGGCTGAACTTTTATTAATATAATCCAAATATTATATCAATCTGCATTCTTTTTGGTTTTGTTCTAGTATTGAGGCTTGAAATCAGAGCCTTAGTGCTCTCCCTTCAATTTTTAGCTCAAAGACAGTGCTTTACAAGTTCCAACTTTTTAGAGATTGGAGATTGGTTAATTGGAGATAAGCATCTTATAGACTTCCCTCTGTACAGTATTTTTACAGTAGAAAACATATTAACATAATTTTTTTAAATCTCATAGACTTTGTTGCCAGAGCTGGCTTCAAACCACAATCCTCAGATCTCAGCCTCCTAAGTAGGATTACAGGCATGAACCACCAACTCCTTGCAGTTATTTGTAAACAGCAGAAGCCAACTCCAAATAAAAAGAAAATGTGTACAAGGCCTTAGTATCAACAGAAAGCTAAGCTTGAGGGGCTAGGAAGGTGGCTCAATGGTAGAGTGCTTGCCTTGCATGCATGAGGCCCTGGGTTCGATTCCTCAGCACCACATAAGCAGAAAAAAGCCAGAAGTGGTGCTGTGGCTCAAGTGGTGGAGTGCTAGCCTTGAGCTGAAGAGCTGAGGGACAGCGCCCAGGCCCAGAGTTCAAGGCCCATGACTGGCAAAAAGAAAAAAGAAAGAAAGAAAGCTAAGCTTGGGAACAGGGTGAGAGTCACAGGCAAGATAAAAATTCACTGACACTCCCTCCCCCGCTGCCCCCCCCCCCCCCACCTCACCCCGGCCTCATTCTCCCTAATTCTTGTTCAGTTACTATAGAGGGCAAGTTGTAGAGCTAAATTACTACAGAGGCTTAGTTCTGATGAGCTAAGATGGAAAATCTCCTTAATCTACTAAATGATGTGAGTTTTCTACTTGCCTGGTCCCAATTCTGTATTGCTAACTAATTTTTCACTTACATATGATTCCGCATTGCTTTTACAAGTAGGCTTTGAGTAACTACTATGTACCAGACAATACAGCAGTGATATTAACAACACAAATCTTGGTCTTACAACTCAGTGGTTAGGAGAATCCTTGTTTCACGTAACTTTAAACTACTCCATTCCTCTCTCCCCTGCCCCCAAATCAGACCTCTCATTCCATTGCAATGAACCTTGGTTGTGGGTGGATTTATGATTAAGCTAACAATAGCTTTAAGCTATTTGTCTTAAAAGATAACCCCCTCAAGTCTATATTAACAGAATGTGGTTTAATCAGCAAGTAAGTGGAAAGCTAGAAAAAGATGAGAGCAGGTGGGACTGCCATAAATTACTGTGGTATTTTCTTCTTGATTAGAAAGGGGAAGAGTGCCAGAAGAGACTGAGAGATAATTCTCAGGAACCAATTGTGTCAGAAGATGGACTGCAGATAGATGTTTTCAGAGTGAGGTGACTTAATGATTCGTCTTTCTGAATATGGCCTCAACTAATCTACTCTGAGATTTCATCAGGCCTACTTGAAGCTTTTCTATATGGAATGAATTCTCATTTTTCCTGAATTCTCATTTTATAGCTATCCAGCCTTATTTAACTGCTGTCCATGTCAAAGAAAGTTCTAAAGACTTGAGGATAAAGTCTCCAAAAAAATTAAAGTATACATTTTTAATCATATGAATCCTTTTTATATTCTGTGTATTTCATTTGTTGATGACTATACATTAAATCCTTCTTCCCAATCTCTGGCTCAAATTAAGCAGGCTCCTTCTGTGTGGAAATAAAAGATGCTTCCCTTCTACATTATGTTTGATTCTAATTGGCCCTCTTCTGTCACAATTAATTCATTCAATAAAGCTCAGCTGGTTGGTGATATTGTCCTATTGCTTTCTCCTTCTCTCTAATTTGCTGGAATCCAAAAAAGTCCGTGACCTTTGCACTTCTAGCTGCTGGTGTATGGGTTCCTCATTCCTTCACCCAGAGCTTGTGTTTGGATTTGTAGCCCACTCAGCTCAAGCCCCTTTATTATAAGTAAACACTTTCTTGTTAGCTTTCAAAGAAAGTACATTTCTTATATTTGAGGAATGATTCCAAGAGTACCTATTTGAACATATATAAAAAAAGCTATTTTCAACCTGTTAAGCATAACAGTCACTAGAGTAAGTGGTCCTAAGTAATTTGGGACAAGTTATTAATGTTAGAGAATGCTAGTCTTAAAACAATTTATCTTTTTATATCTATTAAGAAACTTCACCAACACTAGGCTAATATTGTTTTCAAATAGTAATTTTGATTACTAACAATGTTACAAAATGAAAATTCTTCTTTATTAAGAAACTTTGAGGGGGGAGATGGGAGGGCAGGAATGGTAAGGGGAAACAAAGGAGGAGGCAACAATGCTTGATAAGAAATGTACTCATTACCTTGCTCATGTAACTGTAACCCCTCTGTATGGTATTTTCACAATAAAAAATTAATAAAAAAAGAAACTTTGATAATGAGCACATGATAATCATCTTTTAAAAAGAATCCTTTGGAATGAACCTATGGTTTAATTACTTAGACTTCTGCTTGTGTTTTTTTTTTTTAGCAACAGTTTTACTTGAACCAGCCAAACAATTAAATATTTATAGAACATGTCTGATTTTTACATATTTTTTTCATTGTTTATTTTTTCTTATTCCAGATTAAAAACATAAGTGAACTGGCAGAAGTCTCTGGAAACAATGCCATACGGCTGAGTATGAAACTAGAAAATATGAAAAACCAAAGGGAATCTGAGGAAAAAAAACTGAACTTCTTAATCAAAAAAGCGAAAAAGATTTTGTTAGGTAATTTTTAACATAAAGTTTTTTTAATCTCTTTCTTTGTAAAAATGTACCCCAAACATCATAACCAGTCCCACATTATATTAGTTTAAAATGACATGGCTAAACCAGAAAAAAAAATTGATGTAACCTTTGGTTTTAATCTCAAGACATTATGCACCAAAAGGAAATTAAGACTTTCTGGGTAAGATTAAGTTTAATCAATTAATAATTGGAGTTTCCAATGTTTTCTCAGCAATCACTTCATTAATCTATTTCATATTTTCAAGAAATCTCTGTGACCAACCACTTCTCTGCTTTAATGTTTCAAGAGATTGTATTAATGCATTCTAATGCAGATATCCAATTATACATTCTAATGCAGATATCCAAGGTAAAAAGAAAGTATGTAGATACAACCTTTGAATAATACTCAATAACAAGAAAGGGGAATAGACTCAGTATACTGGACAAAAGCACGTTAGCAATGAGTTAGCAAGAGGGATTGGGCTTGACTAAACTGGTTGACTAAACTTTTAGGCAGTTACTGCAGATGCAAATTAATTCAGGCAAAAATTAAAAGCAAATTGCCTATCTAGTTACATGAAGATAGTAGCAAGTGTTCATGACAGAGTGGGCATGTATAACCTGCGTCCTAAATAATTCACTGGTTATAGTGGCTGTGCTCTCATTGTTAATGAGCAAATTTCTAATAAGAGGTTCAATTTAATTAACCTGACAACTTGAAAAAAGAATCTGTATCCAGATATTATTAAAATTAAAGGTCCACAGAACTAAGGATCTAAGGGCTGGGAAGGTGGCTCAGTGGTAGAGCGCTTGCCTTGTATGCCTGAGGCCCTGTGTTTGATTCCTCAGCACCACATAAGAAAAAAGCCGGAAGTGGCGCTGTGGCTCAAGTGGCAGAGCGCTAACCTTGAGCTGAAGAGCTGAGGGACAGTGCCCAGGCCCAGAGTTCAGGCCCCACGACCGGACTAAAAAAAAAAACAAAACAAAGAACTAAAGATCTAAGTAAGGGATATATACAACCTACTCATTGTGTCCTAGAAATGCACTGTTAAATGCAAGTGACTTTGATCTGGAATTCACTATGGTTACATGTACATGATGCAGTGATTGCTAAGGGAGTATGATGACCTAAAACCTGACTTCTTATTTAAGAGGAAAATGTGCCTCCAGAAGATATAGAAAAAGTTGCAAATCGTGTACTTAACATCCACCTTCCAATAACCTCACAAAATCTAACCCATGAACTTGACGAAATACAGACATTTGTACAACTCTGTGAGGACTACAGGATAGATGTGAACAGGCTAAATAAAGCAGCAGATGGAGCCCAAAAACTTTTGGTGAAGGCCAAAGCAGCTGAGTAAGTATAGTATTAATATTCTCATCTTGCTATAATGAGCCATCTGTTAAAGATCCACCTGAAAAAATTCTTGGCCCTGGGAGCTATAATGTGCAAATGAAATTACCCTCTAGTAATTCAGTGTCAAAACTGAAGGCTAAGCTTTTTTTTTTTTAAGAAAAGTGACAGTTGGGAGACAGTGTGTAGGGATGCTTGCTTTCTGTTCTCCTCAGAGCCTTCCCTGCGGTCTAAGGCCTACATTAATGCATGCCAGCAAATGCCATGTGTGAATTATATCCCAACACTTTAACCTGTGGTTGGAATATGGTGTCATTTCCCCTTCTATGCTTATTGTCTTTTGAAAATCTAAATTTACAAAAGGCTACAGTAAAAACAAAACAAAACAAAAAACTATAATAGTTGGGAAGAGAAGAACTAGGCTCTGTTACCCCCAAAATAATACAGGAGTCGGATATACATATGATGCAAGAGTTAATGAACTCTTAACTCCTTTTCCCCTGTTCACTTAGCCAAGCAAGAAGGCAAAGCAATCTTTATGGTGAGTGGAGGCTGTGGGTGAGGGTCATAGCATCATTGGAATGCTCCCCAGAGCTGAGGCCTGAGCTAGACCTGAGGCAATCCTCATCATCCACTGGAACAAATGATGTGGGCCAGATGCCTCTGAAAGTCTGACCCCTTTCCAGTATTTCAAACCAGTTAGATATTATAGCTATAGTATAATTAAAAAGCATTAAAAATACAGAGCGTGCAATGGTGATGCTTTTAAAAGTTGGTACCTGATGTATCTGGGAGAAGCTCAGTCCATGAAAAGAAAAAAAAAAAAAGACTATAGAATTAAATGCTGGGATGTGTGAGTAACTTAAAAAATAGCTGAGTGCTGAAGGCTCACGCCTGTATTCCTAGCAACTCAGGAGGCCGAGATCTGAGGATGGCAGTTCAAAGCCAACACGGGCAGGAAAGTCCGTAAAACTCTTATCTCCAATGAACTACCAGAAAACTGGAAGTGGTGCTGTGCCTCAAGTGGTAGAGCACTTGCCTTGAGCTGAATTGCATAGGGACAGCGCCCAAGCCCAGAGTTCAAGCCCCACAACCAACAACAACAAAAAATAGTGGGAGGATTTTGGTAAATTTTTCCCTTCTTTACATATCTGGTACTTTCTGAATTTGCTATAATGAGCCGTACACTGAAAATCTAAAGAAAAAAGAATATAGTTTATATGTTAGATACACATAATACAGCTTATCTGTGTATAATATATAATATACATAATATTGTAATATATACTGTTATGTATTTTCCACATACATATAGGATATATAGAGAGAGAGAGAAAGAAAAAGAGAGAGTAGGTAAAGTAGAAGAAACGAGTGCTAGTTCTTAGGGAATGTACCAAAAGGTTTGTACTGGGAGGAAGGAGGATTCCTGAAGTTCAGAGGAAGAGGAGTGTCTGTGGGAGTAAAGGATGGGCTGGGTGTGGCAGGGATGTTTTATAGCCCAGCTTATTTTTGTTGTGGGCAGGAGCACATCTACTAACGCTTCTCCAAAGTCTGTCTGATGTTCTATTCACTTGGTATGCTCTATTCAAAGTGGTTTTGAGCCCACAGCTGTAAGCATCCAGTGAATGCTGACTTGAGGTGAGTTCTCTTCTGTACAGTGCTTTATCACTTGGAATGCTTGTGATTTTAACCTCTGACTGGGCCCCTGAGTGGCTGGAATGTCAGCAAAGCTTAAAACCCCCCTGAATAAACATAGCCTGAAACACAATTCCTCTCTTGCTCTCAGTGGGGCCTCTCAATCCCCACCCCCACTCTGATAAGTATTTTGAGAGTGCCATGTGTGGTTCAGAAATTAGAAAGCTGCAGTTGAATAGTTTTTATGGGCAAAGGAACCTATATTTGGTAAGAATCTGTATCTAGTGGATATGCACATGTGTTGTTATTGGCATTTAAATTATACCTATTTCTCAAAATGAAGCCTTCAGTACTTTGCTTAAGAGGAATTTAAATTGACTTTATAAATAATTCACTACAGTTTCTGGCTGAGTGGAGTGAACTTTCAAGGTGAAGTAAATAAATAATTGTATATTTATCTAATCTGATATGTTAATATCTTACCTTAGGAAAGCAGCAGATGGTCTATTAAACCTTGACAAAACATTGAACAAGATGCAACAAGCTCAAATCACCCAAAGACAAACTAACACTTCTATCACACAGTTGACTGTTGAGATAACAAAAATAAAAAAGAATGTACTGCAGGTATTTATCTTCCTTTTATACTAACCTGAAATCGGTTTGATGGTGGGAACAGCAGAGTGGTTTTTAAGGATGCCAGTGTCACACTTGCCTTACCTGTCTGATGGGACAATTATGAGGATAAATTAAGATGTTAGTGGGCTTCTGCACTTTATTGATGAGTTCTACATTCATGCGAGTGGTCTTGTTGCACTTGTGATGCTAAGAAGACACATTAAAAAATTCTCTGCAGAAGCCTTCCATTCTTCATTTCATTTAGTCCTAACCAATTCTGAAGAATGAGACAGCTCGTGAAGGGGGAAACTTAGGCTCAGGAAGGTTCATGTGACAGCTTCAGGTCACACAGCTAATTAACTGTAGATCTAAGCCCTTATATCATGGAGGCTCAGGAAGGTTCATGTGACAGCTTCAGGTCACACAGCTAATTAACTGTAGATCTAAGCCCTTATATCATGGAGAGAAGTGGCTTGAAATGCTCATACACGACAGAAATGAAGACATTGTTGTTCCAAGGTTGTTGTGACTAAACATGAACTTCTGCCAAATATTCTAAACTAAAAGGTTATCTCACCTAAAAGAACTGTTCTATCCAGAGCCCGATGGGAGGAAGGCCCTGGCTTAAGCCATGCCATGGTTCAGGAAGTAAGCCCAGAAGTTGGTGGTTGGAACAGGACCTGATCTCATGGTGTGAGGGCTTTTCTTCCTCGGCTGCATCCTCTGTCATATCCTCTTCCTTACATTGTTGAGAGTTACTCAGACTCTGCTCTTCAGATTTTGTTTTCAGATCTACTGCAGGCATCTTGAGATGAAAGGCAGAAATCAACAAACAGGAAAATGATTGCTAGGAAGAAGCTACATACATACAGTAGCAAAACAGGAAGGCCCCTAGGGTTTTCTTTTCCAGACACATACTGTAGAATAGGAGTTGGCAAATACAACCAAATCATATGGCCTGCGGCTACTTTGCACCATAACAGCACAGAGTTGAGGGGTTGCAAGGAGTACGTAAGTTACTTTATTATCTATCCCCTTACAGAAAAAAAGCATACGGATGCCTTTTCTAGAAAAACTCCCACAGATGCCTCAGGGCATGGGAAGAGATTTCTATATCTAAAAATATAGCAGACTGATACCCTAAGGAACCTCTTAGTTAAAAGAACTAAAAATATTAGCTAGAATATTTCAATTTTTAAATACATAGATGAATTTATAAGAAACCAAAGATATCCTTAGAGACCAAAAATGATGGGGAGACATGAATCCAGAGCGTAATCAAGCCCTAATCTGACAACAGCAGATGGCACCTGCCACTGTCTAGTGCACTGTAGACTTCCACTCCAATGGTTGCTATGCCAAACAGAAACCAAAGCCCACATAAGGAGGTGACAAGTCTCCTGACCTTCACAGAAATGGGAATACAAAAGAAAACTCCCCACCCCCCACCCCCCGCCACAGAGCCAATAAAGAATTTTCTTCTGGCTGGGCACTGATGGTTCCTACCTATAATCCAAGCTACCCTTAGGCTGAGGTCTGAGGATGGAGGTTCAAAGCCTGCCCAGGTGGAAAAAAAAAATCTTTGAGACTCTTATCTGCAATTAATCAGTCAAAAGTCAGAGCTTGCTGTATGGCTTAAATGACAGAACACTAGCCATGTAAGTGGAAAAAGCTGAGCAAGATCACAAAGCCCTGATCCAGCCCAGGCGAGAAAGTCTCTGAGATTCTTATCTCCAATTAATTACCAAAACAACAGCAACAACAACAAAAAAAAAACAACCTGGAGTTAGAGCTATGGCTCAAGAGGTAGAGTGCTATCCTTGAGCATAAAAAAGAGCTCAGGGATAGTACTCAGGCCCTGAGTTCAAGCCCCAGGACTTTTTTTTTTAATCAAGTTACAAAAATGTACACTGTATTTGGCTATTTTTATTTTTAAAACTATACTTTGTTAGGAATTATTCATAGACTATACTCTACAGCCTTTAAGAGCCCGGCACCTGTGGCTCACACTTGTTATCTTAGCTAATCAGAAGAGATCTGAGGATCACAATTCAAAACCAGCCCAAGTAGCAAAGTCCAGGATACTTCTCTAACTGACTACCAAAAAGAAGAGGAGCTGTGGTTCAAAATGTAGAGCACTAGCTTGAACACAGTGACCAGGCCAGGTCCTGAGTTGAAGCCCAGGATTTATTTAAAAAAAAAAAAAAAAAGAAACATAAATAAATAAATAAATGAAATGAAAAACATTCGATGCAGAATTGTGGCTGCCTTTGGTGTGAGGAGAGATGAAATGAGACGTGTTTCTGGGGCTTTGGCTCATAGACAGTGTTGAATTCATAAAATTGGCTAGGTTAAGAACACATTTGTCATAGGTTTTTTTAGACCTTTTCATATGTCAATACTTTTGTTATAATTTTTTCATATATCAAATGCAACAGCAAAGGTGATGACCTATTTTCTCTGACATCACACACAGCTTTTTTCTCTTTTGAGGAATTAATAATAGCCTATTTTTAGTTGTTTTATTAAAAGATTTTTCCCTTCTGTTCAACAACAGGCAGAAAATCAAGCAAAAGAAATAAAGAACAAGCTGAATTTCACAAAGCAACAGCTGGAGCTGGAGGATGAACTGACCCTGCTGCAGACCAAGTGGCAAAGGAGCCAAGACCTAATGGGCAGAGCGAAATCCCAGGCTGACTCTGCTCTTCACCAGGCTGGGAGAGCTGAGAAGGTCACTTTTTCCTTTCACTGTCACTAGGAGCAAACAATGCTTCTGTAAAGAACAATCCCTGAAGCCCAGATTGTTGTGCCATTACTCAGAGCGTTTTTTAAAGCTGATCCATGCTCGGTGGTATATACTCATAAGATCCAAATGCACAGAGACCTTGTACATCCGAAGACTACCCCAGTCATGTCACAGTGTTCCTCCTCCATGTCTCCATCCTAGTATGTTTAGTAGTCTCCTAGTCACATAGTCTGTAAACCACATTTTTCCCAATTTTTTTCATACTTTTACAATTTAAGCTTTTGGTTATTATATTTGCCCTTTAATTCAGCTGCATAACATACAAAGAAAGTAGTAGATTTTTAAAAAATCACCCACCCAAGAGACAGATCAAGTGACTAATGTTTGTATGAGTTAATTAAATGGATGTGGAAAGTGGCCTATTATTTAGGTTGCTGAAAGAATCTATCAACTCATTTTCTTAGCAGGAAATCTTTGGTTGATTAAATTAATATAGTAGCTTGAAAAAAAGAAAAATGTTAGTTTCTACAACTGGTCTGTTCTCTTGATGTTAATTTCTAATGTCTAATTGTCCAGAGCTTGGGAGTTGGGGACTCATATCCTGTCCATCTTCTGCCTGTCTCTAATGTTTGCTCATCTACTTTCCTTCTAGGTCGTCAATCACATGTATTTGATGTCAAATACTGGTATTCAAATACTGATTTCAGGAGAGAGCTTCTTACTAACATTCATTTAAGCTTTCCTTCTTACTACATTTCTTCTTTTGCCTACCAAAGGATTTGAGGCTTCAAATTTTCATTCTTTAGTTCATACTTTAGTTCTTACAATGGTTTTTGACCCAACTGAACCAGAGATGTGTCGAGTACAATGAAGTCATGCCTTTCTCCTGTATCTCCCACCCTAACATTAGTTTAAGGCACCATTGGTGCTTCATAGATGGTTTCCTAATCATGCAATAGTGATTAATATTTTGTAGCAAATTTCATTTTAACCAAATGAGTTTTTCTAACATTAAAAAAAAAAAGCATGCAAATAAAGCCCTCTCTGAACTCTCAGACAGGCTCAAACACATTGGCTGAATTAAGGTTTCCTCTGTTCTTCTTTGTGCATAGTGTTTGTAGGTTTATCGTTGCATATGCATGTGCTTCCTAAGTATGTTCTGATGATAGTAGTGTGACTCTCTTACAGGAATTTGTTGAGCTGGAAAATCAGTATGCTATTCTTGAGCATGAGACAAGTGCCAGAGGACTAACAATGGAAGCTTGGGGGAAAGTCATTCAGCTAAAAGAAGCAGCAGTGAAACTAGCTGAAGAAACAGAGGACAAGATAACAAGGATCGCTGGTATCTATTCTTTTATCTGCCCCACTGATGTGACATTGTAACAACCCCACCTCCCCAGTAGACCATTTGTATTCCTCTCTGTTTATCATTAACACTATTTAAACCACATGATTAAGTTCACTGAGAGAGGAGAAGGAGAGGAATTTGTGTTTCAGGGACTGTAAAGGAACAAGTTTCACGTGTGAATTTGCCTAGGAATGAGTGAACCTCTGCTTTGCGTCTATCAGAGCAAACTAAGATTCTCTTTGGCCACTGTGAAGATGCCGTCTCCTCAATTCCGTGTTCTCAAGTCAAGAAGAGGTGTCTGAGAACATGATATTGCTAAACATACCACAAAGCACAGGGAGCTCCCCAAAACAATTGCGTCCAAATATCAGAAACTGAGGCTGAGAGGCCTTCTCCTTACCTATGCTGCTGCTTTTCTTTCTCAGTCAAGTAACTTTTGGGTTAGTATGATCTACACTCTAGCATACTGGGTCACCTCACATGGATTAGTAGACAGTAAGCCAAGGGGAAAAAAAATCACTTTTTTTGGACTTTGATCAAAATGAAAATGCTGATGCACACAGGGTAGAGTAAACGTGTGCTATGCACAGCCAAAATCTAAGTCCAAATCTTCTTTTCCACACTCACTTAATTTTTCTGGGCAAGCAATTTTTCTGGGCAGAAATACCAATGAGTTTATTGCTTTACTCATGGTTATATTTACTGACTCCCCCAAATTTAAAACTGATTATACTCTATTGAGATACGTGTAACTTTCAAAATATTGAAATAAGCAAGACTCTTTACTGACAAATTATTATAAAATGAAACTTTGTCCTGACAACCATTTATATCATCTCCATGGTATGACAATGAACTGCAGTGTAACTATGGGCCAAATTCAGGAAAAATACAAACCAAACTATAACATTAGTTTTATTTGGGGGAGAAAACCATAGCCAATATCATGAAAATCATTTTCTATTATTTGACCATAGGAAAAAAAATGAGAAGACTATTTCTAACTTAAATCAGAACCCAAACTGCTTCCATTTATCCAAAATGTACAGTTCAGGAAATTAATTACAAAAGAAATTCGTTAGAGAACTTATCAGATATACCTAAAAACAAGTGCATTCTTCATTTTCTCTCTTCATTTTACAAACTCAACCAGGTAGAAAAATAAGATTGATTTGGCTGCCACTCAACTCTGCTACTTGAGGAGGGGCAGAGCATTCATTAGGATGACATAGATGTCCATGGGATCCCAGTGAGGACCTTGGGACCCCAGTGAGGACTTGGGTAGCACTGAAGTTAACAGAGTGAAGGGTGGTCTCAGCCTGAAACCAGGGTCGCACACAGAACTCCAAGTCAGTCAGAAACAGAAGGAATACTTGACATAAGGCTGGACAAGTACTTGAAAGTTTAGTTGTCTCAATTATCTGTTTACCGGAAGTGGTGCTGTGGCTTAAGGGACAGTGCCCAGGTCCAGAGTTCAAGCCTCATGACCGACAAAATAAAAATAAGCTAGAATTGGTGCTGTGGCTCAAGTGGTAGAGCACTCACTTTGAGCAAAAGAAATTCAGAGACAATGCCCAGGCCTACAGTCCAGCCCCAGGATTGGCAAAGAAAAAAAAATTATCTATTTACTTTTTGGGGTGTGTGTGTGTATGTGTGTGTGTGTGTGTGCACGCACACGCATTTGTGTCAGTCCTAGGGCTTGAACTTGGCTTAGGCTCAGTCCCTGAGCTTTTTTTTTTTTTTAAATCTGTCATGGGGCCTGAACTGTGGGCCTGAGCACTGTCCCTCAGCTCTTCAGCTCAAGGCTAGCACGCTATCATTTGAGCCACAGCACCACTTCCGGCTTTTTCTGCTTATGTGGTGCTGAGGAATCGAACCCAGGGTCTCATGCATGTGAGGCAAGCACTCTACCAGTGAGCCACCTTCCCAGCCCCAGAGCTTTTTTGCTCAAGACTAGTGCTCCCCTACTTGAGCCACAGCTCTACTTCAGCTTTTGGGGGGGAAAAAGCCTCACAGACTTTCCTGCCGCTGTGATCCTTAGATCTCGGCCTGCAGCATAGTTCAGATTATCAGTGTGAGCCACCAGTGCCCAGTGCTGGGTAACTGATAGCTATCTATTTACTGCATTAGCATTTACCCCTAAATTTGATGGCTTTAAAAACAATCATGTCTTGTTTTGCTGTGGGTTGCCTGGCTAGGTCTCCTCTGGTCCCACCTGGATTACATCCTTCAGTGGATGGGTCAGCTGGCCAGGTGTGCTAGGAACCTGTGTGGTCCAGGTGTGGGAGTTCTGTCCATGGACCCTGTTGACACTATTTACAGCACAGGTGTTTCAGAGTCCACTGAGAATGAGAACAAAATAATAATAATTGATCATTCACTCCCTATCATTTTCACTAGCCAAAACAACTTGAACAGCCAGCCAGCCTGAGTTGAGTAAGCATGGAATGGGGAGTGGGCAGACAGACTTACTTGATGAATGGAACCACAGAGAATATAGAATTTCTGAAAACAAATGATGGTGTAGAAGGGCTGGATGCCATTAGCATCACCAGACCTGAAGGGTCAGGGGAAGCAGGGCTGGTGCCAGAGCCTTGTGAACCATAGCATTGAAGAACCTGCCAGAACCCCAGTGGCCCTTTGGTCATTTATCAACACATTCCATTGGCCAAATGTGAATTAAACAGAGGTGAAGAGAGCCAGCTGATCTTATCCAGGAGGTTGGTGTTCAAGGATATATAACAGGCTGACCATATTGACTTACCTGATAGAAACAGGGGGTCTGTTTTTTTTCCCCAAATATCCTTCCAGTGTTGAATGCCCTTTTCAACTCCAAATGACCTCTATTTGAAAGCCTCTAGTGCCTGAACACTCACTACCTTCCACTGCAGCTCTTTAGCCTTTGAATAGCTGTGGCTCGTGAAAAACCTCCTCTTTCCACTAAGATAAGGTTTTCCTTCAAGGTTGCACCTGCTGCTTTTCCTTTTATTTCTCAGGATGACAGAGAACATACTCACTCTCTGCTTTTCTAAGCTGGTCTTTCAAATACTTCAAAATAGCTATGCCATCATACAAAACATCACAACTTAAGTTCACATTTGCTCAGAGGACGCAATTTCAGATTCCTTCAGTAGCCTGGCACTTTTCTATAAATGCATGTTTGTTTGACAATAGCTCCAAACCAACTCAGCATTCAGGTCTGCCCATTGAAGGGTGACATTTGCTCTTGTGTTTCTAGAAGTTTTATTTCTAAGGTGAAGAGTTTGACTCCAAAAGACCACTTCATTGTTATATGTAGCTCTCCATAGATCCTATTCCACTATGACATGAGCGCTTTATTCAAGTTTACTAGACTTCTGAAGTGTTCGTTGAATGAGGAATGAATAAATGAATGCCCAGATACATAGGTAGATGGGTGGATCAATTCATAGACCAATAAAGGGATGGATAGATAAGAATGAAGCTCAAAAGGCAGCAGTTTGCTCTCAGTATTCATGGGTGTATGTGTCAGCAAGGAAACAGAAAGAAGGGAACAAAAACATCAACCTTGGGCTGGGAAGGTGGCTCAGTGGTAGAGCGCTTGCCTTGCATGCCTGAGGCCCTGGGTTCCATTCCTCAGCACCACATAAGCAAAAAGAAAAAAGCTAGAAGTGACGCTGTGGCTCAAGTGGTAGAGCACTAGCCTTGAGCTGAAGAGCTGAGGAACAGCGCCCAGGTCCAGAGTTCAGGCCCCATGACCGGACCCAAAAAAAAAAAAAAAAAAAAAAAATCAACCTTTTCTTACCTCAAAAACTGGAAAAAGCTGAAGCACATGTTTCAGAAAGGAAGTTTGAGAACTGGAGGTGTTATTCAAATGGCATCTGCCTAGCGAGAGAGAAGCCTTGAGTTCAAACCTCAGTACCACCAGAAATAATTAATTAATTCAACTAATAAGAAAAATATTTGATAATATAGTAAAACTGGAGATGTTTTCATTTCTAATGACTTCTATCTAAATACTAAACTTTTAGATATAAACATTTTTAGACACAGATACTCAATTTTCCCTGATTTATCTGAAAATCTTAAGAAGCCTGGTGAAAAGAAATGTTTTGTGATTAAGTCAAAACACGAACACAAAACTAAACATATCTCCAAGAGACACACAAATTCCTGTGTCTGGCGTTATGTAGTTATTATCTAGGAAGAATCTATCAGCTGCCCATATGTCATTCCTTTCATCCTTTTCTTTTAGAGTTAGAAAAGAAGATCCAAGATTTGAATGTAAGTAGACAAGAAAAAGCTGATCAACTGAAACAATTGGAACATCAAGTTGTTGCCATCAAAAATGAAATTGTTGAGCGAGAAAAGAAATATGCCATCTGCTATAATTAGTGTCCAAGCAAAAGCTTCTGCCTGGGTTTCTTGCTGCTGCTGTCCAAATCCAGACTGAATTTACAATATACTAAGGTCAGAGTCTTCTCCCTTCCTTACCCCATTTCTTCACTGCAAGTCTATTCCAGGTGGAGGGAGAAACTGGGCCAGAGAAATAGCATTTCCATGTAATTTTATATCAGACTAGGGGAATGAAATATTGTTTCTGTTCTTCCATGCGATTGTTTCTAACACATTTATAAGATTATTTCTTTGTTGCTTTGTATGTCCCTCCCCCACAGTATAACCCCTGCTTTCCCTGTTTTGATCTCGGTATAATTTGTGGAGGGGAAGGGAAAAAACAATTTGTTTAAACAGGGATACAGGTGGACCTATTGCAACAATGAGATATACAAGTCCTTATGTTGAAAGCGAACTTTACAACTTTGGTGCAGGACCGGAGAGAGGAGGATTGAGTGGGGGGCGGGGGAGGATGGGAAGGGAAGAGAAGGGAAGGGGAAACAAAGGAGGAGGCTACAATGCTTGATAAGAAATGTACTCATTATCTTGCCCATGTAATTGTAACCCCTCTGTACAGTATTTTCACAATAAAAAAAAAGAAATATTGTTTCTGGTTTTCCTCTTTGCTTTCTCTTCTCTTCCATATCTTAGAAATAACTGGAATATATGACAAGTAAAATGTTTTTAAAGTTCTTTGCTTATTTCAGCCAAATAAGCCTAAAATATTGAAGATCTCTAACCCAAGGAAGGAATAGATATCGTGGCCTGAATTAGATTTTATTATATTTTCTGTGTATTTGGATTTTCTTTTATTTGTAAAACTTTTGTTGTGTTCTGAATAAACATGCCCTTAAGAATGAAGTTTTCATATTTACCAACTTTCCTACATATCCATTCTCGCAACCAGAGGATTCTATTTTCCCCAAATGATACTGGAACAATATTAAAAGAAATTAACATTGAGCTACTTTTTGTAATTGGTCTGTGGATAATTTTGCTGTAAAAATCTGCTGCTTGTTTTTTGAAAGAGACTAGCAATCATGTTCTTGTTGTTTAGTACAAAAGCTTAGAATGGCTCATGAGTCTATAGTTTCACATGAACTCTTTTTTGCATGTATGATTTAGAATAGAACACACTCTCTGAGAACACTGTCCCTCTGAGAGATTATTATAAGAGAGGCTGCTCCACAATTTTAGTAAGAAATAATATATATCAACACTGACTTACAAAAGAGGAAGCAGCTGGAGTCATTTTTCCTAATGAGTGACTTAAATGGGATTTAGAAATTCAACAGAGCCGGATTACACGTAAATAAAAAAATTGTTAAGATGTAGGTTATTACGGAAAATTGCAGAATCTTTTTCCCTGCCGATCTTAAAGAACAGAAGGAAACTTTTCTGCAGGAAAAACCACCTCAAAGATGCCTCTTGAAAAATACAATTGTGATGTTCCACTTCTCCAACTGTGAGACTCTGGCAAACTTCTACTGATGATTGATGCATACAGTGACCCGGACAGTAAAAACTATACCTCAAAAATTCGTAAGTTCTTTACTGCAGAGCTATGAGTGACAGATGCTGGTCATTCCCATCAGGATACTGACTTTCAGTTTGGTTCATGAGATTAACAATGTTTTTGTTTTTTGCAGTAACAACCTTCTGTTGCTTTACCTTTTCAGTAAGCTTGCCTGGCTTTGCCTTGGCCATGGCTTTGCCTCTGCCTTGGCTTTGCCTTATCTTTCTTGCCTTGCCTTTGCTTTCTCTCAGGTTGCAAAGCCTTTTGACCCAAACCTCTCAAGTTTCCAGCTCACCTTCACTGACTTGAAGATTCATGTCCTGAATAAAGCCTGGAAGGTGATTCTACTTAGAAGGACCATATCAGTTCCTGCTCATAACCAAGACAGCTGTTCAACATGGCCGAACAAGGTTGTACTCAATATACCTAAATCCATGTTGCTCCAGTTTCCTATCAGAGTGAACAATGGACAGTAGTCCTACACCCCACTCTACAAAACTGACTCTCAAAAGAGCCTAATAATTTTCCTGCTCCTAGTGTCTGTAAAGCCTTCTAGAGGGGAGGCCCTGGTTAAACATCACCTAGCCTCTTAATGCCCAGGTGATAGCTTGATGCTTGTCAGGTACTGCCTTGTGGGGACCTATGTCTAGATGGGAAACTCTAGAACTCATAGTCATTGCCATAAATTGAGCATCCTTAGCTCTAAGACCTGGGGAGATGCTTAACTGGGGCTTCCTTCTCAGGAGCTGAGCCCATAGATTCAAAAATCCATAAACCCTCCTACACCTAGAAGAGATGAGAGTCCCAATGCTCCCTCAAATGACCCCACTAAGGTAACCATGGTGGAGGGAAAGAATTTGAGACAGAAATTGAAACTGGATGCAGGGAAACTAATAACTTGGGTGGAATAGATTACATATTCTGTCTACACATAAAAATACTTGTGTGGCAGAGAGGCCAGAAGCTCAAGTGGTCTCATTCCTGCTGGGATAAACCTCAGACTCCACAGGCATATCTAAACAGGAAGACATGGCCTAGGGAAATTCTTCTAGTAAGAACCTGTCATTGATATTCCTAACAGTTAAGAGTTGAAGATGAAAAACTCCTAAAGCTGTTTGGCCCCCTTCTCCCAAGACTAGTTATATTCCTTGCCTCACTATGTGAGGGGAGCAATTGGCATTTCTAGGCAACTTGTCTGGAAGTGGTGAGGGCCAGTCCTTTGAGGAGATAAACAGCACTAACATCAGCTAGGGAAGATGTCTGGTGGTATTGAGAGGATTACTGTTGGGAACCTTATTGGCCAAATGGAGTGGACCCTGTACTTTGGTTCACTTGGTCATCCCTTTCACACTGGCAATTCTGTCAACCTGATTAGTCTCAAACAAACATCTATACCAGGTAAGGAGAGACCTTGTCCCTGATGGATCATTCAGTCCTAATATGTACATAGATGGTATTGGGAAGAGTACCAATGAGTTTAAAGCTAGAAATCAGCAGCAGGTTTTCAGCCAGTTCTATTCTAGTGGTTCACCATAAATGAAGATGTAGATTTATTACTTTCATTTATTATAATCAACAGAGGTTTGTTAATTATACTGGAGAGCAATTATACTAGCAGAGCAACTAGACGCCACTGGTAGGATGGCATGGGAAGACTAGCCCTAAATATGTTAGCTAAAGAGATAAAAGCCCAGGGCTGGGAAAGTGGCTCAGTGGTAGAGCGCTTGCCTTGCATGCCTGAGGCCCTGGGTTCGATTCCTCAGCACCACATAAGCAAAAAGAAAAAATCTGGGAGTGGTGCTGTGGCTCAAGTGGTAAAGCGCTAGCCTTGAGCTGAAGAGCTGAGGGACAGCACCCAGGCCCAGAATTCAGGCCCACAACCGGACCCAAAAAAAAAAAAAGAGAGAGAGATAAAAGCCCATGTGATGATCGGTAGCCATTGTTGTACTCAAGGATTGACCATTCTGAAAAGCCAATGGTTGAAAATTCAGATGACCTACTTACTAACTTTTCAAACAATGGTTTGGAAAATGAAAAGGAGTCATGCTGCCTATATTTATCTCTTTAGTAACTGTTTTCAGAGTAATGATTGTGATTGGTTATACTTACATTAAGAGGTCTTCAGAAACTGACGAAAACGACCCACACCAAACACCTGTGTGTGTGTGTATGCTGAATGGAAAAATCAATTAATGCTGACTAGTTTGAAGAAAAGAATGTAAAAAGAGAAGCCAGACACCAGTGACTCACACCTGTAATCCTAGCTATACTGGAGGCTGAGATCTGAGGAATGAGGTCCAAAGCCTGCCTGGGCAGGAAAGTCCATGAGGCTCATATCTCCAATAAACTACTCAGAAAAAGCCAAAATTGGCACTGTGGCTCAAGTGCTAAGAGTGCTGGTCATGAGCACAAAGGGGCTCAGGGACAGTGCCTAGGCCCTGAGTTCAAGCCCCAGGACCAAAGGAATGTAAAAAAGAATGGGGGGAGGAAGTGGCGCTGTGTCTCAAGTGGTACAGTGCTAACCTTGAGATGAAGAGCTGAGAGACAATGCCCAAGCCCAGAGTTCAAGCCCCATGACCAACAAAACAAAAAGAATGGGAGAATTGTAGGAGTTATAATCTTTCTGTCAAAGACATTGCTTAACATAAGCACTGCCATTTTAAGGGTAATCATCATCTTACAAGAAAGGATTTTATTGGAGGCATGGCTCAAGTGGTAGAGCAACCGCTGAGTAAGAACTGTTTTACTGACAAATTGGCTGGGTCTTCTTGTTTTGGTTGATGGAATGGATAAACTTTTGACTTTGCTAGTCAGTCACGCAAGATTGTGAATGAAAGTTGAGACCAATCAGAACAAAGGGCAGTAACACAGGAAGGATCAAATCTGGGTGGACTGTCCACCAAGTGTGCTTGCTTACTTGGCTTTCTGTCAGAAGCATACCCTTCTGTAGAAGTAAATTTTGCCTTACCAAATTCTTTTCAAGTCGGTGGGTGTTCTTACATGACACCCCAGTAGTCTGAGACATTTCCAACAAAATCCCAGTTTCTTATCTCTCCAGTAAACCTAACCTTTCCTTACAGACAGCCCAGAAACCTTCCATTTCTCCCCCACCCCTCCCTCCTCCTTTCCTCCACCTCCTAAGTCATAGCCCCTTCTCTAAAGTTTCCTTCCATTGTTAGTTGGCTGAGGGTCCTTATCTGTTTGCCCTGATAAGAAGGTCCAAGAGGACAGGGAGCATGCGGGCAGACACGTTTATGTCCTTTATGGAAGCGAGCACTATGTGTAGCACTCTAAATAAAGAACAGTTCACTTCTATAAATTGACTCCAAATTGATGCAAGCCAGGCCATTCCTTAGACCATCAATGAATAACAACTTTTTTCAAGTGCAACATGAAACTAGTTCACCAGATGGTTCAGCCCTTCTAAAAGTGTAATTGAGGACAGTTTGATTCTTTACCTCAACATTTGGAAAACAAAATGTGTCAAATGGGAATAGAATACACTCATTATAAAAAAAACTGTCTCTATCTCAAAAATGAACATGCCTTATAGCCAACCATTAAAAAAAAATCCTCTCTTGTCCAGTGCTCTGGCCCAAGCCTATAGTCTTAACTACCTGGCAGGCTAGGACTGGGAGGACTGAGGTTCTAGATCAGCTTGAGCAAAAATTTAGAGAGGCCCCATCTCAACCAACAATAATATTAACGTAAGGTTTGGCCTGATGATGTGTATCTAGCATCCCAGCTATGGTAGAGAAGCACAAATA